AGGCAGGTTGAAAGATGGTGGGGTAGGTTGGGGAAGAGGAGGATTGGGAGGATCGTGTGGAGCCTGCCGACGGTATGGAGGGGGCTTGTCGGCTGGGTTGAAGGCCGAAGAGAGAGCAGAGATTGAGGCTGAAGGCTTTAGAGCAAGGAGTACATGTTTAGGTTTGCAAGTGGTGCAGAGAGCCGGATTTAGACAGAGGAATGAGAAGGCTTGAACATACGGAATCTCTCCCCATTGTCCCAATCGCTCACAATAGTTATATAGATCCTGTAAGAGGTTTGGATCTAAAGACCTGAAGAGGGGCCAGTGATTTTGGTTATCTAAAGGATAAGTGGGCCAGATTTGAGTGCAAAAGCAGATTAAATTTTTTGGTTTTATGTCTGGGGTCAAACCCAAGGTGTCTAAATTATTGAGGAGGCATCTCAATGGGGAGTCAGATGGCAAAGAGGATGTAGAGGCACCCATTGTGTGGGACCTGGTCCCGTAATGGGAGAGGAGGATATTATGTACTGTGGAGCGTCCCTGGGCAGCACAAATACCCGACAACAGCACAAGGCCCACAAAAATCAATCATCATTGAGTTCTAGTGGCGTGCTGGGCCGAATGGCCAAGGGCTATGGGTCACCTGGGCCCAGGCTTTTTGACGAGGGGTCTCTGAGACCCACGACAAAATGGATCCAAGCCCGACAACTGAGGGAATCCTTCTGCCGCCTGAGCCACCCAGAGATGGCCAAACGGGGAGTGTTTGAAAACCCTGGAGACACTGAAGGGAGAGACCGCAAAGAGAGCCCGAGAAGGGTATGTGGACTCACCAAAGAATGTCCGGTGTTGGATGCAAGCAGGGTGATTGGGAGGATGAGTCCTGGCCAGTTATGTCCTTAGGGTGGTTGTGGGGTGAGTCGGAATGGGGGTCCCACCAGGATTTAGTGGGGAGCCTCCATCCGAGTCATGGCACCAAAATGTTGGAAATGTGGGCCCCAAGGTGACCACGTGGAGAGGAGTGATCTGGCCAAGAGATTCTTTATTGCTGGGTGGGAGAGGGAGAGAGCCAAGAGAGCCAAGAGAAAGAGGGAGAGAGGGGCAGGGGCTTAAATACCCCTCAGTGGGACTCAGCATGATCTGATTGGTTAGGATCTTATGGTTCGTGCTGATTGGAGGTTGGGGCAGAAGGAGGATTCAGGCTAGACTTGAGGCAGGACCGTGACCCTGGAAAACAGAAGCTTAAGGGTGAAGTAAGAACCGAAACCTATCAGCACCATTATTGCCAACATCAAGCCCAGACCCAGACCGGAGACCCCATGGGGTGTACTGTTGACCATATGAGGATTACCACGAGGTAACCCAAGAAAGTCATCCCCCCTCGAAACTCTCCCGGGTGTCAGCACCAAATGAAAGGAAAGTGAAGAAGCTGAAAACAGAAACACATGAGAAAAGAATCTGCGGCCTTCACAGGCAGCAGGTCTTTATTAGGGAGAGGAGACCTGAGAGGGGCCCTCGGCCATCAGCGTGACACTCTGACAGGGCGAGAGCACGCCTCTCTTACAGGCTGGGGACTTTGAACATCCTGTGGTGGAAAGGGCGGCTGGAGCGGGGTGGGCATCAGGTAAGGTGGTTGGGAAGGTGGATGGGGTCGGTGCTGGACGTTAGCGGGAAGGTCACTGGGGTTGGGCAGGTGTGCGTGGTGTTGTCTTGACATTCCAGCAATTCCAGCATTCGCACTGTTTCGGTGTTTCCCGACATTCCAGGACCCACCCCTTCCTTCCTTCCTTCCTTCCTTCCTTCCTCCCTCCCTCCCTCTCTCCCTTCTTTCTTCCCTCCTTTCTTTCTGTGATACTGGGGTTTAAACACAGGGCTGACACTTGCTAGACAGGTGCTCTGCTGCTTGAGTCACACTCCAACCCACTTGACATTCTTAATCATGTATGCCTCAAGCCCCATAAACCATACCAACTGGTCATGATTGACTTCTGACCTCAAAAGAACAGGCGGGCTAGGTCAACCTATCTCAGGTTTGGGTCTTAATCTTTCCCATACTCACTCTCTCTCTTTTTGGTGGCACTGGTGTTTGAGCTTATGGCTTCACACTTGCAAAGCAGGTGCTCTACTGCTGGAGCCACACCTCCAGTCCATTTTGCTCTGGTTATTTTGGAGATGGAGATCTCAAGAACTATTTGCTGGGGCTGACCTCCAACCTTGATCCTCCCAAGTAGCTAAAATCATAGGCATGAGCCACTGAGCCTGGCTACCACACCCTCTTTGTTTTCCATGTTTTTCCTCTTTGGTGATCTTCATTGAATTACTTTTGAGTTTCTTTATGCACTGTTTCTATAGCACAAAAGTAAGTAATGTGTTATTGTGCCCAGGAGTATTCAGGCTTATTGTTAGTTAAGCAGTCTTTCATAGGGTGAGGTTTCCTTACGCTTGCCCCCTTTCCCTTAATCCCTCTGCTATCCCATGAGGGAGAGGAAAGGTGGCTCTTGTGCCCCTGATCTTACCCACTGCTCCAGCAGTTCTCTGGATGGACTCCCAGTGTGCCTTGGAATACTCACGGGGTCGCAGCCTCACTGGTTAGGAGCCTAGCCTCCATTCTCCACTGGAGTGGCCTTGGAAGCCCATCCTGTCTTGACCTTGGCTTGGGCAGGCATGACCACCACTCCCCCACCCCCTGTTATTAGTGGCTTTTTTAGCAGAGGAGAATGTGGGGCTCCTATAGCTTCCCGGTTTCTACCCCAAATCCCAGGTCCTTGAGATCCACACACATGAAAAGCATTTCAAGGTATCTCACAAGGTGGAAGTTTTAGCAAGGATTTATTTCAGTACAACACGATAAAGCGTGATGAAGTCGTTGGAGAGGGGGGAGAAGGAAGAGGGAGAAACATTTCCTGTTCCTCACATAGGAAATGGGAGCAAAGACTCCAGGTGGTGGTTCAGTACCTGATCTTTGTACTTTCCTGGGATGGGAATTTGCATTATCAGAAGTCTAGCCACCCTAACCATTAGGTAAATGTGCTGAGTGCTCAAGTTGGGTGCTATGTATTATTGTAAAGTATGAAGACAGTTCCTAGGTCTACCCAAATCACAGGGGACAGAGGTGGCTTTTAGAATTTTCCTTTGCCACGAGTCTCTCTCTACCCACTTAAGGAGACTTGCAGCTTGTTAACATCTCAAAGAGGAAGGCAGATGCAGGGAGCCCCATAAGTCTCCCAGTTCTCAGCCCATGCCTGGAATCCTAGTTACTCCAGTGGCAGAGATCAGGAGGATGGTGGTTCAAAAACCAAGCCCCCCACTCCTGTGAAAAAACCCATCACGCACACAAAAAAGGGCTGGAGGAGTGGCTCAAGCTTAAGAGCACCTGCCCAGCGAGTGTGAGGCCCTGAGTTCAAACCCCATTGCTGCCAAAAATAAGTATCTAAAAGGAGATGGGGGGGTGGGGCTAGCTGCTCTGAATTTTTAGTTTTATTTCCTTATTCCAGTGTCTGAGTCTGGCCCCTTAAACATTTATTAAAATAACAATTGCCCCGTCTCCTCATCTATCTATCCAGTCTTAGCCTACTGCTGACATTGCTTTAGTGCTGTGAAAGCTGTACCTATGTGACTCACCCAGCCCTTGTCCTGTGGTCGCCCGTGGGGCAGATGTTTGTTTGCTTTCACAGGTTGTGAGTGGCTCAAGCCTTAGAGTGCCTGCTTTGCAAGTGTGAAACCCTGAGTTCAAACCTCAGTTCCACCAACATAAACAAGTTGTTACTGCAAAGTCAGTGCAGTTGTTTAACCTGCTTCTGGGCTCAAGAAAAGGATTCAGGCAAAATACGAAGAAAATACAGTGAATGTGATAAGTTTGTTAGGAAAGAAGTTTAGTCTAACAGGATAAAAGCAGGGAGAAATGGGACTAAAGACGATAAAAGGACTTTCCAAGTGTCTAGCACCTCTAATCAGGAAGACAGTGGATCTAGATGACTAGTGTGGGTGCTAAAACCTGGCGATGTCACCCAGGCCCACCCAAAGCAGGGGCAGTGGGTGAGTCTTATGACTTCCCTTGGCCAGGCATTCCTTTTCTTCTGTCCCTCCACCCCTCCCGGGAGCCTTGCAGCTTATTACCATCTCAATGAGAAGGCCAGACCGCGGGCCTGTCTCAGTGGTAGACCACCTGCCTATAAGCTCAGGGCCCAGTTCCAACCCCAGCACCACCAAAAAATCCCCCCAAACCCACAAAAACAAAGACATGAGCCAAAGAGAAAGGCAGACGGCCCTTTATGGCTCTCAGTTCTTGTAACTTAATATCTAAAAGGTGGGCGGGGGTAGCTGCTCGGCTTTTCAGTCTTTACTTCCTTGTTCCGATGTCTAAATTGGGCCCTTTTAATATTTATTAAAATAGTCAAGCACTGGTGGTTCATGCCTGTAGTCCTAGCTACTTGGGAGACTGAGATCAGGTGGATTGTGGTTCAAGGCCAGCCCGGGAAAATAGTTCTCAGGACCCTATCTCCAAAATAACCAGAGCAAGGTAGACTGGCGGTGTGGCTCAAGCGGTAGAAAGCAGTCTTTGTAAGCATGAAGCCCTGAGTTCAAATGCAGTTCCACCAAAAAAATTAAAAAGTATAATTGTTCTGTCTCCATCTGTTCTGCCTCATAGGTGATAAGAGATACCGAGACACCAGGGCCACCTGTGTCTCCAGCTGTGCCTGCAAGCTGGGTGTGGCTGCAGACACCTTTCCCAGCTGTTTTGCAGGTCTCGAGGTCAGAGTTTTTACAGGGTGCAGCTCTGTCTCAGCTGCCGCTCCTTCTCAGCACTTGTCCTGGGGAAGCAGCTGGCTCCAGGTCTCAGCTGGATCGCTTTAGCTTGCGGGGAACAATGGCAGGCACTGCAGAGGAGAGAAGGCGGAGAGGAAGTCAGCAGAGTGGGGGGTGAGGGTGGGAGGGAGATCCCTGGTTTCCAGTTGAGGAGGCGCTGGACTTGGGACAGGGCAGTGGCCGTGAGTTTCGATTGATTAGGGACCTTCTGGGCCATAATCTTTTCTCTTTCCCAGAAAATGAAACTGAAGCAGGACGGGGTCACATGACAGGAGGCGCAGGCTTATAGCCAGCAGCCGGGAAATGTGTGCTCTTTCCTGCAGGTCTGCAGGGCCCTTGCGCGTTGGTGGCATGGAGTGTGCTCAGTGCAAGCATGTCTCCAGAGAGGATGCTGCCAAGTTCTGCAGCCGGTGTGGAACCAGGCTTCATCCGGCAGACCCGAGAGCAGGTGAGCCAATTGGGGTAGGGGAGAGTGGGGGGGGGTGTAACGGCACCTGGCGCCAGCTGGGAGACCTGGGGCTCGAAGGCCAAGTTCCTGCTTTAGAACCATCAGGTGCCTGTGACTTTTTAAAAGTTCAGTTTCATTTCTTTGAGAGAACTGGGGTTCCCTTCCTTCCCCCTGGGGGAAGCCTCAGTCTGTGACTGAGCCAAGGGCCCAGAAAGGACTTCAGAGGAGTCTCAGGAGGGCTGCTGTTGGTTTGTGCTGTGACTGTGAGGGGTCCCCACAGCTCACCTGCGCTCCGTTCTGGCTCGGGCTGTGGATGGAGGGCTCCTGAGTCCTAGAGCTCCTGAGTCAGGGCTTTAGATCAGGTGAGCCTCACCTGCTGTCCTCTCCCCACCGCACCCGGGGACACCCCAGGGTGCCACTTCTCAGGAGATGATGCTGTCAGTCCACTGCTTTATCCCACACTCTTGGCACAGTGCCACACACATTTGGTGCCCTGTATTTACTTGCTGTCTACACCAGGAAAGGGATAAGACCAGGTGTTGTCTGAAGGCACACAGGTGCCTTTCTGGTACTGTTGTCTGCATAGGAACTTCAGGCCCACGCTGGCTGACAGTCAGATCTGGGACTTCCATCTTTTCTTTTTGGACCCCTAGGACTTGGGTTACAGAATCATGGGCACACCTGATGACCATCTGATGGCCAACTGATCACAGATTCCTTGCAATAGAGATGGAGGGGTGGGATGACCGAGCCTCTTGTTGAGGGGTCCGCATTCCGAGCAGGATGTATCTGCCTGGATCAAGGCCCTGGGGCCAGGGTTTGTAGTTCCAGAGATTAAAAAAGCATCCCATCTGCTAATCTGGGTGTGCCTGGCCCTGTGCTGAGTATAGAGTATCATAAATCCCCATCCTACCAGTGCTGCGGGTGGGGCACAGAGAGGTTAGGTGACTTGCCCATAGTCACACAGCCAGCAAGTGGCAGAGTCTGGAGCTTGTACCTCAGCATGAAGGGAGGAAATGAACAGGCAGGTCTGGGATTGTTTAATGAGGTGCATGGGACAATGCAAAGTGGTCCCCAATGTGGTCTCCAATGGCAGCTGAAAGGGGGTGGAGTGGGGCAGACAGAGCACCTTGGGGAGCTTCATTTACTCTCCAGGCCCTTTGGGGAGACAGGCAGCCTCACGTTCATCCTTGTCCCTGAAAGATCCCCGTCCCTTTGCCCTTCCTTTCATGTTGGGTAAGGAGCTGCAGAGGCAGCCCACGTGTTTGCCAGCCTAACAGGAAGAAAAGCATAGCTCTGTCTGAGAAATGGGTGGTGACTTTTTACAAGACGCTATAAACCTTTTCATACCCGAGCCTCTTCCCACTGCCTTCCAGGAAGGCAGGAGGGGCTTCCCACCTCGCCGAGTCAGCTTGCACAGGGTGCCAGCCCTTGCTTCCTCACACCCGGCTGTGATTCTGTTTACAGAAATAGAAACTGAAACCAGGGCTGAGATGTGGCCCGGAGGTGGAGCACTTGCCTGCTACTTAGGTCCCTGAGTTCATCCCCAGCACTGCACACAGACACTGAACCCAGGATTTGGGGTGCTGGCTGGATCCACGGAGGAGGCAGCAGTCCCTTCTTTCAGCCTCTTGCAAGTTCTCCAGGTGCCCAAGATTGGGTGGCCCAGGTGCTGGGTCCTGGTGCTGCAGGAGAGGGGGATTTAGGTGGGCTGGGGGCTCAGACAGGGCAGAGTTCTGCAGGGCCAGCCTCTGCCCAGAGGCTCCCAGAAGCTGGGGTGTTGGGGACCCCATGGATGAAGGCACGGAGGGCAGCATTTGGGGGTCTCAGGTGGAGGGTGGTAGCTTTACAGGGTGGGAGGGGGAAGAAAGTGCTGTGACTGAGGACTGCGCCTCAGGTTGGGGATGTCCTGGGAGGTTTCTTCAATATGTAAATTCAATTTGTGCCTCAGGTGCTAGAAGGTTATTTTTTTGTGGGGGGGTGGTGTATTTTTTATTTTCTGCATTTTCCAAGTTTTTATTAAAGCTATGTGGTTTTGTAATGAAGAAAGTAAGACCAGAGTTCCATGGCAGTGAGGGCGGGGAAGGTCGGGAGGCTGTGCACGTGTGTGTGTGTGTGTGTGTGTGTGTGTGCGCGCGTGTGGTGGGAGTGGGAGTTCTGGGGTCCAATGCCTCTCACTGAAGGAACAGTCCTGCCTTGGGGGCCAGAGGGGATTAGGGTTCAGCCTCGCCCCTGGTGTGGTGGGGTAAACCGTTGATCAAGAGGGGATGAAAGCCTGATACTGAGGTACCTGAGGGCTCCAGGGACCAAAGGGGACCCAGACTCAGTGAGGGACACTTGCAGACTTAGTTCCCCCAGGTGGGTGGGAGGGGGTTGAATGTCCACCAGGTGGAGGAGGGGCCAGAATAGCCTGGGTTTTCCAAGTTTTGTCCACTCCTATCCCCCAGGTCCTGGCATACACCAGGGTAGGCTGGGAGAACGATGTTCTATGTGCTGGTTTTTTGTTTTTTCAGTTGTGACAGAATAGTCGCAAGGTACGATTTGACATTTTGATCCTCTTTCAGGATACAGTTGGTGGCATTAAGCACATTCATGTCACCACCCTCCATTTCCAGAACTTTTTCTTTGTTTTGGAGACAGAGTCTTTCTGTGTCTCCCAGGCTGGCCTTGAACTCTCAATCTTCCTGCCTCTGCCTCCCAAGTGCTGGGATTATAGGCTTGAGCACCACCCTTGGTTCCAGAACTTTTTTCCTCTTCCCAACTGAACCTCTGTCTCTCTCACAGCCCCTGGCACCCACCTCTCCTTGTGTCCCCATAGTCTGACCACTCTGGGGACTCCCCCCAGCACTATAGTTGCCTGCATCCTGGTTTCGAAGCCTGTTATGCTCTGGATGGGAAGCTGCAGCTGTTTTCCAAGTGAGGGCGAGGTGGAGATGGCTTGGAGTTCAGGCTGGCTGGTGGCCAGCACAGGTTGGGGTGCCTATGGCTGTAGCCTGGACCTACTGCCAAGATGGTCATTTATGAGCCTCACCTTGGATGTCGCCACAGCTGACTAATTTAGATTAAATGAATTTTGTGTGACATTTTGACTCATTCTGCTATCCAAGCGAGGCCCCCACTGTTCTCTCCATCACTAGGGTCTGTGTGAAGAAGAGCTTTTTAGATACCTGTGCTTGGTCCTGCTGCCAGCCTGCTCCTGTGAGCTGGGAGTTCTGCTAGGGACAGGAATTTGCTCTGATTCAGCCACATGTGACAGGGCCTGGATGACAGTAACCTGGAGTGCTGTTTCCTCTGCCCCAGCTACCTCTGAAGCTTGTAGGAGACAGTGCAATTACTCCTGGTGCTGCCAGAGGATCTGGGCAGGTTGCCTAACCTCTCTGTTCCTCCATTTTTTCACCTGTGGAGCAGTGACCTGCCAGGAAAGCGGCTGCTGTGAGGAGTTCACGAGGTATCACAGTTTAAAGTATTTTGTGCTGGTTAAGCATTCACTCTTTTTTTTTTTGCAGTACTGGGATTTGAACTCAGGGATTACAACTTGAGCCACTCCACCAGCCCTTTTCTTGTGATGAGTGTTTTCAAGATAGGTCTTGTGAACTATTTGCCCTGGCTGGCTTGAAACTTTGATCCTCCTGATCTCTGCCTCCTGAGTAGCTGGGATTACAGGTGTGAGCCGCCGGTGCCCAGCTCATTTCTGAGTCCTCACGTGTGTAGAAGCCCTGTGGTCAGCAGCACCTGGAGCAGCTGTATGGCAGAGCCTGTCTCAGGAGCCACCAGCCCTGAGCACTTTCCTGACAGGCTGTGTCTGTGACAGAGCCCCTGCCCCAGGCTGGTCTGCTGGGAGGATGTGTCCTGTACATCCAGGACTCTGCATTTGCAGTGTGGCCTTTCGGACTTCTCTCCAGCTGCCCGCCTGGCCATAGTGTCTCCACCCCAACCCTCTCTGGCTTCTTTGATTGTATTTAGGGATAGTCAAGGACACAGATAGAAATGGCAGCTCGTTGCTCCTTCTGGTTTCCTTTACTGGGGAAGCCAAGCATTTTGGGGAAAAGTTGAGGCCACTTTTCCCCAAAAGGGAAAACCAAGAGGGAACCTCTCTTGGTTTTTTTCTTTTTGATACTGGGACTGTTTATGTTGAAGAAACTCAACAACAACCCCTCCCTTCTCAGCAGAAAGGAGGAAGCCCAAGCCCTGGCTGGAGGGGTTCAGGTGGGGGGGGTGCGTTTGCTCCTTTCTGTGGTCCTTGCAACCCCGCCCTCTCCTCAGCTTTGTCCTCAGGCTCAGGTCAAGTGGAGCACAGGCAGCTTCCCTCCAGAAGGACACATGGACGTATCAGATATGCCACTAACAGGAACCCTTCCACACTTCTTGCTATCAGCCTTTTCTGAGTCAGTCACTTGGGAAAGATGCCAGGTTCTGACTGGGTTAGGCTGACTGGACTGATCACCCCGCTGCAGTAGTGAGGGGAAGGGGGAGAACTCAGAATCCCCAGGTTCTTACTAAATGTCAGTTCTGCACAGAAAAAGGACTGGGGATGTGGCTCAGTGGTAGAGAGCTTGCCTAGCATTTATAAAGCCCTGCATTCGAACCCCAGCCAGGCAAAAAAAAAAACAAAAACAAAACAACAACCCAGACCTTGCACAGAAGAGATGAGTAGTGACCCAGTGAATGCTGGAGAAGGCACCCAAAAGTGGGTACACCCTAGGCACGCCTGGGACCTTGGAGAGTGGTCTTGGGGGCTGAGGCTAAGAGAAGGTTCCAGGCATACAACCAGGCTTGAGATGACACTGTCTAGAGTGAGAGACTGTGGAGTCATGGGGACCCTGGCTTGAAAACAGAGATGCCATGAGATGTGGGGTTCAGGCTTAGGTGTGTGCAGTTGGAGAGAGCGTGTGGGTGGTACCTCTGCACAGGTATGGCTCTTGGTTGATGGGGTGCATGGATTGGCTAGGTATCCAGAGACCCCTGGCAGAGATGCTTGGACTGGGGTGCTCCTCAGTAAAGAGGACAAATGTCTTTGGCAGAAGGGAAAGGGTGACCAGTTCTGTTTTAGAGCTGTGGGGTCTGAGGTGCTGCAGGTACCCCAGTGTTATGTCTGGTGGACTGCTTGGCCTCTGTCTGTCTGCCTCACTCCTCATCCTTCAGTCCTGACCCCGTCCTGCAGGGCCGAGAGCAGAAACCACCCCCAGGACCTTGGAGGGGGTCAAGGTTGATCCCTCCAGGCATACTCCTGGGAAGGTTCCAGTTTGCCCTTTCAGAGCTCAGTGCTTTACCTGACTCCTCCTTTATCTGCTGTGTAGATTCTGAGAACAACAACTCTGTGGTGGCCTCAGCCCCAGAGGAAGAGATGGAGCTTGGAGAAGCTCTGAAGGTGGAAGAAAACCTGAGTTTGTCTTTAAGCTCCGGAGACTGGCAGGTGATTCCAGACGAGTCCAGTTCTGATGCCTCCTGGACGGTCCAGAAGGTGAGTGATCTATCCCTGTGTCCTCTGTCCCCTTGCTGTGCACTTCCCCAAAGCTCTTTCCTGATACGGTTCTACTGGTGACTGAGATGGGTCAGTTCTGTGTCACCCTCACTGTTCCTGCGTCTCCACAGTGGCCTCTCCGGGACAGCCTTACTGCATAGCTGTCCCACTGGTTCCTGAAAGTGCCACTGCCCATGGAGCCCTGCTTCCCAGTACTAGTAGAGCTGCCCTTTGTTCCTGGTTCATCTAGAAGCTATGGCTTCTGGGTTGGGTGTGGGGCTGGGCTTCTGCCACCTGTGGCCCCGTGCTCCTCTGGGTCTCTCTGTACTGAGGGTGCGAGCCTGGAGGTGACTTGCCATTTGTGAGCAGGACGGGTGTTCAGGACATGCACTGGCTGCTGGGATGCCCTTTTCCACAGGATGAGCTGAGCTCTCTTTTGTCTTCCCATGGCCTCCAGTTGCCCCTTCCATGTGTCAGACACACAGGATGCATTCTCAGGAAGGGTCCAGTCAGAGCCCTTGGCCAGGCTTCCCAGAGGATCTTCCTGGAAGTGGTCCAGAAGAACAGTTGGGGCTCCTGGGCTCAGTTGGAGACCCAGACACCAAGTCCAGCTTCTAGGTTTCCTGCTGGATGCAGAGAGATGGAAGTCATTTTTCTGTAACCAGGTTGGACCTGGTTTTCTTCCTTTCTCCCTCCTTCCTTCCCTTTCTTCTTTGCTTCCTCTGTATGTCTCCCAGTCTGGCCTTGAACTTGTGATCCTCCTTTCTCAGCCTCCAGAGTGCGAGGAGTGGCTGGTTTTCTGTCTTGTTCCTTGTGGGTGGTGCTCTGTGGTGTAGCCGGGATGAGAAGTGACACAGCAGGCAGTGCTCTGGTCTGTTGTTAGTGTGTATGTGAGGTGTATCAGTGGTGTGTGTGTGTGTGTGTGGTGTGTTGGTCTGTGTGTGTGAAGGGGTGTGAGGTGTGTGTATGTGGGATGCAGCTCAGTGGTAGAGCACTTGCCTAGCATGTGCAAGGCCCAGGGTTCCATCTGTCACTTCAACTCCCCCCCCAAAAAAAAGCCCAAACAAGCAAAAACCAGCGTGCAATCAGGGTACCAGGGTAGACAACCCAGAAATAGGAGTCTGGAGGGTGTAAAAACACTTGGAAAACAGATGTGAGTGTGATCTGGGTGCAGATTTTCTAGTAAGCAAAGGAAAAGGTACAAACAAAAGTTGTTATGTTGGTCACTAGAAAAGTCTCAGAAGAACTAAAAGCCTCAGGCTATGCTAAACGGACATGGAGAGCAAGCACCCTGGGAAAAATCTAGCATAGCTGTCTCTTCATGAAAATATACGCTAAAGAGTGTCACAGAAGTAGAGGAAAGAATCTGAAGAAATAATGACCAAAACCTTCACAAACTTGGTGACAAATACTAATCTCGAAGCTCACCAAATGCCAAGACACATTAGAACTCTAAATTAGAACCTGCTGGGCGCAGGTGGCTCACATCCATAATCCCAGCTACTTGGGAGGCTGAGATGGAGAGAATTTGCCTGGGCAAATTGTTTGTGAGACCCCCATCTCCAAATAGAGCAAAATGGACTGGAGGAGTGGCTCAAGCAGTAGAGCGCCTGCTTTGCAAGCACTGAATGCACTCCTTAGCCCCTTCCCCTCCGAAAGAAAAGGCATTAGGATTAAACTGTCAAGTTAAACATAGAATCTTTTAAATTTAGCAGCAGGTGAACAACTTGTCACATATAAGGGACCCTCAATTAGAGCAACAGTCAGTTGCTCACCAGAAACCATTGAGTCCAGAAGACAGCAGGATGCCATATCCAGAGTGGGGAGAGAAAAATACAACTGTCAAGAATAATTTCCTATGTAGAAAAATATCCTCAGCTGGAGGGTAAAGAGCTTAGCGAGCATGCATGAGGTATTGGATTGATCCTGGGACCACAAATAATAAAATAAAATAATGCAGTGTTCAACTGTGTGAATCCATTTATAGAAAATATGCAGAACAGGCATATCCATAGAGAGACAGCACGCCGGTGGTTGCCAAGGTCTGGGAGATAGAGACCAGTTTCCTATTGGGGTGACGAGTATGGGAGCCTTTTAAATAGTGTACTGAACACCACTGAGGTCACTTTAAAATGATTGGTTTGGGGCTGGGGTGCTGCAGCTCAGTGGTAGAGCACTTGCCTAATGTGAGTCCCTGGGCTGGATCCCCAGCACTGTTAAAAAAAAAGGTCCATTTTATATGATGTTAACACTATGTACAGACTGTCATAAAAGATTTGTAAAACTGATGCCTGAATGTGCACAAGCCACACCTGAAATTTGGAGCCAAGTGCACAAGTGAACACTGAGATTAGTGTGCAGAGGCTCTGTGTATTCCCAGTCCCATGGTGAACTTGTGTGGGTCTTCATCTGCAGGTGATGTACGCATTGCCAAGAATAGGTCTCAGGGATGATCACAGGTTTGATGCTCCAACATTGTGGGATGATGCAGTACCAAGATAGATGGGCTCAGAAGCCAAGATGGCCAGGCACTTACAAGCCCCATCCCAGCAGAGTGGGTCCTGCTACCCATGGATGGGAGTGTGTGGTGAAGGGGATCCTGGGGGAAGTCACCCTTTCCTATTAGTGGGGTTTCCAGTCTCCACCTAGTTTTGTTTGGTGGCCACTCAGTGCCAACTAGCAGGTGCTTTTTGCTGGTGTCACTTTCTCTCAGAGGCTAATGGTTTGCACTTCACACAGTAAGGGAAGGGTAAGTCCGCCTATACAGAATGTGTTAGATGGAAGGCCCTGGCTGACCCTGCACCCTCGGTGTGCTTCCCTTCCTCAGCCTCCTGCTGTGCTGCTTGGTTTGAGGTGACAGGAGTTGGCTAGACCCTTGGCACTGCCTGGTGGGGTCAGAGAAGTGTGCCCACTCTGATCTCAGTTTATGAAGGCCTGGCCTGGCTCTGCCTTAGGTACCTGGGCTGGTGTGCCCCTTCTCATGTCTGAAGCTACATCTGTCTGGAACACTGGCACAGGCGTGCGGGTGGAGGCCCTGGGGACTGGGCCCTCAGTTTGCATGTATGGGGAGGTCGGGGTTTCAGGGCACTTCCACTGTTGTGTGGCCTGGCTCTGACCGCCGGCAGGGGCCCTTTCTTGGTTTTCTTACACCCTCCAGCCTGTTGGCCCTGGGCCACCAAAGATTCTGGTGAGCTGGCTCCATGCCCATGAGTGGGTAGCCCTGCTCAGTAGCCATACTGAGCTAGGGATCCTTGGTGATTTTGCTGGAGTGGTGCATGGGGTAACCCTGGCCTGTCTGAAGGGGCTCGTTTTTCAACAGGGAGTGGTCCTCGAAGTTATAGATCCTGTAGACGACACAGCCAATGGGCTGGGAACTGCTCATTACCCTCCCGACAAGAGGAGGAAAGAGGATGCAACTGTATCTGACGACGTGAGCGTGTTGTCTGCAGACGCTGTGCAGGTAGTGCCCATGCATCATTGCACAAAATGCCTTGCACCCCAGCCCTGCATGTTTGTAAGCCACCACCTCACTGAGGGCCCAATCTTGGCAGAGAAGGAGGACTCAGGGCACTGAGCCATGCCCAGGTTGTACCTGTGCCAGTCTATGACATAGCAGTGCTGACTCAGGTTGTGGCTGTAGTGACTGAGGATATTTTGGGAATGCTGCCTATCCCGTCACTCAGCTTTTATTTCTTGTGAAACTTTCCTTTGTCATCTGGAGAAATTAATTTTCCCCAACCAAAGCTCCATAAGCAACCTAGCACTCTTCTCACAGAAAAGAACAGATCAAGCCTGTGTGATCTGCAGGTGCCCAGGAACAGACAGGGGGCCAGGTGAGCTTGTGCCCTGGCCAGCAGGTCCTAGACATATTCAAAACACCAGCAGTATGGTGGGTGCCCTCTTGAACTCCCCTCCCCCCTTTTTTTTTTGTGGTACTGGGGTTTGAACTTGGGGCCTACACCTTGAGCCACTCCACCAGCCTTTTTTGTGATGGGTTTTTTTTGAGATAGGGTCTCAAGAACCATTTCCCCAGATTGGAACTGGCTGATAGGTCACTAGCACTCTAGCTTAACAGAAGTAGGGTGGCTTCAGACACTGGAGAGTGATTCAAAAAGAGTTACTTCCTGTACCTGTCAGACTTTTCCCGGCTGTGACAAAATACCTGACATAAATAACTTTAGGGAAGATGGATTTATTTTAGTTCGTGGTTCCAGAAGTTTTTGTCCACAGTTCTTGGCTTCGTTGTTTCTGGGCCTGTAGAGAGACAGAGGGTTATGGCATCAGGAGCATGAGGCAGCCTCCTGGCTTTATTGATAGAGAGAGGGAGGGGAGAGGGACAGAGAAGGGAGTGGGGATAAGGTACAGCCCCCAATAACCCAACCCCAGTGACCTACTTCCTCCAACTAAAGTTTCAAAATAGTGCTACCCGCGGGGGACCCAGCCTTCAATGCACAAGGCTTTTTGCCAGACACTTCACAGCCCAAGGATTAAATGAGCAGCCACTGCCCTGTAAGGTCACCCCGGGCCCTGCGAGTCAGGTCGATCAGTGCCTGTGGACTGGATGTGGCAGGAGCTCCCACTGTGGTGCTTGGTGCCTGTAACACAGGGGCTGGACTTGGCCAGACTGACAGTGCAGTGGGCATGGTGAGCCCTTCAGGACGGAAGCACAGGTGGAGAACTACACCGGGGCTGGGCCGTGGCTCAGAGGTAGTGTTTGCCTAGCGTGCAGGGGCTTTGGGCTCTATCTCCATCATTGAAAACAAAAATGCAGAGGACAAATGAGTTAGGAGAAAGGCGAACCTGAGCCTGCAGGGAAGAGGATGCTTCCTGAGAAGGAAGATAGAAGTTTTGATGTTGGGAAGCGATTTGTTCTCACCCCAGATTTGTACATGGAACCAGCTAGTAAATGTAAAAGATAGTGTAGATCTGAATGGGTTTCATTTTGTCGGAAAGATTCTCTAGATCACTGGAGTATAAATTGCCGGGAGTACCTATTAGGGATGTGAAAAAGAAGGCAAATGAATGGAGATTTATCGTAAAGGTACCAAGCTACAGGAATGGCCACATTCTACCAGACTAGTACTCTTGATGCTGAGGCAGGAGGATCATGAGTTCAAGGCCAGCTGGGGCTACATAGCTGAGATCCTTTCCTCAAGAAACAGGATAAATAAAAACAGACAGTATAAATGAATGCTGCATTTACATAATTACATAAGTCTTCCTAAGCCTCAAGGAGGTTCACACAGTGTCTGCCTGTTCTCTGATTCCTTCTGCTCTCGCCTGCCTGTGCCCAGGGCTGTACTTGTCCTCGTGACTTCCCTGAGTAGTGGTCCCTCTCTCAGACACTCCCCTCTTGTCACTTCTTCAAAGCCATGGTGCATGCTGGTGGAGACACGGCCAGTCTCTGTACAAGTGAGGAAACTGGTCTTAGAGAAGCGAGTGGGTTTTGCGCCCATGGCTCTGGTTGGAGCTCTTCCCAGAACAAGGCTCTGGTGACCAGCTGGCTAGAAGGAAGTGCTGAGCTGCTATCACAAGAGAGGCCATGCTGACCTTGGCCCTCCTGGCTTCTCCTGAGCAGCCCTTCTTATCAGTCCTACTAGGAGGAGCTGGCTGGCCCCCCAGGGGTTGGGGAGCACCGAGCACCCAATTGTCACCCTCCTGCTCTTGGGCCTATGTAGTTTCACTGTCCACCTGCCCTTGGCTGTCAGTCTCCAGCACTGCCCCACCTGCGAGAGGACGTGGCCAGCACAAGATGTCCCTCCAGCCTGTCCATGTGGCTGACCAGTGCCCGATCCTGATGGTCTTTTGATGGCTCTGTCTGGACCACGCACTGGGGCTTCACATCCTCTCTGCTTAGGTTCTCACCTCAATCTCGTCGCCATATTCTCTCTCTTTTCTTTTTCCCCCCATTTTGGGTTTTTGTTTTTGGGGTTTTTTTTGTGTATGTGTGTGTAGTGATGGAGGTTGAAGTCCTTCTGGCTCTGCTTCCCAAGATTGCTGCTGAGATTCCAGGCATGCACCATCACACCCTGCTAATCATTACCTTGACCCTTCATTGTGTCCACAGCAGGTTTCCTTCTTTGCTGACCATCCTTGAATGCCTGTTCCTTGGCCCCACCCCTCTTCACCCCATCCTCTGTTCCCTAGAGCCTGCATCCTTTTGTGGCTGACTTCTTACCTGCTCAGGCCCTGCTAGCCCCAGATGCTGGTGGATCCCGCCCTCCCCCCCTCACCCCCCAAATCTCAACTCCAGTCTCCTATTTCAGGGCTGGACCAGGGTAGTGAGTGATGCCAGGCCATGCAGGAGGCTTTTTTTTTTTTTTTTTTTTTGTGGTACTGGGGCTTAAACTCAAGGACTTCACCTTCACTCCACCAGCCCAATTTTTTCTGGTAGCATTTTTTGAGATAGAGTCTCAAGAAGTATTTGCTTGGACTGGCTTTGAACCTCGATCCTCCTGATCTCTGCCTCCTGAGTAGCTAGGATTACAGGCGTGAGCCACCGGCACCCGGCCATGCAGGGGTCTTTGGGCCATGCTGGACTTTGGCTTTCAGTCTGGTGGAACAGGAGGCTGTGGGAGGCCATGCTCGTCTTCCATCACAAACACTTGCAAGTCTCTACCAAAGAGACAAAGCCATGGCCCTTGGGCTGCTGCATCTTTCAGACTCAGGCCTCTGCCACCTCCTCAGGAAGGGTCAGGTGGCCTCTGACCTTTGCCGTGCCCTCGCTGTGCTGCCTGCTTTGTGGGATGGGACCCTGTCAGTCTCTTACGTCCTTGTGCCTCAGAGACCCAGGTGACCCAGTAGGTCTTTGTGGAAATGAAGCCCTTTGGATAAAGTACTAAAATTCCTACAGTTCTGTGAAGGGTCCAGGGTGGTGTGGACCTTCACGCACCCTGTAGCTGGCTGACTTGGTGGTAACCACAGCAGCTGCTCGTTGAACCATCAGGAAGCTGCTGGAGACAGCTGGGGCCCAGGAACACCCAGACCCATCAAGTCAGGGTGTACAGACTGGGGGTGGGAGCACGGCTTCCCTGTAGTTCTTAGGCAATGCATTGTGTGACCACCAGTTGCCCATGGGTCTCCTGCTCACAGCAAGGCCTGGACTGGCAGCATCAGCTTTGCAGGTCCCCGTGGAAACCAGGAACCTCGAGGTCTGCCCACCTCTGAGTGTGAACAACATCTGGCTGCACTTGGAAGTTGGAGAAGTTTCTGCTTTAAGTTTCTTAAACCTGTTTTTCTTTTAGTGGATGTCGGTTCTCAGACAAGCTGAGGACTCCCTCTGTAGGGCTCCTGGGGTGGGCTGAGGTTGTCTGGGTGGGTCTGCAAGGGGGTCCCTTAGGACAGAGTGACCCAGAAGGAAGCTACAGATGTATCGCAAGTTCTTCTGTTTCCTTTTTCCAGATGACTTAATTGAGGTGTGGGGGCTGTGGGATGGGTGAAGGAACAGTCCCAGCTATCAGTCTGTGTGACGGGGCCTCATGGCTTACTGCCAGGGGTCAGGGGCGACATGATCACTCCAGAACATCACACCCTGGGGCCTTGTGGGTCCTGGGGAACCCAGCACACCTACCCCTCAGGCTCCAATCCTGGTTCCTAAAGGTGGGGAGCCTGCCTGGGAGCTTGGGGTACAGCTAGGAGCCACCCTAACTGCACCTTTCACCCTCACCTTTTCATTTAGTCCGATTCTTGTGTAGGTGACATAAGCTGCATGGGTCATGGAGAGGCCTGAATGTCTCTAATGTTCAAAATCCATCCTCCAGGGAGATCCTGCCAGAGCGAGGCTCACAGCTTGGCTGGGGCAGACCAAAGGGTGTGGCCATGCTGCCTAGCCAGTTGTCCCTCAGCTCTGCCACCTACCCCCCTTGTTTCTTCCATTCTGCCCAGGGTTAAATAAAAGCCTGCAGGTAGGACGTGAAAGTGACCTGCCACATAAAGCTGGACATACTTGAGAAATGGAGGGGAACTTAGTGGGAGATGCTGGTTAGAGGATAGAGAATCTAAGAAGTAATATTAGCATCTCTTTTTCTGTTCAGAGTAAAAAGAAGAAAAGGAAGAAAAAGAATAAGAACACTTCTGATTCTTCAGAGCCAAGTTCCTTGTCCCTGTCTCCCTCCAGCCTCCAGAGTCTAGATTTGCTTTCAAACCCTGCATCCCAGGACTCAGCCCTGCCCCAAAGCCAAGTCCTGCATGGTGGTCCCACTGGGCAGCCCGGCCAGCCCCAGGTCACAGGGATGGTGTCACCGGAGGTGGACGGCTCAGTCATGCATTCTGAGAGTGGCAGCAGCACCCTGCAGGGTCAAACTACAGGAGGCAGGGATGGTGCTGCGGGAGGTGAGAACAGTGCTATAACCCAGGAACACATGGAAGGGAAGGACCACGACACTTCCACGTGCGCTGTGGACAGAAGCTTCTCCCAGGAGGGATCTGGCCTGACTCCCTCTGCCTGTGAAGGCCTCCCTAATGCTGAAGATGCTGCCTGGAAGTCCCCATTGCCTGAGTCCAAAGGGGACAGCGGTGCTCCCAGGGAGGAAGCACAGACGGCCAGGCAGCAGGCAGCAGCCCCGGCCTCTGGAGTGAGTGTCAGGGAGGGGTGGCTAGGGGTGCCCTCGACAACTTTGCTATGCCATGCATGTCTGGTGTCTGGACCCTGTCTGGGAGGGTGTCTGGGACCTGCTCCCTGGAGTGGGCAGGGAAGAGGCTGCCAGCCCCCCTCTCCCTACAGTCACTCACTCAGCTTATGGCTGATGGTGACCCTTAAGTCACTGGATTGAAGTCTGTCCTTCCTGTTCTGTTTCTGTGGCTCAGAGATTTGGGGTCGTTATTTCTTCCAGCCAATTAATGCTACAGCACAGTCAGCTACTTCAGTTAACAAGGCTGGGAAAGAAATGAAAGACAAGACTCAGAAAACAAAACTGCCACCCGCAAACCCCACTGCCTCCAAGGAGCACTGCCAGGTCAGCCTGGTCTATCTGTGGGACCCTCCTCCCGCCATCTGCCCTGGACTGGTCCTTCCTTAGCCCCTCTCCATGGGATTGCTAGTGAATGTTTATGGGGTGCTAGGGATACAGCGAGAATGAGGCAAAGCCCGCCTTCACAGCACTCCCCGGCTAGAGTGAGAGTGTCAGAAAACACGCCGGGGAGTGAAAGTGCCATGGAGAAGGGTGGAATGAGCGCTGCTGGAGGGTCCCAGGGAAAGTCCTGAGGGGGGAAGGCTGCCTCAGCCCGGCAGCTGGGCAAGGCCTCTGTGGAGGTGATGTAGGAGATGAAACCAGAAGGGGGGAGGGGACGAGCCATGGACTATCTAGGACCATGTCCTGACAAAGGGAATGGTGTGTGCCAATGCCCCAAGGTGGAGCGTGGTGGGGCCTGTTCTCAGAGCAGAGAGGCTGGTGCCCTTGAGTGAGTGAGGGGAGGGGAGGCCATGGGCAAGATTGGAGAGGGGCTTCCGGGGCTTTTGGAAGGTTCTGAGCAGAAATGGACGTGTGTAGACTGTAGGGTGAAGGGGAAGGCTGGTCTTAAACATCGGGGTTGGGTTGCTTGTTTCAGGAAGCTGAATCCAAGGCCAAGCCGACTGTTCCTGGGAAGAAAACGGCTGAAACCAGGATCTTGAAGCCAGAAGACCAGAAGAAACCGGAAGGGAGTGACAGAAATTACGCAGCTGCTGTGAAAAAGGAGGAGCAGAGGAACCAGCGTGCTTCCTCTGTGCGGGAGGCTACAGCCAGGTGGGAAGGGTGCCTGTCTCGGGGGCTGTGGGGGCCACAGGTCCCAGTCCTCCTTTCAGAATCATCCCTGAGGTCACAGGGCCAACATGGCTCTGTGGAACTCGGGAGAGGTCCTAACAGCCCAGACTCCTACCTAACCTGACCTCCCCGCCCTGCCGTCCCCATTGCTTTGGAGCTGGGACAGGGGCTGGCCTCCCTGTTGCAGAGAGGGAAGAGGCCACTCTCTGAGGACGGTGTGTTCAAACCCCGAATGCCATCAGACTTTTATTCGGGTGCATTGATGCACAAACAGCGCACGTGCGCACGTGTGCCTGACACACAGGCCTAGCTACAGTTTCCATCTTGGCTCTCCCCAGCACGCTGAGCCCCGAGGAAGGAGTCACGGTCTACTTCCACGCTATCCTCTCCAAGCACTTCGACTTCAACCCCGACCACCACAGAGTGTTTGTCAGGGGGGGAGAAGGACTGGGGAAGCCAGCCTGGAAGAACGCTTGCGAGATGTACTACACCGAGTGAGTACGGGGGAGGCCGTGAGCTGCCTCCCACCATGTGTGTGCAAGTGATTATGGAAAACGAGTGTTTCTAACAAATATCCCGTCAGGCATCTCGTTGTCCCACTTGGTTGTGGCTCTTTTTTTCTTGATTCTGGCTGGAAGTGTGCGCTGTTCTGAAAGTGTGGATCATCGCTTTGGGTGTGCCGTCCGTGGCGTGTGCGAGAACTGGTTTGTCCAGGGTAGGATGTTCGGATAACCGTCTGTCTGTGTGTCCTGTTGACCCACAGGGACTTATCGGAGAACGGGTCTCTCCTGGATGGCAGCATGGTCATTCCCAAGCAGAGCCTGGATAAACCCATCCCATACAAGTACGTCATTGACCTCGGCAAGGGTAACGTGGAGTACGAGTTCATCTACAAGACTCCGCAGAAGAAAGGCGAGCACGTGAACCGCTGTCTGATCGTGCAGTCTTTCTTGGCGGGCTCCGGAGGTGAGCCACCGTGCGGCACCCGTGCGTGTCTCTGGGGAGCTGACTGCTGGTGTCTGCAGGTCCTTTGCTCCGTGCTGGCCCCTGGTGTTTAATGAAGCCATCTTTGGAAGCCTGGCTCTGGTCCGATACACGGTTGAGACTCAGCACACTTCACCTTAGCCGCTTGCTTGTGTGAGGAAATGAGGAAAGGGGTTTGGACAAAGGAGAGGAGCTGAAGCTGCAGGGAGGGCCAGGCTCAGGTGGAGGATGGCAGGGGACAGGTGAGCAGGGTCACAGGACGAGAGAAGGGAAGGGGGACACAGGAGTTGCAGGTGGTGACTGTACTTGTCTCATCATTACCACGTGCCTCTCAGTGCCTCTTACTCGCCCATCAGAGGGCTCTTCAGTGCCTTCACGTTCTGACTGTTGAGTCCAGAAAGGCCCTCTGGGCAGCTCCATCCCTGCCATTCATTCCCGCACACTCAGCTGTCCTGGTCAGCCTGGGCTCCTAGCCGTATCCTCCTGTCCACCAGGCTGCCCAGGACTCTCCAGGACGGGCCTTGCCAGGAGCGAGACTCCTTCTCTCCATGGCAGCGGCTTGAGAAAAATGACTTTTCTTTTGTGTTGTTAAGGCAACACAAGACACAGAAGTGATTATACAGAGTCCCTACTACTTCACCTTGGGCAAAGACGGAGTCCTAGTAGCTTTTTATAGTATGGATTATTTTCTGTTTTGCAAATTTTTTTTTTTTTGAGAAGTGTCTCACTGTGTTACCCGGGCTGGCCTCTAAGTCCTGGGCTCAAGCCCCCTTCCCGCTTCAGCCTCCCAAGTAGCTAGGACCACCGCACCTGGGCGTAAACGTAGTTTACATTAATAACAGGGCAGTGTGCTCTGAGCACGTCAGCTGTAAGGTGAGGACAGGTACTGCTCCAGTAGTTCCACAGGAAGTGTGGAATTTCCACATTGCTAAGGGCTGCAGAGGTGGTGGGATTTGGAGTGAAGGTCAAGAGATGCTCTCTGAAGGAGGTGATGAATGAGTCAGAAAGTACACAGTCACAGGCCATCACCCGGCAGGGACGAGGCAGAGTCGGGTGTCAGGGCTGCCAGTGCACAGCACCTACCATGTCTCAGAGGCCTCCTCAGACACCTGTTTCCTCACCCATTTTCATTGCTGTGTGTGTGTGGTGGGGTGTGTGTATGGTTATGTGTGTAGTGTGTGTGGTGTGTGCATGTGTGGTGGGGTGTGTGTGTGTGGTGTGTATGGTATGTATGGTGTGTGTGTGTGGGTGGTGGGGTGTGTGTGGTGGGGGTGTATGTGTGTGATGTGTGGTGGGAGAGGGAGCTGGTCATCTTACCCACCACTTTGGTGTTCTGATTACTTCACAGTTGACTTCACTGGGTTTCTAGGTCTGTACTCCTGTCTTTCTGCCAGTCCTAAGAGCAGCCATTAATTCAGCCCCTGCTTTGTGCCAGGTACCTGCCAAGGCCTCTGTCTGGCACACTGGGTGTCTGCGTTGTCCTCTATGGGGTGGGCGTCACTGTTGCCAATACACATGGGAAACAGTGCTGGCACCATCCATACCCACCATGTGCCAGATGACGCTCAGTGCTGGTGAGAGCTGCTATTTAGCACTATACACTTTATAAAGTGCTGTAGTAAGTGTGGCTGGTGTAGAGCACGTAAATGGTGTTCTGCCTTCTGGAGGGCGCTCAGGAGTGGTGGGTTTTGACATTGTCCTTGCTGTCACCCACAGAGTGGCATCAGTATGATGACATCATCTGTATGCGTCCTCCTGGGATGCTGAAAAAGGCCTTGGACCACATCATAGACAAGACGAGGAAGGACCTGGTGAAAGGGAAGCAGATGGCAGCCACAGTGATGCTGGACCGAATCTTCAGCGTCCTCCAGACCTGGAGTGCCATCAACCTGAAGAGCTTTTTCAGCCAGTTCCAGCAGTTTTACCAAGTTGTCCGAGTCCCTATGATTCATGAAGGCACCGCACAGCCATGGCGCACTCTGCAGTATGAAGAGACAGAGGTATGGGGTTCCCTGTTTCACCTGCAGTGCTGGTGTGGTCAGACAGTGTCTCCCGACCTACCAGAGGCCAGGTGACCCCCTGACTGACTGGGCGAGGTGCAGATGGTGGCAGGAAAACCTTGCTCTCTCTTGTCCTGCTGCCTCTTGGGAGAGCGCTCCACCCCTCCCACGTTTCTCTTCCCCCCAGTGCGGTCTGAGCCCCATGCCTGGCGTTGGGAACTCTGGACCACCCTACATGGGGTGGAGTGGAAAGAAAGGGGCCCTGGTGGTCTGGAGACAGACCTGGAGCTGTCTTGGAGGCGACAGTGAGCCCTCTCCAGCATTGCCCCCCTAGCTCCCTCCCCACAGGGCTTGGGATCGAATGTTCACAACCCCCTGCTGCCCCTTGGGTGGTGGGGGGCGCAGGGCCAGGCCCTGTGGAGCTCCCCCTGCCCTTGGGTCTTGGTCCCCTGCCCAGCTCTGTGCAGCATGAGGCCTGCACCCAAGGGCTCCTGTGTCATCTTCTCCTCGTGTCAGGTAAAGAAACACCTGTGGGAGTACATGAAAAAGCAGATGGTGCCGTTTTTGGAAGGAAAGAACAAGGAGTCTCTGCCCAGAGACTGTGCAGTGAGGAGCAAGCTCAGAATGGGTCTGATCATTCTTTTTGTGGTGGAAAATACCCAAATTTCCTTACCCGAAAGTGACCTGATGTCACTGTGCTACCTCCTCACCCCGTGTGCCAGTTCAACAGACACCCTCGACAGTGACCTAAACCACTTCCTTGGCGTATCTCAGAGGTATTTCTGATTTTTCTCAAATACTTTAAAACTATTTATTACGTTTTCAACTGATTATAATAATAAGCACTTGTAGAATGGCAGAGAGTACACAAGGAATAATAAAAACCACCCCAAATTTTAACACTCACTATTGTCATTTCAGTATTTATTTCTCCAGCCCTTTTCTACTATAAATATTATCAATATCATTTTTATTTTGAGACAGGGTCTCGCTAGATAGCTCAGGGTGGCCTGTAACTCCTGTGTATCCCAGCCTGGACTCAAACTCACAATCATCCTATCTCCCTCTGAATGCTGGGATTGCAGGTGCCATCACACCTGGCTTATTTTTGATGTTATTATGTTCTGTATTCTCTTGAATACCTTGCTTTTAAAAGCTCCCTGGAACCAGGTACAGTTGCATGCGTGTGTAATCCCAGCTACTCAGGAGACTGAGATAGGAGAATGTTTTGAGCCTAGCCTGGGCAATCTAGTGAGACTCTGGGTTCAAAAAAATAGTGCATAAAATAAAGTCAAAAATAGCAACAGAAAGCTTCCCAGTACAGCAATAGCAGCCTCCCGCACAGGTTGTGGTGTCTGTGAAAGCCACTGGGATGCATTTGTTCCCTGTGCTCTGCCTTGGTTTTTTTTGTTTGGTTGGTTTGTTTGTTTGTTTGTTTTTGGCAGCACTGGGGTTTGAACTCAGGACCTCATGCTTGCTAGGTAGGCACTCTACCACTTGAGCCACTCTGCCAGCCCTTGTGCTCTGCCATGGCCATTTAGTTTGAGAAGCACACTGTCACCGTTGGGCCATGGACCATTGGGTGGTGACAAGGCACTGACCTTTTATGTGGTAGGGGAGACCTCCTCTGAGCCCTGTGAGCCTGCAGCCCTGTTTGTGGCTGTGTCTGACTTGAGCTTGAGGGTGTCATCAGGCAGCTCCTGTTGGTGCTATATGTTTAGAATATGCAGGAGATCTCTGTATGTTTTGTAAAAGGGGAGGAACAATGGCAAGGACATGGGAGCTGGCACAAGTGAGTGGGAGGATTAGGAAGAGCTAATACGTGTAGCCGGGACGTAGGCCATGCGCCGTTTGCAGGCGCACCCCCTCCATTTAAAAAGCTGCCTTGCATTTAGATTTACTGAGGCCAGACTCTAAGAGCTCCTCAGGGTAAATGGCGGTGACTTCAGCGCAAGTCCAAGGTAGGGAGGACAGGGCATTCAAACGCACTAGGGGTGAGCCAGTGTACCCACCTCCCTGTGACCAGTGTTTCCCGCTGTGATGACACTGTTGAGCCACAGATTATGGTCCTTCTCCATTCAGGTGGTGGCCACTTCCCTCTGGGACATCAGACTGCTGGGCAGATGTGATACAGCCCTTCTGCACTCACTGTGGGTTCTCGGTTCACTTCTAGATGGAGAGAGTGGTTGGTGAACCTGTGCCAAAGGTGCACGGATGCACATGAGGACCGTTGGGTGGGCACTCCTGCCTGTCCTGCACTACTGCATGCAGCTGTCCCCGCCCAGAAGGGACTCCGTGAACCAGCCTGAGGACACCTGGGCGGCCCTAGAAGGAATCTCCTATTCCCAGTTTCGGGAAAAAGCACCCGAACGGTAAGTTGTAGAGCTGTGCTTACCCAGCTGGTCTTGTAGTGAAGATTCTTAAGCTCTGTTTCCAGAGCCCTGTGTGCTTTTGTGGTGGACTCATGCCTGCCTCCAATGAAAGAAGACATATGCTTCCTTTAACATTTTATTTCATTTCATTTATTTATTTATTTTGCACTACTGGGGTTTGAACTCAGGGCCTACATCTTGAGCCACTCCACCAGCCCTGTTTTGGGCCGGGTTTTTCCAAGATAGGGTCTTGCCAGTTGCCTGGGGCTGGCTTTGAACCACAATCCTCCTGATCTCTGCCTCCTGAGTGGCTAGGATTACAGGCGTGAGCCACCGGCGCCCGGCTTTGCTTTAACATTTTAAAAAGAAAAGCTATAAAGAGAAGTGTAGCAATGACCAACAAGTCCAGAGATGCACCTTGCTGACCCCGTGGTGCATGTATTTTCACATTCTGTGCAAATGTGGCTATTTCAGCACTTTACGTGCTCACAGGAGCACCAGGAACAAATGATATATTATCTGTTCTGTTTTAGAACCTACTTTTCTGTTGGGAGCAGTGACTCAAGCTTCTAATCCTAGCTACTTGGGAGGTGGAGATTTGGAGGATGTTTTAAGGCCAACCCGGGCCTTAAGTTCCTGTCTTAACTAAAATTGAGCATGGTGGCTTGTGCCTGTCATCCCAGCTAAGAGGATAACAGTGCAGGATGGCCCCAGCATTTAGCGATAGCTACAGCAAAAAGGGCTGGTGGGTGACTCAAGTGGTAGAGTGCCTGCTAGCTAGTACAGGGTTCTGAGTTCAAACTCCAACGAAAAAGAGAAATAAACCAAAAGAACCTGATTTTTGCACCTCACAGGATTTGGTGAACTGAGTCTTGTGTCAGTACACACACTGGCGGTGTTAGGATAAGCACGACTTCACATTCCCACCTGAACAATGCATCTGTGTTTACGTAGTCAGGTCTGACATTCGGGTCATTCTGCATTTTTTCTTTGTAAGATGCTCAGGTGGGCATTCTTCCCTATTTCCCTGTCCATCTATTGCCTTGGCACAGATTCTTACAAGTAGGGCTTTGCTTGTTGTAGGCTGCTCATACCTTCACGTGATGCTGGCTTATAGCAGAGGAACAATGGTGGTGTGTTTCCAAATGTGAAGACCTCTCCCTACTGCAAGAAAGCATTTACAGAAAAAGTCTTGGGAAAGACTTAGATGCAGGTCCTAGAGGGGGGTCAAATCGTAAGGTCATATTTTGTTCATTTAAGTTACTGTTTCCCTCCCTGCTTTTTTGTTTGTTTTTTTGGTGGGACTGTGTTTGAACTTGGGGCTTAGGGTTGCAAAGCAGGTACTCACCACTTGAGTCACACTGCTGAAGACTCACACCCGTAATCCTAGCTACTTGGAAGCGATCAGAAGGATCGAGGTTCGAAGCCAGTCCAGGAAAATAGTTCTTGAGACCCTATCTCAAAAATATTGAACACAAAAAAGGGCTGGCAGAGTGGCTCCAGTGGTAGAACACCTGCCTAGCAAGCATGAGGCCCTGAGTTCATACACCAGTAATGGCAACATACAAAACAAAACAAAAATTCAAGCAAAAAGCTGATTGCTAAAAAGCTAGGGATGTCGTTCAGTGGTAGAGAATTTGCAACCCTGGGTTCCATTGCCAGCACTGCAGGAAATACATCAAATTTAAGTATAAACATTTAATTAAATTAGAGTGTAACACTACTACTCATCTCCATACACAGTACCTCCCCCCTTTACTCTTACCTTTTGTTAGCAAAACAATTTCATGTGGCGTCACCTGCATGCAGTGCACTAAGAGCTAGCCTGAAGATTTTAAGGATTAAAACAGCGAGCTTGCTTAGGTACAGGTGGCTTGTAATCCTAGCTACTTGGGAGGCTGAGATTGGGAAGATCTTGCTTTGAGGCCAGGCAGGACAGATAGTTCACGAGACTCCATTTCCAAAACAGCCAAAGCAAAATGGACTAGAGGTGTGTGGCTCAGTGCAAACCCCTAAATGCAAACTGCAGCCCCACCTCCCCAAAAAGAAATCAGTGAGCAAAATGGATTCTTGTTTCTTCACTACTACTGGAACCTTTTGAAATTAAAGTCAAATAAAAATTATCCTATAATTATATGTGTTACAAATGCCCTTCAAAGACATCTAGGCTTGCTTTCTTTCTTTCTTTCTTTCTTTGGCAGCACTGGGGTTTGAAATCTGGGGCCTTACTCTTGCTAGGCAGACACTTTCCATTTGAGCCACTCCACCAGCCCACATACAGGTTTTCTAGAAGAAATTTGGCTGTTAATCTGGACAATGACAAACCCTGGCATTGCTCCCAAAGCCCCTATCCTCCAGGGAAGAGTGGCCCCAAAGGGCTGGGATGTGACGTGGAGGTGGAGCACTTGCCTGGCGTGAGGCCGGAGTTCCATCCCTAGCACCACCAAAGGAAAATAACCTCAGCGGCGGCCAGAGTCTGGGATATTTGTCAGTGTTTTTCATAACCTCTGTAGCTCCTTCCTTCCTTTCTTTCCTCCTTGTCCATCTTTTGGTGTCTAGTGGATGTGCCCACTCTTTCGTGCATGGCTAGGCAAGGACTCTTCCACTGAGCTGCAGCCCTAACCCTAACTCTTTTTTTTTTTTTCTTTAAATTGTGGTACGATGTACATAGACCTGACTTACTCTTTTAACCACTTTTTAGTGTGCAGTCCTACAATGTTCACATCTGTACCGTCATCACCACCCTCCACCTCTAGAACCATTCCAGCTTGCCAACCTGACACTAACTCAACACTACTCCCCATCCCCACCCCATTTTACTTTCCATCTATGAATGTAACAGTGTAAAGGCGCCATGTGAACCGTGTGTCCCCACTGATGACTTATTCTACTCAGCACAAAGTCCTCAAGGTTTTTATTTAGTAGTTCTGGGGTTTGAACTCAGGGCCTTGTGCTTGCTAGGCAGGTGCTCTACCAAATATGGTATACCCGCAGCCCAGGTTGAATTAATTTGTTATTTTTTTGGCAGCATTGGGATTTGAACTCAGGGCACTCTACTACTTGAACCACTCCACCAGCCCTTTTCATGTTGGGTATTTTCGAGATAGGATCTCTCAAAATATTTGCTGGGGGCTGGCTTCAAATTTCCATCCTCCAGAGCTCTTGTCTCCTGAGTAGCTAGGAATATAGGCTTGAGCCCTCAGGCATTGGCTTCTGGGTTGAATTCTTAAGTGACTTTTATTTTTTGGCAATACTGGGGTTTGAACCTCAGGGTCTTGCACTTGCTAGGCAGACGCTCTACCACTTGAGCCACAACACCTCAGCTCTGGGTTGAATTCTTAACATGCTGTTGTTTACTTTTCATTTGATTTGCTACTGACTATTGTTTCCCCAATTTTCTCCACCATCCATCTGACTCTGTCTTCATCTTTACTCGGTCTTTCCTTTCCACCATCTTCTTGCCCGGCCTTCTTGCTCAGGAGCCAGCTCCTGCAGTCGATGAAACAGAAGAAGCACTTGCTGCTGGTGGATGTGTACCTCTTCCGATCCTGGTTCAGTTTGCTGCCTCTGGGAAACTTGGTTTCCTACCTGGAGCACACCACTGAATACTTGAGTGACATGCCTGCTCGGGTCTTGGACTGTTTTCTGGGGATTTATTACCGGCTGCAAGGACTTCAAGTGATCTGTCACCGAAACGCAGAGGTGTGTCCTTAGTAGTAGGACAGCAAGTCCTGGCCTAGCACAAGCAGATTGACACCTAAACACGGGGAAGCTGGGGCTAAAATTCAAGTGTACAGCATTTGTCTAGCATGTGGGAAGTCCATCCTCAGCACTGCCAAAAAAAAAGTTAATATAGCCAGGCACGGTGGTGCCCATGTAATCTCAGCATTGAGGAGGCAGAGGGAGGAGGGTTGAGAGTTTGAGGCCAGCCTGAGCTACATAGCATGTTCAGCACAATCCTAGCTGCGTAGTGATCCCTTATTTCAGAAAACAAATAAAAAAGCTAAGCATCAGAAGCTCAGGTTTCTCTTTTCTTGAAGGGAAACAGAAGACACACAGAAATGAGAGAATCAGAAGGCATCATTTTTAGGGTTAAGTACTGATTTCTTTCAGTTTTTCTGTCTCATAAGTAGAGTTTAAGAAATCGCCAGCTTTCTGTTTACAATTGTGCTGGGCAGAATTGGAAAGCACTGTGCTTGTGATTCACTTCACAGTAGCTCACTTTGCTTTCACCTTTTTTTTTTTTTTTTGCGGTACTGGGGTGTGAACTCAGCACCTTACACTTGCTAGGCAGGTGCTCTATTACTTGGTTGTACTGGGGTTTTACCTTTTTTTTGAGTATAGAAAATGGTACAGTTTTATAGTCTGAATTTTGTTGATGAAAGACAGAAGGCTAGTTACTCCAGTTCTCTAAAACTTGTTAGTAGGAAGAGGGAAACAATGGCTTGCTCTGCGCTGCACTCATGTAGGGCTTTGCTCAGCTACGTGTCAGCAAACGCAGGGGCATCACAATTAAGTGCTTCATAGTTCCCTTCTCTTCACTGCCCTAGGATGTCAAGAATCTTTTTAGAATGCTGTTGCACCTCGTGGACATTTTCCAGGACTCGTAAGTAAAGCAGTGAAGTGTGTCTTCTCTCCCACGTGGCCCCTGGTGGGGTCTTGGTTTCCCGTGTGGACTGCAGCATCCCACACTTGCTGTGGTGATAGGAAGGTCATAAACCCATGCACACCCCACTTCTCTTTCCAAGTTGTTAAGCTAGTCCTCCAGGCTTTTATTTTTAAAAAGCAAATGATAGCTATCAGCTGCTAAGATTTTGATTCACCTCTATCTGGTCTTTTTTGCTCTGCTTTTTTTTCCCCCTTATTTTTAAATGCTCATCATCATAGTAGATATTTGTGTTGGCATCCTGCAAAATACATTGAGTTTCTTTATTTTTGCAAGTCAGGCGGTTTAAAATAAGAAATGAAGGTGGCTTTGGATAATTATCTGAAATCATTCGTGTGACTCTGCCATCCTGGGAGGATGCACAGAAATGCCTGCCACCTTCCAGCCCTGCCACACCTGCACGCTGCAGGTGTTCCGGATGCAGGTGGTGGCACTGCCTGGGTCCAGCTCCAGTTAGCAGAGCTGCCCAGTGACTCTCACGTCTCTGGTCTTATCCACGCATGACTTCTGTGAACACGGAACCTGGCTCTCACAGGGCTGTAGAAATTCCACATGTGCATATGCTCTTTTGCTAATGTTTCTTGCTCCTCCTCCTTCCCCGCTTCCTGACTTTTTTTTTCCTATCATCAGCTCTGATTGCCAGTATTTTAACCTGGCTTTTGTTAGAACAGCTCAGGCTAAGAGGCAAAATAAAAGGACTGTTTCCTTTTTACCCAGGTCACAAATTCAAGGTCAGCTGAAATCTTTTTGGTGTTGGTTAACACCTTCCTTGTAGCCTTCAAAGGGAAGGGACTGGTTACTAGAATGGGTGTTATTTTCTCATCTTTCCACCTCCTTCAATGATTTGGCTCAACTCTGTGGGGCAGGATTCTCGAGGAGACCTTGTTCCCATCCTACCTGACCGTGTGCCTGAGACTCCACGAAGGTGTCTGCAGCATTACCAAGGAGCGACAGTTCTTCGAGGTGCTTGCCTTGTCGGCTGAAGTGCTATGCACCATTATTAGAGTCAGACCTCTCGGGGTAAGTGGAGCCGAGGCACCTCGTACTGTACCCGGCATGGCCTGGGCTTGGCACAGCCTCCATTTTCAAAGGAAATAGGTCGAGTGCTGGTGGCTTCCACCCATAATCCTAGCTACTTAGGAGGCTGAGATTGGGAGGGTGGAGATTTGGAAAAACATCTCCAAAATATAACCAGAGCAAAATGGACTGGAGGTGTGGCCCAAGTGGTAGCACCTGTTTTGTAAGCGTGAAGCCCTGAGTTCAAACCCCAGTCCCACAGAAGAAAAAAAAAAAAAAAGAAGAGGAAGGAGACTAAGTCTGGGGTGGCTGGAATGGATTGAGTTGTGATTCTGTGATCAGATATTTATTGGGCCCCTGGTCCATGCTGACTTCTGTTCTGTTCATCGAGGATATTTGGGCACAGCAGAAGTTATGCCTTGCATACCTCAGGCTCACACTGGAGGGAGGGAAAGTGGTGATGTCCAGCACGTCAGATGGCTATGGGCAAACTGAAAAGCCAGTCTTTCCCACTGCAACTTTTTTTAAAACTTATTATTTAAACACAGCAGCAAAATCCATATCCTATTGTTACTGGAACAGGGAGGTTCCAGAGTCTCCAAGATAGAAGAAGGCTCTAGCTGGCCCTTCAGTACTAGGTTCATGACAGAATTGCAAAACAAGTATTTTAGGACACACAGAGGTAGAAAACAAGCAAGTTTATTAGGCAAAGTGAAGAGAGGACAGAACACCAAGCAACGGGTGCGGGCACACCTGGTAAGAGGTGTACCAAGTGCTCTCAAATCAGGGAATTTATGGGAAAAAAGTGTGTTGAGGGTCTGGCTTACATTCCCCTTAGGGTGAGTACTTGCTTCCCTTTGTCCTGGACACTGGAACACCCAGTCATCCTTACTGGTGCTCTGTTTTGACGCTGTCATTAGGCCCAGAGATAGATACCAAGTCTGGTCGGTTTGCTAACTTTGGGTCATTGTGACATAGATGTCTTTTTTCCTTACACATTCCTTCAAACGATGCGTGGCTTTCACCAGGTGCTGCATTCAAGGCAGGCATCATTCCTGATCATTGCTTTTTCTTCTGTGATCAAAGAAGTCATTTTACCAAATGTTTAACATAGTCTTGCTCAACTCCCTGTGTGTAGTTATTTGGGTAAGCAGGCAAGGTCAGAGGGAGAGAGCTGCTTTTCTTTCTTTCTTTTGCCTGTATTTCTCAGCTTAGTGAGTGTGAGTCTGAAGCTTAAGGCAAAGAAAGTAGTATCTGTGTGCTTTAATCGAGCTGTTCACTAGTAGACTGTTAATCTCGGAATTCCTGGCTGCTGCCTCGTGCCTCTCTTTCCCTGATCTGTCCTGCCTCACAGCGAGTGCAGCTCAGTGACCCCTAACCAACCTCCGGATGGTCCCGGCTCCTCTGGGCCCCTCTGGGCCCCTCTCCAACACTGCAGATCACTCTGTCTGTCTTTGGACTTGACACTTTCTGAATCTCACCATCCCGTCTCTGAGGTCCATCCCTCCTGCCCCATGTGTCAGGAGCTCTTTTCACAGCTGAGTCTATGAGCTTTGATTTGAAATGGTGTGGGCGTTTAACTGTCTTACAAGTCATGACTGTGACTTCCGGGATAAGGGGTCACTCAGTCTGTGTCTTAACCCGATTCCTTTCAGTATTTTGTGCCACACACACTTGAAAGATGCATTTTACTGGTAAAGTGACCACTTTCTGTTCAGTGGTGCTATTTGAACCAGGAGGTGTCACTTACTAACAACTGTGTTTTTGAAACTTAAGTTAGTTACTTAAAATACATTTTTCTGCAGAGATAACTATATTCAGTGTTGGTTGGGGCCTCTGATTAGTCTAATCCCTGCTGTGACCAGGAATATTCTACTTGCACCCTAAAAACAGGATAACCTTGCATTCTGAAGTAGAAAAAAGCAAAAACAAAGTGTGAAGTGACCAGGGTTTGGAAGACTTTTGGTTGCGTGGTGGGATTGATCAGCCCCTGGTGCAGAAAAAGGAACACAGCTTGTGGTCCTGCATTCAGTGTCTGGCCTCAGGGTTGTTTGTGAATTTATGTATTGGCTCCCTCTGCCAGTCCTGTGTGGGTGCAGAGGACATAAAGATGGGTGCCTTGTGTGGCTGGGGCTGACTGTCGAGTTAATAGAACACCTGGTAGTGATCACAAGGGACACACACACCACAGCGAAGCTTCTGGATTGTTCCTGAAGGCGCTATGTCATTCATGGACCTCAAGCCAGTGCCATTTTCAGGTCATCCTGAGTTGCTTTCTCCTGTACCCTGGGCTCTGGTCCCCCTGCACTGGGAGCCTCCCCCTCCCCTTTCCTGAGGGCCACATCGTCTTTCAGGCCCTTCCTCACACCTCTGTGTGAGGAAGACACACACCACCTGATGGACCACCTGACATTTTTCCATCTTGACACCTACTGTGACTGATGAGCACACACATGCTTGCCCGTCCGTCTATGAACTCTTCATCTCTAACTCTGTGGAGAGTTCCTTAATGCAGGAACTGCGTCTGCTTAGCCACCACGTCTCTTAGCCCTGGTGGATGGCCTCAGGGTGGTTCTCAGTGCCCCTTGAGGGAGGCAGGGAGGACAGCAGCTCCAGGTCTTGTGGTGCTTGGGTGATAAGGGGAACACTGGTTAACGCTGCCCTGAAAGGGCTCCTCGGGGCAGGGGTCCTGGTGCCAGAGCTGCATTGCTTTGTGAAGGGGAAGGAGGAGTTGCCATAGGACAAATGGCTGACAAGAGCCTTTGAGCCGAGGAAAGGTGTGGGTGGAGTTGGGAAGGAGGGAAGTGAGGGCTGTCTCACCCAGAGTGCCCGGGGGAAGAGGACATGGGTCACCCTGTTGGCCAACAGATGGAGGAGCAGGGCAGGAGTTTGCTGAGCTCTTCCCTGGGGTTCTCAGGTAGCTCTGTGTCCTGGGCTGTGTTCTTGTCACCCATCCTGGAGATGGTGCCCAGCTTCTTCTGGGGTCCCAGCCTCTGGAGGCTCTCAGTGGGGCTGCATCAGCTCTGGACCTTTCACAAAGGATACGGCTCTGTGCCTTTCCCCCCACTTCGGTCCCATGTGGCCCCTTTCATGGGGAACCTGAGTGTCTAGGGATACCAAAGTGCTTGTCACAGGTGGGCTTCAGTCGAGGCCCAGAGCTATTACTAGGACACCATGAGCTACAGAGTGGAGCTGGTAAACCCTGCCTCATGTTCCCACAGGGTGTGGAGGAGGGCCCGGCAGACGAAGTCACCAAGGCCTCTGTGACGAGCGCCCTCCAGGGGGCCCTGGCCGCCACACGGACCTGGCTCAGCCGGGTGTTTACCCGAAACATGTTCCAGACATACCTAACGACTGTGCGGTTCACTTACCCCGATGAGATTGCGGTAAGCCTTGCCAGGACCTGGGAAGCTGCTGTAGGCATGGGGCTGGGGATACGCATGACTGTGACCCGTCACTACCCGGCAGAAGAGCCACAACCATGGCCTGAAACCCTAGTCCTGCCACGTTTCCTCTGTAAGGAAGGAATGTGGTTTAACTAGACAGGACATTTGGAAGGTCCCAAGGTCAAACTAGAGGGATATCAGCTCTCCGTGCCTTGCAGTGACAGTGACAGCTATGGCAGGAGTACTACTTGGAAGCAGAACCTGAGTCAGTTTCAGAGCTGTGGCTGCAAGCTGGGATGTGGCTGATGGGCCAAGAGGCCATTTGCCAGGACACTGGGCCAAATGTGCCTAGACCTGAGGAAAGGGGATGCCACCAAAAGGGCTGGGCCATGGAAGGGATTCTGCAGGAGGGTGCCCTGGAGTGGAACAGAGGACCGAGGAGAAGCCAGTGGTTGTGGCTGGAGTGACCTCCCAGGGGCCAAAAGGCTGAGAAGTGGAGGCTCGCTCTCCATCGTTTGCTTTCTTCCCGTGTCCTAGAAGGGAAGAGCGTTTTCTAGTTGGGTTTTTGGGCCGTGAGGAGACTGTGGAGTGCACCAGAGCTCCTTCTCACCAAGAGAGTCCCTCAGGTCCCCAGTTAGTCGTGATGTGACACACAGGCACCCCTCTGTATGGCCCAGGGTGGCCTTGCAGGACTGGCCACATGCCCCTTTTCTGTAAAGCAAAGCCCCGACCTTTCTTTCCTGGAAGACTAGAGATGTGGTGGACGCTGGTGACGAGGGAGCTCATCCATCCTCCTGAGATGTCCAGGGCTCTCAGCAGATGGCTGTGCATTGCTGATATCATGGGGCAATGATGTCATGAGCATCTGTGCTCATGATTTCACCTGCCTGTCCTCTGCCCCCTGCAGGACCAGGCCTCTGGCAGGCCCATTGCTACCAAAACAGGGTTGCTCATCCCAAACTGTGGCTTTAAAGGTGAAAAAGTCCTTCCTGGGCTGCAATGTGAAGTTGCAGACTGACAGGCTGAAATCCCACCAAAATAAAGTTGAATTATGAAATACTTTTCAAGATTCTAAGTGGTACAATCCTGCAAGCATGAAGTACCAGATAAGGAAAGCTCGTGACCCGCTGTCAGGAGAGGATGGCTCTAAGTGAAATGTGATAATGGTAGGACAGACAAACAAAGAAGCATCATAAAGCGTTTACTCTGAGGCAGTTGCTTTGTTGTCTCTGTTTTACACACAAGGTCGCCAAGGTTTGAGGGGATGAGCGCGTGCTGGTGTTGTTGGTAACCAGGGCTCTTTCTCCTGGGAGAGGGAGACAGGGAAGAGAGAAAGAGAAGAGCTCTGGTGTGGAAAGAGCTAAAGGAAGCAGCAGGAACCCATGATTTAGACAACACTTCCCAGCTCCATCCACCTAAAGGGCCTAGCAGCAGTGACACCCTGGGGCTATGAGCACACCCCAGTCAAGTCATGCCGTCTGACTGCCATCCCCACCAATGGAGCCAGCTGCAGACATAGAGCAGGAGATGCACAGGGTGGACAGGGCTCCTGGTGCTGGAGTCAGGAAAAGGCTAGAGAACTCTTTAAAAAAAGATACGTGATCACTAAACGTAGCATGTCCCAAGCTGGACCCTGAGTCATTCAGAACGTCAGGTGGACATCTGATGGCACGGGGGTGGGCATGGGTCATACATCATAATATGGTCTCCATGCTCACTGTCCGGAGGGGGACTGGCACACTCTAGGTGTGTAGTGGAAGGGCTGTAGTGATAGGAGACTCCTGCCCAGGTATATAGATAGGTGTAAGTGTTACGATATTGCAACTTGCCTTCAAGCAATGAAGAGAGAGTGGAGAGAGAGAGACAGAGTGAGAGAGAGAGAGAGAGAGAGAGTGCGCAAGCTGCAGTGTCACATGACAGACCGCAGGACTGTAGTGGAAAGGATGGAGCTCATTTTGCTGTTTTTGTATATTTGGAGTTTTTCAAGATAGACATTAGAGGGAAATCCTTCCAGAACAAAAAACAGTCGCCCACAGGAAGGACGGTGGTGACTACTGGCCCAGTAGGGTCAGGACAAGGTGGGTGGCTTTGCCTTGACTTACCACTAAACCAGCTCTCTACTGGCAAAGATGGAATGGGAGCCCAGGCAACCTTGAGGTCCGGTGCCCTTTGTGTTTTCGTCTGTCTGCCTTATTTTATTTGACACAGGGTCTTCATAGGCTGGGCTCAACTCCTGGCCTCAAGTGATCGTCCTGCCTCAGTCTCCCGAGCAGCCGGAACTGGAGGCCAGCTACACCGCTACACTGCACCTGGCTGTCAGTCTGTCTTTCTTCTCCATAGCATCGCCCTGTGGCATAGTGTCCTAATGTCTGTCACTTACGCATGGGTCTTGCAGGTCTGGCGGAGGCTGGTAGAAATCAACTTCCCTGAGGAGCATGGCTGGAAGATATCACTGCTGAAAGACATGGAAGGGAGACTCAAGCAGGTACCAGACGTCGGGGACACTCTTTTCAGGGGGTGAAGGAATTTTAGTGAGGCCAGACCTTGGCAACACCAGTGTTCACAAATGGTACATTGAGACGGACAGTCTCTGCTGGGTATGGGATGAACATGACTTTGTACTTGTGTTTCTGATCTGGCTTTCATAGTCCAACCACAGAGGGACATTTCAAAGTCCTAGTGTGGTATTCCTGAGAAGAATTAAGGAACAGGATCCTGTGGTTGTGGGGACCCTAGATGAATATTGGTTAAAGCTCTTCACTATGCAGTTGTCTTTTGGCGTCAGGCGCCTTATTAAACAAAGTGACAGAAAACACAAGAACCACTGTTTGTTTTGCATGAAGGCCAGTGACCCTGGAAAGTTTGCTTTGACATGATGTGAGAATTTCATATGTGCCTGTCAAATGGATCTTTTTAGGAAAACAGAAGCAAGGAAAAGAGCCATTTCTCAAGTTTTACCTGCTTTTTGCAAGCTTTTGTGCTGGCTGCTTTTTTTCAGAGTGGGAGAAGAGCCTCTGTGTTGTATCTTCGCTCCTCTGATGTGGGGATCGGGGAGGACGTGCTTAGTGGGGAGGGAGAAGGCTGAATCGTGGGCATGGGTGAGACAGTGAGAATGACCAGGCGGTTCATGCACGGTAAATCAGTGTGCAGCGTCCAAGAGCCCTCTCGCCTCCTTCCATGTCCAGGAGCGGCCACTGTCCCAGATCAATGTCTACTGCAACTCTCGCTGGGAGGACGCCGGCCCTGATGACAGTGTGACTGGGAGCTTTGAGAAGTGTGCCATCGAAGCCGTGAGCTATGCTTGCCAGGTGACAACCTGTCCATCTCTGGGGTTCACTGCTGCTTTCTAATGTGGCCAGCTAAAGCTGCCCACTGTCTGCTGGTTCTGAGACCTCATGCTGCCAGGGAAAGGGTCCGGGGTGTCCCCCTCACTGACTGGGGCCATGGGCTGAAATCCAATGCTTTCTACCTACTCCCAATAGGCAGCTTGGCTTCTTGTTCCCAAGCTGTCATTTGCCATGGAAAGCCACAGGCACTCACAGGTGGCCTTGACACACCCTATCCTGCAGGCCACGTCTCACTTGTGCCTGTGTGGTCATCACTGCTGCCTTGTTTTGCTGTCTGCTAACACTTGCCTAGCAGGCGTGCAGTGAAAGACTCCAAAGGTGGACAAAATATTGACGGAGGAGGGTGTGAGAATCTGAAAAGATCCTTTGGGACTGGGTGCAGCTCAGTGGAGAGCACTTGCCTGGCATGTGTGAGGTCCTGGGTTCTATCTTAACACTGCAGAGTGAGGGAGGGAGGGATGGGGGAGGATCAGAGAGGGACATTTCAAAGTCCTACTGTGATACTCTGGAGAAGAATTAGGGAACAGAGAAGAAGGGAGAAAAGGGGAAAGGAATATAGGGGAGGGGAGGGAGGGGGGAGTGGGGAAGGGAAGGGAGGAGGGAGGGAGGAAGAAAAGATCTTTCAATCAACTTAGCTTTTTTCTGCAAAGTGGAGATCCTCCCCAGCCCTTGGCAGGACCAGTGCCCGGGTTCACCACATGTCCAGGCTCCTTGTTAACCCCAGTACCCAGTTTCCTGGCATGCCTCAGGCCCTGGGCTGCATTGCTGGTGAAGTTCTGGGACCCCAGGGTTGTAACTATAAGACTTTCTTTTCTCTTTGCTGTTCACTGCTCTGTTGAGATGTTATTCACGTATCCTACAAGTCACCCCACTGACAGGTGCAGCTCAGTGAATTTTGGTGTATTCACAGACGGGCGAACGCTTCACCATGGACACGTTTAGAACATTTTTCACTTTATTCTTTTTCTATTGTAACTGGAGTGATTTATCCATTCCTTTATTTACTGTGGGACTGGAGACTGCATCCAGAGCCTCACTCTCCCCGAGATACATTCCGAGACTTTGGTTTGATTTCGAGACAGGGTCTTCTGAATTGCCCAGGCTGGACTTGAACTCAAGATCCTCCCTGCTCAGCCTCCAGAATAGTTGGGATTACAGACGCGCAGTGCTACGTCTGGCTGGAACTGTTTTCTTCATTTCATTTTCGGATTGTCCGTTGCTCATGTAGAAACACAGCTGCTCCCTGCAACTTTGCTGACCTGACTCACGGGCTCTAGTGGTGTGCGGGAGGGAGAGTGGTGTATTCTGCAGTTTCCTGTGTCTGCATGATCGTGCTGTCTGTGAGGGGGGTACTTCCACTTCCTCTGCAATCTGAATGTTTGCTGTTTCTTTTTCTTGCTTAATTGTCCTGGCCAGACCTCCTTGCTTTGCTACAAGTGGTGAAATGGATGTCCTGTCTTGTTTCTGATCTTAGGGTAATAGATTTTTGTCAAATCCCTTTTCTCTGTCCAATTCAATAATTATATGATTTTTATATGATAAGCTGTAATATATTAACTCGGATGTACCCTTGGTCACAGCATATAATTATTTTTTTAATATGTTGCTGAGTAAGGTTTTCTTTTGTCCTTTCATTTGTTTCTTGCGGTGCTAGGAGTAAAAAAAAAAAAAAACCCCAGGGCCTTGTGCACGCTGGGCAGGCGCTGAGCACTGAGCCACACCCCAGCCTGCCTTTGTCTTTTTGCCCTCAGAAAGTATACATCGTAAATTTCCCTGTGGTTTTTATTAGTTGCTGAAACTGTTTGCAAAACCCTGAGCCTAAAGAAGAAAAGCATTTTGTTTCTTGGTGAAGAACCAGAAAGACAATTCCAGTGCATAGTTTGCAGGTAGTCTTTAGAGGAATTTTGCTTGGGAACACAGACTATGTGGCACGTAAGGTTTTGTCTCCTTATTTTTGACGATGTCTAAGTCCAGGAGAAATGTAGAAACTGGAAGTGAGCAGAGGAGGGGTGTAGCTTGTGGGGTTTTTGGGGTTTATGTGTCTCTTTTCATCTTCTTGTAGTGCTAAGATCAAACCCAGGGCCTTGCACATGTTAGGAAAGTGCTTTACTACTGAGATACAGCCCAAGCCTGTTTTTTATTTTTATTTTTTTTTGGTAGAACTGGGATTTGAACTCAGGACTTCGCACTTGTAAAGCCATGCCACCAGTCCCATTTTTCTCTGGTTATTTTGGGGATGAGGTTCTCACAGACTATTTGCCTAGGCTGGCCTCCAGCCATGACCCAGCCTGGTTTTTTGTTTTGTTTTGTTCTTGTAGTAGTAAGGTTTGAACTTAGGGCCTCATGCTTGCCAGGCCATTGCTCTACTGCCTGACCACGCCCCCCAGCCCTCCTTTCATTTGTCTGGTACTGATCCCTTCAGGAGATGGCATACAGGAAATGGAAACGCTCTAAGAAAAGAGCGTTAATTGTTTTACTGTTCCTTTTATTTTGTTTTGGTATTGTCGTGGTGCTGGGCATTGAACCCAGGGCCTCATGCGTGAGCCATTCCACCAGCTCCCCCCCCCTTTTTTTGAGGCCCTGTAAAAGCACACTTTGGACAAACTTCTGAAATGCTATTGGAAGGGTAACCTCTGTTATTTTAAAGTGAGTTCTTGCACAGGTTCTAAACTTTTCCCTGTTGGCTCCTTTTCCTATAGTCACAGACCAGTATTCTTGAGGGCCTTTCTTGCAATGATTTGCGGAAATTTGGCACCCTCGCCTCCGCTGTGATCACCAAATCCTGGCCTCAGAACAACGGCAAGGCTGTGGAAGACCCGGATGAGATCTTTAAGCACCTGCTGAAGTGGCCAGACGTGAAGCAGCTCTTCAAACTGCACGGTACGTGGGAGGGCTTCCGGGAGCCACCTGGGCAGCCTGGTGCCCTGGCCTCCCTGAGCAGAACAGGGCAGCAGACCTGCCCCGGGGCGCCACTGGGATGTGCTGATGTTCCTTACACGAAGCAGCCTGGGCAGTCCCACAGGGACTGGGGCAGGGGCAGGGCATCCTGCATAACAGAATGGCTAACACCAAGGCCACTGTTCACTGAGTGCCTGCTGGGTAGCGGCTCTGTGCTTCCACCCTGTTCCTGAGCAGTCCCTCCACCAGGCCTCCTTTTTAAGACCTCAATTTTTCGATAGGGGGACAGAAGTTCAGAGGGCAGATCCCTTAACCAGGGTCTCAAAGGTACTAAGTGTTGGGAACTAAAGTTGAAACCTAGGTGAAGGCTGGGCACAGTGGTTCATGTCTATAATCCCAGCTATGTGGGAGGCAGACATCAGGAGGAGGCCAACCTGGGCAAAAAGTTAGTGAGACCCCATCTCAACTAATAAGCTGCGTGTGGTGGTGGCATGCCTGTGATCCCAACCACGTGGAGACGTAGATGGGAGGACTGTGGCCCGAAGCCAGCCCTGGACAAAAACACAAGACCCTATCTGAAAAATAACTAAAATGAAAGGGACTGGGGATGTGGCTCAAGTGGTAGAATGCTTGCCTACTACTCACGGCACAAGGCCGTGAGTTCAAACCCCAGTATTGCCAAATACGGACAATACCCTCTGTCATTCTGAGATGAGTGTTAATACCACGCCAGCACAGGACGTCCCGTCTGCTCTCCCAGCATCCCGTCCTGCGTGTCACACGTTGTCCTCGAGGGCTCTGCACGTGAGAGCCACTAGCTGCAGGACGCGTGGTGGTGCCTTTGCCCAGTCGGGTCGGGTGGGCGCGAGTCTCGGTTTGGTGGGTGAGGTGGACGTCCAGCCCGGCTCTGCCCCTTCCTTGTCCGGAGAGCCGTGGGGTTCACATACGGTCACACAGGGGTGCGGCATGTGAGGGCTACACCTACTCACACAGGAAGATTGTGTTTGTGTTTTCAGTTGATGGACTTTACAAAAGCATTTTAGCTGAAGAGAAAATTTATCAGGATGGAGTTCCCATGTAGCTCCGCCCAGCACAGATTCCCCTGCCAGTGCACCAGGCACGAGGGGGTTACATTTGTTACCACGGAGGCGCCCATATTCACTGAAACCCATGAATTCGGCGGATGTGACGTGGGATTGTTTTTGGTGGTACTGGGGTTTGAACTAGGGGCCTGGCTCTAGCTAGACAGGTGCTCTCCCGCTCAAGCCATGGTGGCTCAAGCCTTGTTGCTTGAGTGTGTTTTTCAGATAGAGTCTCACACTTTTGCCTGGGGCTGGATCCTGCTATCCATGCCACCTGTGTGGCTGGGATTATAGGCGTGTACCACCCCCCATTCTGTGGGTTTTGACAGATGTATAATGATGTGACTTGTGCATTACGATATGACACAGAAGAACTTCCTGTCTTGGGGATCTCTGTTCTTCCTCCCTTACCCCTTCCTTTTTAGTTTTGTCTTTCCCAGAATGACCCATAGTTGGAATCATGCAGTATGTATGAAGCCTTCCAGACTGTCTTCTTTCACTTAGCAATGTGCAATTAAGGATCCTCCATGTCTTTTCATGGCTCGGGAGTTCAGTTCTCTTCATTAGTGAGTAACAGTCCGTTGTCTGGATCGGCCACAGCTCACTTTCCCACTCACCTGCCAGCTGCCTCCATGATTCTGCAGTTATGAATAAAGGGCTTTGTTTTTTCTCCCCTTCCTTCTGCTCCTCTTCTTCCTCCTTCAGCACTGGAGTGGAACTCAAGGTGCCACACTTGCTAGATACTTGAGTCCCCACCCCCAACCCTTTTTGCTTTTGTTATTTTTAAGGTAGGGTCTTGCTTTTCTCGCCCAGTGCCAGCCTTGACTGTGCTTGTCCTACTGAACAGCTCCTGCTTAGCCGGGGTGACAGGTGCACGCCGCCCCCTCCAGCCTTTTTGTTGCTGAGATGGGATCTTGCCAACTTTTTGCCCAGACTGGCCTCCAACCACGATTCTCCTGATCTCTGTCTCCCATGTAGCTAGGATTTTAGGTGTGAGCTACCGTGCCTGGCTTGGCCATTTGGTTTTAATGGTAAAGATAGATTTAGCCTTTTTTATAATGCTGGCTGCAGCTCATATTACTGAGAAATTGTCTGGTAGTTTAAGCATATTATAAATTTTTCTCTCTCCACACTTGTTGTGGAAATGTTTCTTTAGCACCAGCAAGGCAGCCCTCGATGAACTGGCTTATCCCTGTTGTGATTTATTCTGTGCCTGAATCTGTAGAATGGGCTTTTTTTTTTTTTTTTGGTGGTACTGGGGTTTGAACTCAGGGCCTCACGCTTGCTAGGCAGGTGCTCTACCACTTGAGCCACCGCTCCAGTCCTTCTTGTGTTGGGTATTTTCGAGACAGGGTCTCAGGAAGTGTTTGCCCAGGCTGGCTTTGAACTGCAGTCCTCCTGATCTCTGCGTCCTGAAGAGCTGGGATTACAGGCGTGAGCCACCGGCGCCCAGTCAGGACGGGCAGATTTTAAAGGAGTCGTGTAGGCTAAGGAGTGTGTCCAGTGTACAAAGTGACACAGGCTTTAAAGCCCAAGCCGTGTGTTCTCCTGCCTGACTTTGGGGGGACGTTGCTCAGGAGGCAGATGGGGCACAACCCGAACCTCACGGGCAGAAGCAGACTCAGCCACGTGAGGCAATGGCCGGGGGCGTTGGTGAGGTGGGGACAGGAGTTGCGGGACTTCCTGGGCTAACAACAGGATGGGGGCAGGGAGCCCAGGGTTTGAACTCTGTCCTTCCTCTGGTCAGGAACCAATGAGAAACTGCTAGCCCACATCACAGAGGAAAGCAAGAGGTTGATGGCTGCTGCTGACTCGGTGTTCACAAGAGTGGTCGGTGACCTCCTGGAGGGGACCATTGTTATCGGGCAGCTGGAGCTGATCACGAAGTGCCAGCGTCAATTTCTGGACATCTGTCATTTAAGTAAGTGTCAGGGTGCTGCAGTCACGAGGACGTTAAACCCATGTTGGCGAGCGTATTTTTGTAGCTGGCTGGTCTTTTCAGTCTTCATAATCAACTTTCCAGAAAGTTGAGAAGCAGTGATTTATAATTCTTAGGCAAAGTCACGGAAAAGCAATAAAATACTAGCAGAGCAAGAGCACTCGCTCCGTTTTTGCCTCCGGCTGCCAAGCTCGCGGCTCCCATCTTAGAGCCGGGCTGGGCGGAAGCCTCATGGTGCCGCCTCATAGCGGTGACCGAGGACGCGCTCACAGCCAGGCAGCACTGGTTTATTTGATCTCTTGGGTTATTTTATTCGTATTTTCCAGAGAGAAAAAGTTCTTTATTTCAAAAGAACAAATGTGACGTGAAGGTCATGCTGGCTTGGAGGAAGGACGAGCTGGAATTTCTCAAGGAGGAAAAGAATTGCGTGGACAGCCTGCTGAGGCTGTGCGGGAAGGTGAAACACCACGTGCTAGGTGCGAGCCCGCGGTGCTCTGCAAGGGTGGGGTCTCGGGGAACAGGCTGGAGGGGGATGCGGTGACGGGATCACAGTAGCTGGCCTCGTTTTGGAAATTAAACAACTCTTTTTAACCAAGTTTCCTGTGCATCTGGGGGGACGGAGTGAGGGGGGAGCAGGTCCACCTCATTGAGTCCTCTTTTCGGGATCACCTGCAAATGTCCCTCTGAGTTTTCAGGTGTCGGCACTATCTGTTGATGTCCTGTCGTGGGGGTGAGGACGCAGGCCTCTCTCTTCCAAGCCCTGTGCACACAGCCTCTGGCTCTCTCGTGGTGTCTGAATTGGTGTCGCACACATCCAGGAAGTGTGTCAACCCTGGAGATGTAAAATACACAATTCACAAGTGGGCCGTGAAGGAGACCTTAATCATTTTATATTTCTTGTAGAAGCATAAACACATGCTTGTTTTTTTTCACTGTGTTCATTTTTTTTACTTTCTTTCTCTTTTTTTTTTCCAATACTGGGATTTGAACTCCGGGCCTCACACTTGCTAGGCAGGTGCTCTACCACTTGAGGTACCCCACCAGCCTTGGTTTTTTTGTGTTGAGTATTTTTTGAGGTAGGTTCTTGTGAACTATTTGCCCAGGCTGGCTTTGAACTGCGGTCCTCCAGTCTGCCTCCCGAGTAGCTAGGATTACAGGCATGAGCCACCAAGCCCAGCTCACTGTATTCATTTTCTAATTCAACCCTAAACTCTACCCCTGTCTAAATTTCCTCGCAAGACAGTCGGTTTGCACTTCCCAAAGAAATCCCCCAGGCTGGGGCATCTCATTGGACTAGGGATGGAATCCTAGACTCCCTCACTGCCCAGGGGCTGCTTTCTGGGTAGGGCAAGTCCTGCACCCCAGACCTGCTCCTCTGTGTTTGGCAGAGCACAGCCTCTGTGCCCTTGCTGAGAAGGGGGCCCAGGAGGTCAGAGTCTGAGGCCTCAGCTCCTGACAGTGACCACTGTCACTCAGGTGTGTTGCTCAGTGAGGTGCAGAATGCAGATGGGAAGTCACTTCCTCTGGGAGTGCTTGGCTCGCTGCTGTCCCTGGGTGCTGCTCTGAGAAGCCTGACTGCCCCTTGCAGTCCTTTTCATGCAACTGACTTTTGCTTGCTGGGAGCTCCCGACCCTTCTCTGTCCCTGGTGTCCTGAGCGTCATGATGACGCACCTTGGCAGGGACCTGTTTCCATCTACCGTTTTGAGCATTTGGAGAGCTAGAGAACCTATAAAGTCAAGGCCTGGAGCTCAGGACAGCTCCTATGTTCTTTAATTGGCTTTCCCCTCTTGCTGGACTTCTGTCAATTGACTACTGGACCTCCTGGAAGGGCCGCCTGGCCTTGGTGACTCTTCTCCATTTTGCTCCCATCTCTGACTTTTGCTCTACTCTCTGAGAGGCTTTCTCAGAACTTCACCTTCCAGCCTGTGGGTTAAGCTCCATTTCAGCTCACCTGTGTGTATTTAATTTAAAGAACTCTTTTTTTTTCCCCCCACCTCTGAATGACCCTTTTTATTTATTATTTATTTAATTTTGACAGCACTGGGGTTTGAACTCAGGGCCTTGCAACTGTTTCATTGGCACTGGAGTTACACCATCAGATTTTTTTTTTTTTTTTTTTTTTGCCTGGCTTATTTATTTTTTGCAGCACTGGAGTTTGAACTCAGGACCTCAAGCTTGGTAGGCAGCCATTCTACCACTTGAGCCACTCCGCCAGTCCTCCTGCCTACTTTTGAGATAGTGTCTCACTTACCCCATTTATGCCTCCCCATATAGCTTAGGACGACAGGCGTGGGCCACCACACCCAGTCATTGGTTGAGATAGGGTCTCTCGAACTTTTTTCCTGGGCTGGACTCAAACTTCAGTCCTCTGGATCTCTGCCTCCCAAGTAGCTGAGATTACAGTGTGAGTCACAGCACCCAATCTAACATCCCCTTTTATGCTATCTTGCTCTCATTCATGGGCAGTATCTTCTCTTTTTGAGATGATTGCTATTTTTAGAGGTTTTCTCTTTTTTGTTGTCATTTTTGTGGTGCTGGAGATAAAGCTGCAAGTCTTGCGCAGACTTGGCCAGTGCTCCCCCACACTGCAGCTCTGTGGATCGTCATGGCTACGTTTGAGTTAGCCTGGCTTATGAGTCGGTCCCATGTCTGCTCTCCTACTTGGAGATGTAGACCTGACTTCCAGGTCTCTGGGAGTCAAGAGGTTAGGGAGGATGGCGGGGTCCTAGCACTGTGCACTGCATTCTGTTAGTCCCCGGGTTCTAGTCCAGTCTCCTACCTTCTTCCTTCTACTTCCTGTGTCTGTCTGTGGCTTCTGCTTCCTCCCAGAGTGAGCTTCCCGAGGAAGGGCCTCTGTCTAGAACTGACTTGTAGTCCTGAGAATCTTCCGTATTGCCCCTTCTGGAAGATGAGATGCCTGTCTCTGGCTGGGGTGTAGGTTCAGTCCGCCTGCTGTATCCTATTGCCAAAACTGGGGTACTGAACCACTTCTTAAACAGACCTTGAGCCCCCCCTCCTTATTTCATCTCTGCCTCCTGATTTCCAGCGCCCTGGGTCACCAGTGTCTGCTGAAGGGAACCCTGCACCACGATCCTGGCTGGTGCCCTGCCTCCTGCTGTGACCTCAGACTTCGTGTGTCACTTACCCAGTGCAGTGGCTTTCAGCATCCAAAACTGTTGGGATTCTTTTCTGTTCTTCCTGTCCTTGTCAGCTTAGGACTTTTTCCTTTTTCTTTCTTCTTCTTCCTCCTCCTTCTCCTGCTCCTCAAGTTCACTCAAGTTTTCTTAGAGAAGGGATTAGAACACCTGGAGCAAAATGCTACCATGGCTAGAGGTCTGACTTCCAACCTTTCCTTATGGTTTCCAAAGTGAATTTTGGTGCAATTGAAGCAAGACACTCAGAAGACCTCAACTGCAAGAGGCTCAGTGACGTGATGACCGTGATGCTACCCACCTCGCTGGACTTCAAGCGCAGCACACATTATGATCTGAGCCAACAGTTCCAAGAAATGGCCAGAATGACCCACTCACTGAACAAAAGCCACATCTTCCAGATCTTGTGGGAAGAAGCTGCAGAGTCACTAAGTAATCCTGACGAGGAATCCGAAAGGCCAGTCCTTCAGCTGACCGACGTCTATCAGTGCCTGTACTGTCCTTGCTACGAAGAGTTCGTCACACTCTACAATGATCTGAAGTCAGGACGTATCACGTTTGCTGAGATCGACAACATCTTCAAGGACTTTATAGATAAATACAGTGACCTGACTAAAGACCTTGAGATCATGTGTGCTGTGAATCCTCAGGACCAACAGGAGTGGATCTTGGAGCGAGTTAGCCAGGTCAAAGAATACCACAGCCTGCACCAGGCCGTCAGCTCAGCCAAGGTCATCTCACAGGTCCAGAAGCGTTTGGGACTGACTGGTGACTTCAGTGTTCTTTACACTTTATTAAACTTTGTAAGTTATTTCCTAGGTTATCCTGGGAGGGAATCTGACCTCAAACTCTTTGGGAGCCAGGGGTTTTCCGGCCTTTAAAACCCAGGTGGGATGGTACTGCAGCTGGGACAGGGAGGTCCTGTCTGCTGTACTTGAGGCAAGACAGCACCAAGGTCTTCATTTTCACCTTCATGTGTGGGTGATGTGATTGTTCCTTAGCCAGTGAGTTTTTTCAGTCAACCTGAGATCCAAGAGGTCAAGAAAACATCCAGTTTAACTAGGGCAATGTGGCGTCTTTAGAAAAATGTTCTTTTGGTGGGACTAGGGTTTGAACTCAAGGCTTTGCACTTGTAAATTAGGTGCTCTACTGTTTGAGCCACGCCTCCAGTCCATTTTGCTCTGGTTACTTTGGAGATGGGGTCCCGAGAACTATTTATCTTGGTTGACTTTTAACCTCGATCCTCCTGAGGTGTGAGCCACTGGCACCCAGCTGACTCTGGCCTGATTAGGTTATAAAAGCACAGAAGGAAAATATTTTGTCAACTGTCCAATTGAGTCTAGTTCCAGCAGGAAATGACACATTGCTCCTGTTAAAATTGAGCTTCAAGCCTTTCTTTCTATTTTTAAAAAAATGTTTATATTTATTTATTTATTGGTGGAACTGGGATTTGAACTCGGGATTTAGCACTTGCAATGCAGGTGCTCTACCACTTGGACCACACCTCTAGCCCCTTTCTTCCTCTTTTCCAGAGGAGCATTTATAAACTCCATTGTGACCTATGTTACAGCAGACACAGGTGTGATAGTGGTTAAAATTCTGCACACAACTTGGAATTGTTCACACTTTGGCTAAGTCATTGTCCTGGCCCTGGGTATTCTTGTTTTGGTTTGATTTGGATTTTTTTTTTTGATTTTTGTTTTGAGACAGAGTCTCACCATGTAGCCTCAAACTGGCAATCCTTCTGCCTCAGCCTCCCAAGTGCTGGGATTATATGTGTGTACCACCATGCCTGCCTTTGGGTCTGTTTCTTGATCAATAAAACAGAAGCAGCAACATAACCTGGTAGGGTTATTGTGAGAAACAGACTTCAATGTCCATGCAAGCTTCTTGGGGGGATGTCAGGTACAGAGGAGCAGCAGAGGAGGTCACCTTGTCCTGCTTGCTGGGCTCTTCCCACAGCAGCTGCACACCCAGGAGTTGGGTCGCAGTGGCTGAGGGTGGACGCTGTTGGTGCATCCAGGCAGACTCGGGGTTCCATAGCCGATGCCGGCCCATAGCCAAGCTTTGTCTTGCAGATTGATGACTTCGAGACCATTCGCCACAAGCAGTTGGTCCAGATGAATAGGGAGCTCATCCAAGCCAAGAAACTCCTGCAGGACATTAGCAAGCCCCGCCGCCGCTGCCTGGAGGAGCTGTCCCTGCACAAGGAGTTTGTGGACTGGCTCCGCGAGGCACTGGGAGGTACCTCGCTCTGCTGGGCTCACCCGGGGCTGGAGAGGGTGGCAGGTTGCTCACCGCAGGGGGTGCCCTCTCCTGACCACATCCGTGCAAGAGGCAGGCCGATGTTGCTGCTCCCTTCTTTAGGTGGGTGGACAGGGACCCCCACCCCCCAGACCCTGAGTTGAATTGACATCAGGACATTTCTCAGATTCCCATATAAAATATCTCCTTTGCCTCCTCCCACCTCTGACTCTCTGCATCCTGGCCGTGACTAGCTGAAGGCCCTTTTCTTAACAGTCCTGCCTCCTTTAGCTGTTTCTTCCAGGTGATTTTTACCAGAAGACAAGGAGAGACCCTGCTGTAGAGAGGTTTTACGACAATTGTGCACCTTCTCAGCCAAAGGCTTGGCATCCAGTTTAGTTACTGGATTAGACAGAGGGGAGGAGGAGAAAAGAAAGGCCAGGGATGCTGGAAGAGAACAGACATTAGCACTGGTGTGCCCTGGGGATCTGTAAGGACTTCCTCCTGCAGGTACAGGAGCTGTGCTGGCTCCGCCCTCACTGGGAGCTTTTCTGCTTCCACCTATGGGATCTAGGTGTTTTTTTTTTTTTTTTTTTTTTTTTTTTTTGGTGGCACTGGGGCTTGAACTCAGAGCCTTATGCTTGCTAGGCAAGTCTGCTTCCACCTATGGACTCTTGGGTCCACTTCGATGCTTACCTTTGGTTAGTAATTAACCTAAGAAGAATGATCTCAGATTTTATAGTTAATTGTCACCATATTGAAAGCTAAGCTCAGTTGCTTTTTTGTTTAAATAGTGTTATGTAGATTAAAAGAAGTCAGGTCACAGTGAGTGCCCAGCACCCATTGCTCAGTAAAGGTCAGGTAGCGGTCAGCAGTGTCACCGTGCACCACAGGTGTATTCCTATGAAAAGCAGGCAGTCAGTCAGACCCTAAGCATCCGGGGTCTTTAGACGGGCATCCGTTTATAGCCTCACTAAGGGTCATTGCCCAGAGTTTGAGGCTTGTTCCTTCGTGGAGTGGTTCTGTGCTGACCTCCTCTCTTCTCTTTGCAAGGCATCAATGAACTCAAGGTGTTCGTGGACCTGGCTTCCATCTCAGCTGGGGAGAATGACATCGACGTGGACAGGGTGGCCTGCTTCCATGATGCCGTGCAGGGCTATGCTTCCCTGCTGTACAAGCTGAACTCGCAGGCAGGTTTCCATGAGTTTATGGACCATCTGGAAGATCTCTGGAAGGCCCTGGAGAACGACCAGCACCTGCCCAAGAAGCTGGTGAGTCCCCATGCCAGTTCCAAGGCAGACTGAGCTGAGCAAGGCTTTGCTCAGCAGCCTCGGGGGCGACTGTGCCTTCAGCTGCACCCCTGTGTGGTGGGTGTGTACGCAGCCTTTGAATCTGATTCTTCAAGGCATTTTTTTTCTCCATTTCTGGAAATGTTTTCTCTGCCTTGGGTGAGAAAGTGACATACAAAGTTGCCTGTCAGCTACAGTCCTCTATACAAATGGGGGACAAAGGCCAAGGGAATGTGCTAAAATGTTCCTATAGTTTACTCTCAGTGTGGTAATCCCATTTTGTTCTGTTACTTCTGGTATTTTCCAGGTGGTTAAGCACCTGCCTAGCAAGCATGAGGCCCCGAGTTCAAACCTCACATACTTCTTGGTGTTTTCCATAATTGATTAGTTTCTTATCAGAAAAAAAAAATTAAAGTTAACATACTGTCTGTACCAGGGTCTGAATTAACTTTACCTAGTGAGCAGACATATAGCCCAGGACCCAGCATTGGCTTGGGGACAGCTGGTTGTCCTCATGGTTGGTTGAAGCAAAGAGGAGGGGTGAACAGAGAGAGAGTGGTTCGCAGTTTTTCTGCTAGAAGCTCACACCCAAATAAAAGCCTCTGTTGCAGTTTTTCCTTAATTCTCCCTGGCTGTGGACCACAAAAGGACAATCAGAACTTTGGGTCCCATGGTGCTTTGTCACTCCTGAGAGGTCCTTTACACTGGGCTTCCAGCGGAATAATGACCTCCCTCCAGGGAGCTAGGTGTGTGACCCATTCATCCATAAATGTAAGCTGAGTGCCCTCCACGTGCCAACCAGGGCATCAGGCACGGTGGAACATGAGTGGTGAGCAGAGAGGCCACTCTGCATGACTGAGGTCCTGAGCAACGAGCCAGAGCGTACAGGAGTAGCACGAGCACTGGGCTCTGACCCTGGAGGAGGGGGCGTGGAGTTTTCCTAGCGAGGCCAGAAGCAGGAGGAGGACAGTAGGAGGAGAGGAAGCAAGACAGTCACTCAGACCTGGTGCCTAGTCTCCACTTTCATCCCAACAGCGAGATTCTGCCAGGAACCTGGAGTGGCTGAAGACGGTTAAGGAAAGCCACGGGTCTGTAGAGCTCTCATCCCTGTCCCTTGCCACAGCAATCAACAGCAGGGGGATCTACCTGATCCAGGCACCCAGAGATGGCCAGAAGGTGAGTCCCCCCCAGAATCCTAACATGGTCCTGGTGGTGCTGCTGAGGCGGGGGCCAGTTTCTAAAGCAAACTCTGAACCTGTGAGCCTTCCAGATTTCTGCAGATGCTGTTCTACACCTGGTTCTCCCCGAGGCTCCTGGCGAGCAGGGGGTCGTGCGCTGCTACTCTTCAGAAGAGCTGAAGGAACTGCTGAACAAGCTGATGTTGATGTCTGGCAAGAAAGACCACAGCAATGTGGAGGTGGAGAGGTTTTCAGAGGTGAGATCTCCAGTCTGTGCTGGTGGTCCCCAGGGCCACCATGGCCTTGAGCTGAGCCAGCCAGTCCCATGGCCGAACTATGGGAAGGTCAGACTTGGCATTTGGTGGACAAGGTGGCTCTGCTTTTGGGCCCAGAGGGTGGAGCTGCTGGGATCTGTACAGGGCACGCAGCCCACAGTCACAAGGCCCAGAGAGGTGTCTGAGGCAGGGCCAGCCCTCGTGACGGCAGTTCCTCCTCCTAAGGTCCTCAGAAAGAGCTGTCACCATGTGTTTATTCAGTGCATCAGAGAGGAGATGACCCAGTGACGAGTTCTTAGAAACATGTGGAAATCATAAATTGCTTTTCTTACTATGTAAATTGGAAAGAATTCAAACACCTAAAGATTCTTTCTCTTCCTTCTGTCTTTTTCCCTTTCCCTCTCTCTCTTTCCCTCCATTCTTTCCTTCCTCCCTTCCTCTCTCCCTCCCTCCCTTCCTTCTTCTTTCTTTCTCTTCTTTTTCTTTCTCCCTCCCTCCCTGTCTCCCTTCCTATCTCTCTCTCTCTCTCTCTCTCTCTCTTTCTTTTTGATGGTACTGGGGTTTAAACTCAAGGCTTTGAACTTGCTAGGCAGCCATGCCTCCACCAAAACACCTACTAAAGATTCTGATGGGCATCCCTCATCAAACCAAAGCCACCTCATTGGCACAGGTGTATTGGTGTACCGAATGGCCTCTCCCTCGTATTATGGAGTCTGTCTGTAGTTTTTGCATGCTTTATGATTGATGTTCTCTCCTTTAACTTTTTGCTCCCTGGGGATGGGAGCCCTGTCATTAAGCTGATTATGCAAATGAGGAAGGAATGAATATGTGATAAATGTCACTCCTGTCTACCGTAAGCATCCTGTGTTTGAGTGAGCTGGTGGAAGGAAATGAATCCCATCCTTAGAGTTAGAAGCCTGTGTCTGTCACCCTCTCGTAGCGGGCTGTGACGTCTGCACCCACTTGTACTTCCCGCAGGTGTTCTGCAACGTGCAGCGGCTTGTGCAGGTCTTCATAAAGCTGTACTCCGCTGGAAACATGCTCTTCCGCACCTGGACAGCCGAGGTCTACTGCAGGCCCAGGCAGAGTGTCTCTGTCCGCATGGACTTCGACATGGAGTTGGTGAGCCAGCTGGCAGAGGGTGGGGATGTCGTTGAGATCCTCGAAGCGCTCTGCAGGCAAATGGAGCACTTCCTGGACCGCTGGAAGATGGTGGTGACCCAGAAGCGGACAGAGCACTTTTACCTCAACTTCTACACAGCCGAGCAACTGGTCTACCTGAGCACTGAGCTCAGGAACCTGAGACCTAGTGAAGCTGCCCTGACAATGCTGTCTTTCATCAAAGGCAATTGCACTGCTGCTGACGTCTTGCAGGCCCGGGGCATGTGCGATGACAAGGCTGCCACAGACCTCGCGAGGACAGTAAGGGAGGAATTGCCACTGCGGGTCAACTCTGAGTCCAGCATGGTGGCCATGCTGGGGGTAATCATGGAGCAGTCCACAGCGTGCATCAGTGCTTTCCTGCCTGGCTGCCTGGACCTGGAGGCCCTTGGCCATTGTCTGGCTCAGCTGGCCAGGAAGGGCAGGCCTCCCGTGGAACGGCCCCTCCCCAGGGGCCTGCAGGCTGGCCAGCCCAACTTGGTCTTGTGTGACTACTGTGAGGTGCTGCCGGCTGCCCTGGCCATCTACATGCAGGCTCCCAGCCAGCCCCTGCCCACCTTCGACGAGGTGCTGCTCTGCACCCCGGAGACCACGTTTGAGGAGGTGGCACTGCTCTTGCATCGCTGTCTCACCCCGGGCTCCAAGGGGCACAAGGTCTACAGCCTGCTGTTCGCGGAACAGCTGAGCTACGAGGTGGGCTGCCGGGTGGAGGCACTGTTTCAGAGTCTGTGCACGCAGCGCCACCGCGAAGACTACCAGCTAGTGATGGTTTGCGATGGAGCCCGTGAACACTGCTACCTCCCCTCCGCCTTCAGCCGGCACAAAGTCCTCCTCATTCCGCAGGAGCCCCTCGAAGCCATCCAGGCCTACCTGAAGCACCATTACCAGGTCCCAGAGGAGATCCCATCAGCTGCAGCCGTGTTCAGAGAGCAGCTGTGTGTCGGGATTGTGACCTCGGAGAGAGCGGGTGTTGGTAATGAGGGTGTCGGGGTGGACGGGTCCCTGATTCCCAGACACTGCCCACTGATGCTTCCTCTCCAGCAGTGAATGGGCCAAAAGATGCCCTTCTGTAGGTGGAGAAACTGAGTCTGAAGGCGGTTCTAACTCCCCTGTGGTTGTAAATCAGGGTATCTGCTAAGCTGTGATCCTTTATCACTGGTTTTGCAAATTGAGCGATTGATTCACTGGAGCCCTGTTCCCTGCCAGAAGCAGACTTCTCCGTGGATTTCTTTTTTCCTCCATAAATTCCATTGGTGTCTTTTGGGTTGATGTTGGTTGTAGGGACAGGGGAGGCTTGTCTGCTCTGTCTTGAGGGGAGTAAAAAAACCCAAAACCTCTTTTTTTTTGTTTTTTTAATGGTACTGGGTACTGAACCCATAAGCTAGGCAAGCGCTCTACCACTGAGCAAAACCTCCAACCTTTTCATTTGTATTTTGTTTTTGAGATAGGGCCTCACTAACTTTGTCCAGGTTGGCCTTGAACTCATGACCCTGCTGCCTCCACCTCCTAAGTTGCTGGGATTACAGGCATACAACACCACACCCAGCAACCAGCGAGCCTGGTTTTTGCCATGTCTCCCTTGGAGTGAGACAATATCTTCTCTGTTGCAGACTTTGTCCCATGAACTGCACTGTGTTCTGTGGGGACCAAGCCTGCTGTTCACACAGAGCGTGCCTTGGTTTTATTTTCACTACACATAGATTGCTGTCAATGGTAGAAGGGAAAAGGCAAGGGTTGTAAGTAGGAAACCGGAGGGTTCAAAGTGATTTCTCTCTATTCTGATGTTAGGTCACATCAGTTTAGAATTTTACACAAAGAGAAGTCATTTTTAATACACCCTTCTGGATTCTCTTCCTCCCCTGCCCCCAATCTAATTTCTTTATTTTAACATTACAGGAAAGTCTCTCTATGTGACAAGATTGCACAGCAAACTGACAAGGAAGTTACAAAATAAAAGTGTGCCTTTAAAAATTATTCGGTTGACTGACCCTCAGGTGGATGAGAACCAAGTCTTGGCCTCTCTCCTGCCTTTTTTGGACAGGAAATATCAGAAAATGCCTGTGATATTCCACTTTGATGTGACCACTTCAGTAAGTGCCCTGACTTATTACCTGAATCTGTGAAGACGTAATTCCCACATCCGACACCACGTCCCTGTAAGAAGAATTCCTTCCACATGTTTTCATGATCAACATGATTCCTCCAAAGAACAAACGAGCATCCCGAGGGCTGGGGACAGTGGCTGTCATTTTAAGGACTTACCAACCCTTGCTTGTCTTTCCTTAGGTACGCACTGGAATTTGGGTCTTTCTTTTCAAACTCCTCATTTTACAATACCTAATGGACGTCAATGGGAAAATGTGGCTGCGGAACCCGTGTCACTTGTATATTGTTGAGATCTCAGAAGGGAACTCGGAACAGCCAAAGACCAGGTCTTCTAAGCTGGTGCGTATCGCAGAGCGTTCGGGAGCGCACCTCGGCTTCCTCACCCTTCTGTCTTGGAGTGATGCATTTTTGTGTTTCCTCAAGTTTTGCCCTATAGAAGCAGCTGAGTCCATTTTTTAACAATGTTTGGAGTAAAACTACTTCTCGTATTGGTTAGCGGTTGGGGTTGGAGCTGTTTGCCTCTGGTGTACCCCAGCTGTGCTCTGATTGTAGGAGGTTCCTCTGTTGTGGGCAGCCATCTCCCAGTGACACTTACCTCACTTAACCTTGGAGTGTGGGCTTGCACACACACTCCACACACACACGCACACGCACACACACACACACACACGCACACACACTCTCACACACGCACACACACACACACGCACACACACACGCACACACACTCCACACACACACGCACACACACACACTCCACACACACACACACGCACACACACACACACACACACTCCACACACACACGCACACACACTCCACACACACACACGCACGCACACACACACACACACGTGTATTTGCTTAATGGAGAAGCCAGTCTCAGGGTTACAAAACACTTCTGGTTAAGGATGCAGCCCCTTTATTTAGCTTCCATGGTACCTTAATAGACAATTTTTTTCATAAAAGTATGGAGTGTAGACCACATGGAGGGTTAAACACAGGGAAAGGAATTCAATTACACTGTTTTATTTGTCTCTCCTTTGCAGAATGCTCATGCCCCCCAGTTCAGATTTCTTGACATCTTCCCCAAAATCACCTGCAGACCTCCCAAAGAAGTTATCAACATGGAGCTGACCCCTCAGAGGAGCCACAGAGAGCCCGGCATGGACCACAAAGAGTTCCGCAGCGCAACTTTCCAAAGACCTTACCAATATCTAAGACGATTCCACCAAAATGAAAATCTAGACTCATTTCAGTACCAAGAAAACTCCATTGAAGGCACCCCAGAAGAATGCCTGCAACTCTTCCTGATCTACTGCGGGGTCGTAAACCCATCCTGGTCGGAGTTTCAAAACTTTGCTCGCTTCTTGAACTGCCAGCTCAGAGACTGTGAGGCCTCGGTCTTCTGCAATTCAGGTTTTACCGGAGACACACTGAGGGGCTTCAAGAACTTTGTGGTTACCTTCATGATCTTTATGGCAAGAGATTTTGCCACACCAACCCTTCACACCTCAGACCAGAGCCCAGGCAACCACATGGTCACCATGGACGGGGTGGATGAAAAAGACCTCGCTCCCTTCTCTCTCCGAAGAAGGTGGGAGTCAGAGCCCCACCCGTATGTGTTTTTCAATGGTGATCACATGACCATGACATTCATTGGCTTCTACCTCCGGCCCAATAATCATGGTTACGTTGACGCCATCAATCACCTGAACGGGGAGGTGATCAAGGGAAATGTCATGACGAAGGAGCTGTACGAGGGGCTGTTGCTTCAAAGAGTCCCCTTTAACATTGACTTTGACAACCTGCCCAGACACGAGAAACTCGAAAGACTCTGCCTGGCCCTTGGGATCCAGTGGCCCACTGACCCCGATGAGACATACGAGCTTACAACAGACAATATGCTTAAGATTTTGGCCATTGAAATGAGGTTCCGCTGTGGGATCCCAGTCATCATCATGGGGGAAACGGGCTGTGGGAAGACCAGGCTCATCAAATTCCTTAGCGATCTGCGGCGGGGTGGTGTTGAGGCTGAGACGATGAAGCTGGTCAAGGTCCACGGAGGAACAACTGCATCCATGGTCTATTCCAAAGTCAGGGAGGCTGAGAAGCTCGCCATCTTGAATAACAGTCAACACCAGTTGGACACCATCTTGTTCTTTGATGAAGCCAACACTACGGAAGCCATAAGCTGTATCAAAGAAGTCCTGTGTGATCAGACAATGGGTGGCCGGCCCATGAAGAAGGATTCTGGCTTGCACATCATCGCCGCCTGCAACCCTTACCGGAAGCACAGCCAGGAGATGATCTGCTACCTGGAGGCAGCTGGTTTGGGATACAGGGTCAGTGCCGAGGAGACGACAGACAGGCTGGGCTCCATTCCCCTGAGGCAGCTGGTGTACCGGGTGCATGCTCTGCCCCCGAGCCTCATTCCTCTGGTGTGGGACTTTGGACAACTGAATGACACTGCCGAGAAGCTGTACATCCTGCAGATTGTCCAGAGACTGGTGGACTCCATCGAGGTAGACGAAGTTGAGACTCGTGTGATCACAGACGTGCTCTCTGCCTCTCAGGGGTTCATGAGAAAGAGGCAGAATGAATGCAGTTTTGTCAGCCTTCGGGACGTGGAGCGCTGTGTGAAAGTTTTCCAGTGGTTTTACGAGCACAGCAGGATGCTCTCAGCAGAGCTGAATGCCTTTCTTTGCGAATCCGGTGTCAGCAAAAATAACTTTGAGAGAAATCCTGTACTTTGGTCCCTGGTGATGGCCGTTGGGGTATGTTACCATGCCTCATTGGAGGAGAAGGAGTCCTACCGGAGAGCCATTTGCCTGTGCTTTCCAGAGCCATATTGTGACAGCAAGGCTATTCTGGATGAAATCACCCTGGCACAGGATCTTTTCCTGAATGGGGTACCCCTGAGGAAAACCATAGCCAAGAACCTGGCCTTGAAGGAGAATGTCTTCATGATGATTATTTGCATTGAGCTTAAGATCCCCCTCTTCCTGGTAGGGAAACCTGGCAGCTCCAAATCTCTTGCCAAGACCATCGTGGCGGATGCCATGCAAGGCCAGGCTGCCCACTCTGATCTCTTCCGCAGCCTGAAGCAGGTCCACCTGGTGTCATTCCAGTGCAGTCCCCACTCTACCCCACAAGGCATCATAGGTACCTTCAAACAGTGTGCCCGCTTCCAGCAGGGTAAGGACCTGCAGCATTACGTCTCTGTGGTGGTATTGGATGAGGTGGGACTGGCAGAAGACTCCCCCAAGATGCCCCTGAAGGCTCTGCACCCCCTGCTGGAAGACGGATGCATCGAAGACGATCCTGCCCCGCACAAAAAGGTCGGCTTTGTAGGCATTTCCAACTGGGCCCTGGATCCTGCCAAGATGAACCGGGGTATTTTCGTGTCTCGGGGCAGTCCCAATGAGAAAGAGCTCATAGAGAGTGCCAAGGGGATCTGCTCTTCTGATAGCCTCGTTCAGGACAGAATCCGGGGCTACTTCGCGCCCTTTGCCAAAGCCTACGAAACAGTGTGTCAGAAACAGGACAAGGAGTTCTTCGGGCTCCGCGATTACTACAGCCTCATCAAGATGATCTTTGCCATGGCCAAAGCCTCCAATAAAGAGCCTTCCCCGCAAGACGTCGCACACGCTGTCCTGCGCAACTTCAGTGGCAAGGACGACATCCAGGCTTTGGACATTTTCACGGCCACTTTACCCGAGGCCAGGTGCACGGAAGAAGTGAGCACCATCGAGCTGATCAGGCAGAACATTTACGGGGATGTGCCGAGGACAGAGGGCAGAGAGCTGGATGATACCGAGTCCCGCTACCTACTCGTGCTGACCAAGAACTACGTGGCCCTGCAAATCCTGCACCAGATATTCTTCGGTGAGGACCAGCAGCCCGAGATCATTTTCGGCTCCAGTTTTCCCCAGGACCAGGAATACACCCAGATCTGCAGAAACATTAACCGGGTGAAGGTCTGCATGGAGACTGGCAGGATGGTGGTTTTGCTGAACCTGCAGAACCTGTACGAGAGCCTGTACGATGCCCTCAACCAGTACTACGTCTACCTCGGGGGCCAGAAGTACGTGGACCTCGGGCTGGGCACCCACCGCGTCAAGTGTCGGGTCCACCCCGACTTCCGCCTGATCGTCATCGAAGAGAAAGACGTCGTGTACACGCAGTTCCCGGTGCCTCTCATCAACCGGTTGGAGAAACACTACCTGGACATCCAAACCGTGCTGGAGGATTGGCAGAGGAGCATTGTGCGTGAGCTCGCCAGGTGGGCGCAGGAGTTCGCAGATGTAAAACCGTATCAGTTCGGGGCTGGGCACAAGTACAGCGCTGCAGACGCCTTCATCGGCTACCACTCGGACGCCTGCGGCTCCGTGGTGCTGCAGGCCATGGAGCGCCAGGGCTCCAGGGACCTGACGGAGGAGCTGTACCACAAGGTGTTGGAGGACGCCAAACTGATTCTGCTGGATTGCGCCACGCCTGATGCCATCATTCGGCTGAGCTCCTCCTCGCTGGGCTCATTTGCTGCACAGGCTCTGGCACGAGAGTACTATGACAGGCAGCGGCACAACTCCTTCGCCGACTTCCTCCAGGCTCACCTGCGCACCACCAACCTGGAGCGCCGCGCCGTCTTCACAGAGGTGACTGTCCTCCCAGCAGCCTCACCCTCTTCTCTGTTACCCTAGAGTCCTGGGTCCCTGGGGTCAGGAGTCACGATCCTGTTTAAACCGGTGTGCGGGGGTGACACACAGGTGTCCTGAGACTTTTGGTTCCTCTCCGTGTTACGTGCGGAGGAGGATGAGTTAACTCGGTTTCGAGTGTCTGCTTCTGAGCAGGGCTCTGTGCCGACAGCAGCAACTGTGCACAGCACTCGTTACCTGCGGAAGCACCGCTCAGGGTGCTGAGGGTGTAGAAGTGAACGGGTATCGGTTGTTCTGGGTTTGGCGTATGTGTAACTTGGAAAGATGATTCGTGAGCAGGCTCCAGGGCAGGGGCCGTGGCTCAGAGTGGTTGAGTATTTGCCTATAAGTGAGAGGCCCTGGGTTTGTTCCCCAATACCCCTGGAGCTGGCCAGGAAGACACAGAGGCCTTCCGAGGGCAAAGAGATCAGGAGGGCGGGGTCGGGGGGGAGACGTTGAGAGGGTTTGAAATGCAAGGCTGTGATTTGAGTCGTGGGGATGAGATGGAGAAGCGCCTTGAAGGTCGCTGGCAGCAAGCACTGAGAAGCCTGGTCTTTCCTGTCCGCAGGGTGAGTTTAGATGAGCCTCACTGGGCCATGGGAACAAGAGGTAAAGGGCTGTTGTAGGACAGACAGACCAGTCCGGAGGCTGCTGAATAGGGCAGTGAAATAGAGGAGCAGAGGGCAGGGAGAGGTGTTTAGGTTGTAGATGGGCAGTGCTAACTGCCAGCACCTTGGAGGGATATGGCTGGTGGTGCAAAATGGAGCCTCCTGGATCCTTCCTGAGCTTGCCTAGGGCTTTGCTTCAGGACCAGGGAGAACCCGGGAATGGGACACAGGTAGCGGTAGGGTCCAGCAGGGGTCGGTTTGCATGTCTGTTAAGCGGTTGGATGGAGGAATGAGAAGCTCAGTCTCCAGACCAGCAGAGGGGATTTGGAAGCTCAAGTATCAGCATGTAAGGAACTTTTGACCTTACCCGTGGGGTGTGGTCTGTGGTAGAGGAAAATTGCTGACACTGGAGGGAGGAGGAGGCACCAGTGGCCAACTCCGTCTGACAACATGAAGCCAGATTACAAGAAGAGATGACAAAGTGGTGAGCCATAAAGGATCATGGGAATCTCAAGTAGGGGAGACATTGGTGTCTCAGAAGGAGATTAAGGCATCCTGGAAGCAGGGCACATCTTCTCTCCGATGCCCTTTGCTGCTGGACGTCTGCCTTGTGTTTGAAATCTCCTTTGACCTTGAGATCTTTCTGTGTACCCACTGCACCATGCTGTGTCCTAATAGGCAGGACTGACCGCCCTCGTGTCCAGGTTCTGACCCTGGCAGATGGACTTGTGGTAGACAGGCCTGTGGCTTGGATTCTGGCCCATGCTTGGTGCTCTCACTTTGCAGGTCACTACTTTCTCCCGGCTGCTGACGAGTCACGACTGTGAGGTCTTAGAGTCGGAGGTGAAGGGGTTGGCTTCAAGGCCCACAGTGCTGTCACTGCAGCAGTTTGACACGGAGTACTCGTTTCTCAAGGAAGTCCGGTGAGGTGCCCTGCTGCCTCTGTCACTCATGGCCCCAGCTTCAGGCGTGGGATGTTATCTGCCACGTTGCAGTAACTTGCACTGGTTAACAAACCCCGTAGACTCCTGACTCTGAAGAGGGTCGTGCCCTGGCCTCCTGATGTGCCACTCTGTCCCCACCACTCATAGTCATAAAGGACGTGGGCCTTCCCTGTACTCAGGGAGCTCGGCCGTCCTCTCTCCACCGTTCTGTCTGTCCGTCTTATGCAGGGAAGTCCCACCTGCATACTGTTCTCTGGGTGGCCTTTGCATTTCCATTCACTTGTGGGAATTTGTCCTCTGTTTTTGAGGACAGAGAACTTACCTTACTGTTCCCTTTTTCCTTCAGAAACTGCTTAACAAACACAGACGGGTGCAAAATCCTCATCATCCAGACGGACTTTGACGACAGCACTCACAGTGCCCAGCTCATTGCCTCTGCCAAGTACGCACTCAGTGCCTGTCCCGGAAACAGTGCAGGGCCCCAGCGTTACTCAGGACCTCCTAAAGGGCTCCTTCCCTGAAACCAGCACAGGGTCATAATAAATCCAGGCATAAAAGTAGGAGTTCTTCTCCCTTGTCATTCCCCTAAAAGAGGACTGGAGAAACTGGAAGAAAGACAGCAAGAAAATGCCAAAAAATACAAAAGTTGTAAAGCGAGAGAAGTGTAAATGATAGACTATTAATAATAAGTGAAAGAATTTCCCTGAAGAATATGTTTACAGTAGTTTTTTTTTCCTTTTTGATCCTTTTTTTGGTGGGACTGGGGTCTTGAACTTTGGGTTTCATGTTTGCTAGGCAGGCGCTCTCCCACTTGAGCCACTCCGCCAAGTGGTTAATTTTGAATCACACAATTTGAATTTTTTACAAGTTTAAGGGCAGTGCAGAATGTAGATGCTTTTATTCATACTGGGTTTTTTGGGAGTGGGGAACTGGGGTCTGAACTCAGGGCTTCACACTTGCAAAGCTGGCGCCTACCACTTGAGCCACACCTCCAGTCCATTTTGCTCTGGCTTTTTTTTTTTTTTTTTTTTTTGGAGGGGAGGTTCTCACGAACTGTTTGCCTGGGCTGGCCTCAAACCATGATCCTCCAAATCTCAGCCTCTCAAGTAGCTGGGATTACAGGTGTGCGTCACTGCGCCTGACTTTTGTGTGTGTTCATTACACATTTCCCAGGATGTTTGCAGGGGAAATCTGATATCTTCAGAACTCACTATGTTCCCTTAGTAGTTCATGTTAAAGAGAGATGCTAGGGCCTCTTTAGAGCGCTGGAGGCTGTCAGATCCTGCTGGGACAGGGTGTGACTGATGGTAGTGCAGGATGCAAGGACTCTGTTGACATGGGAGCCAGCAGGACCCCTCCGTCATGTCATGAGGAGTGCAGGGCTGGGTGCTGGTTGGGCAGGCATACCACCGCTTAGAGAGAGCCTGGGAATGGGGTCGGAAGTGAACCTGTGATTGAGAAGTTCTCTTCCTCATCAGAGAAGAATTGAGAATTATGGGGCCATGAAGCTGTTTAAGATTTTAAAACAAAGCTGGGAGCCTGAGATTGACCCTACCAGCTCACCTGCGAGCTGTCACAACTTTGTCACAGACCCTTGACCCTGTCACAGCTTTGCCTCTGCTCTTTGACTTGCTTTGTGTTAATTTTGGTTTGTTTTTAAATAGATATTCTGCTATCAATGAAATCAACAAAATACAAGGAATGAAGGACTGTATCTTTGTGTATTTCATCACCAAACTGTCCCGGATGGGAAGTGGAGTGTCCTACATTGGATTTCATGGAGGTAGGACCCCGATATCAACCAGTGCATTCATTTAAGAAGCATCTGAGTTGCCTCTCATGTGGTCCCGTGCCTGAAATTAGAATGCTAGTCCCAACGGCATTCTCACCCAGGGTCACTGTTCAAACCGTCATCTGTTTTTCTTTTTGGAGGGTACTAGGGTTTGAACTCAGAGTCTCATACTGCTAGTCAGGAGTTCTGCCACTAGAACCATGTGCCCAGCCCTTTTTTGCATTAGCTATTTTCCAGTCCCGAGTTTTTACCCTGGGGTAGCGTCAGACCAAGATTCTCCTACCTAAGTTCTCCTTCATAGCTGGGATGAAAGACATGTGCCACCACACCCACCCTAAAACCTTCATCTTAAACCAGGCTTAGTGGTACGTGCCTGTAATCTCAGTACTCAGGAGGCAGAGGCAGGAGGACCTGAGTTCAATGCCAACCTGGGCTAGATAGTGAGACCTTGCCTCAGAAGAATAAAGCCATCTTGGGACTTGTTGCTGTGACTTCAGCATTTCCTTGTCTACTTCATGTGAATGCTGGATTGACTCTGGCTCCCACCTTCCATCACATGGGCGATTCAGAGAAGACCTCCCTGACTCACTGGCAGCCATGCATTGATTTTTGTGCCTATGTCAGGGGAGACACGATCTTTTAATCAGCCCGCCCCTCTCCGTCTGTGAAATGGTCAGCAAGTACATTAGTAGGACACCTGGTGTTCTAGAAATAGGAGCACACTGTTTACTCTAGGAATTCAGTCCTGTCTGCACCTGTGTGCCTCCACTGACCACACAGGGCAGATCAGTCAGATGTGTATAAGGAACACAGACCCCATCGTCCACCCTGTGCGGTTATTCCAGGTCTTAAAACTGGTGCTTATGTGGTGTTGCCCATGTGCACATAACAAACCTGGTGGCTTCTGGTGTGCTCTGGGGTACCAGTCATTCCTCTAGCAGCAGTGTAATTAAAAACCCAGACCGTGGTGTGTCTCTGCTCATCACTGATGAGAAGAAACCAGAAAAGATGTGAGGAAACTCTGGTTGGCTTTGTTCTTCTCTTCACAGGGCTGTGGCGGTCAGTGCACATCGACGACCTCCGCAGATCCACAGTCATGGCCTCTGATGTGACTAAGCTGCAGAGTGTCACCATCAGCCAGCTGTTTAAGCCAGAAGACAAACCTGAGTGTGAGTGGAGAGGTGGCAGTTTGGGGACACCGTGGGGAGAGAGGCAGGCAGGAGGTGCCAGCATGGGCCATGCTAGAGTCGGTGACACCGTGCTTGTCCACCATGCTTTGAGTCCCAGCACCTGTCTCTCAGCAAGAGCTTGTACTGTGTGTGCTAAACTGTTAGGTGCACAGTCAACAGCACCAGGGCCAAGGGGATGACTACAACCACAGCGAGGAACCAGCCTGCTTCCTGGTTCCTGTAGAGCAGCTGAGTGGTGACCTGCCTGACACACATCCCCTCAAATGAGGCCACCACTGTGGCCTGGGACAAGGAAGGCTGGCGAGTCCCAGCCTAGGCACTGACCCAGGCAGTCCTATCCTGCCCTTTCTGCCTCCAAGTGGTGACTTGATTTCATTCACATCCCTTGCAGTGGAGGGCGACCAGGAGGAGGAGATGGAAATAGAGACCAGCAAATCAGGGGAGGTGGCAGAGGCAGAAATGGAGGCAGGAGGTTCAGAGGAGATGGAGTACCAGGCCTCTGTCCCAGGAGGTGCTGAGGTGAGTCCTCTGTGGGCCCTGGGACTGCATCTTGGACGCTGGCCGCCAGGTAGTAGAGGAACCCGTGCAGCTGTACCAGGGTTCAGCTGAGCCCTCTCCCCGTCCATGTTAGAAATGTGGGTGAATTATGACCTTCACAAAGTCTCCTAGTTACTTTTGCCCCATTGCTTGACTCCTGACTGGAATCCCTAAAGTCAGCAACCACCTTATCATTCAGTGGTCATCAGAGGACTCAGGCAAGCACACCTGAGCCAGGGGCAGTGGGTCGTAGTGTCACCTGCACCTGACAACCATAGGCCATCGTCTCAATGTGAGTCACTGGCCTTGGCCCACTGTGAGTGGCCGAAGTAGAAGACTCGCTGTGTCCCTTGGTAGGCGCAGGTCCTGGACACCACCAGGCTGCTGCGGAGCTGTGTGCAGAGTGCCGTGGGGATCCTCCGAGACCAGAACGAGGACTGCACACGCAACATGAGGAGGGTCTCCATTCTCCTCGGCCTCCTGAACGAAGACAACGCGTGCAACGGTACGAGTCGGGATCCCGTTTCGTCCCATGTCCCAGCAGGGGCCCCGCCGGAGGCCAAACTATTCCACAGGGTGTGGAGAGGATGCCCTTGTAGGTTTTGTGGCTCGGCACGGGCAGCTGACACAGTGGGAGGCTAAGGGCATCACTAGAATTACTAGAATTGGCCTGCCCTGGGGACAGACGGCTTCCCTCTTTGAGTGGGTCGAAGCCATGGCAGAGCCTACAACTCAGTGTCCACGGGGAGGCCAACTTATGTCCCCTTGCCCTTTTCAGCCTCTTTCTTGAGAGTGTCCAAGATGCGCCTATATGGTCTTCTGAACAAGCAAGAGGAGAACCAGCTCCGCAGCCTGAAGGAGTGGGTGTCGAGGGAGGCCGCGAATCAGGATGCTCTCCAGGAGGCCGGCACCTTCAGGTACTCAAAGTCTAGGAAGCGAATGGCTTCCAGGCCATGGCAGGGGTGGACACCCTTCCCAGCCAAGGAGACTCACCGAGGACTTTCCTTCTAAACAGCGAGCCATTCAAAGCTATTTCCCCCCAAGAGTCCATGTGAATCTGGACGGTGGTTATATGGAAGTGTGTGGGACTCTTTAAATTCTTTTTGTGATAAAAAACATGAGAAACCCCAGAGCACCAGTTCTTGTAGGATGTAAGTACTCACCAGCACGTCATGAACTGTAGTAAGTTTGTTAGGGTTGAGATGGTGGCCGTGCAGGATGGGGACAGAAATTATTTTCCTAGCTGATTTCTTAACATAAAACCACAAAAGAAGGACTCAGGAGGGTCATTTATCTCCCACGGTCCGTTTCCTGTAAAACCTCGACCCTTGCCTCTGGGCTCATGAGGACCTTTGAAGAGTCTGTGCAGTGGTGGCCGGAGGGCTGCTCTACATCCCACAGAGGGTCTCGGGCCCCACTGCTGACTTCATCGCTCTGGCTGTGGAAGACAGTGGAGTTCCACAGGGGCTCCCAGGTCTGACCTTTGCCACCCGTGACTTGGCTCACTTGGTGTGACTGGCAAGAAGGGATGTGGAATGGCCTTGCAGTTGGGGGTGTTGGCCACCACCTCTGGTTTCCTTGCTGTAGGACTTTTCTGTTTCAACATTTTTTTCTAGTCATCCTTCATTCCTTTCCTGCTTGCACCTTCCAAAAGCATTTGTGACACTAGGTACCGAACCCAGGTTTTCATCTCTCTCAATGTCCTAAATTCATGTTTTCCATGGCCCCTTTGGCACCCCTTCACTGTGGAGGTTGCTGCGTTTGCTGGGGTTCAGAGCAGTGCAGACAGTCTGGCCTCTTACTGTCTGCACTCAGGGTGGCTGCACCTTCCACAGCAGTGGCCTGCGCTATCCCAAGAGCAAGCTCAGAACCACACTGTTTAACGCACCTGCTCCTGGGGCTGCAGTCTCAGCCTGCTGGTTCCTGGCAAGAGCCAGTGACTTCCCATGTGCCGGGGGGCTCATGCCTGTCATCCTAGCTTCTTGAAAGTCAGAGATCAGAAGGATTGTGGTTCAAGGCCAGCCTGGGCAAAATAGTACATGAGATTCTATCTCGAAGATACTCAATACAAAAAAAAAAAAAAAAAGGCTGACAAGAGTGGCTCAAGTGGTAGAGTGCCTGCCTAGCAAGCAGGTACTGAGTTCAAACCCCAATACCAACAAAAAATTTTTTTTATAAACATATCAGTGACTAATTGTTTGCCAGTGCCCTGTGGTTTGGATTCATGCCACTTGTCCTCAGGATTACACAGTCTGAATCCTAAGCCTTTACTGTGGGCTCTTTCCAGCTCCAAACCAAGGCAGCCTCCTGGGTCCGGTGTGTCAGCCCAGTGTGCCCCTCCCGCAGCCAGCGTGCGCCTCACACTTCTGTTCTGTTCCCCACTTCGCCTATTTCAGAGTTTTCTCCCTAAGTCACAGTGATGTCTTTGTCTATTGGCATGTTTTCTCAGAATTGTTCTTATGTTCTTCCCAGGTTCCTGTGTACTACTTAATTGAAAAAATAAGTATTTCTTTTTATTCTTGGCAAATAGCTTCACCATTCTTCCCAGCATTACTTACTCCAGAGTTCTTATCTTTTACACGAATTTTGAGATAAGTTATACAGCTTTTTGTTACATATATATATATTTATTATATATACATGTATATACTAAATATACATTACATTTATAGTTACGAACACTTATTTGTTTTATATATGATACATACCTATATATACATGTAAATATATAAAACCCAGGTCCTTGCTAAATCAGCATCTGACCACTGGACTATACCCTGAGTTCTAAACATACATTTTTAACAACAGTGTAACATAGTTACAACAAAGTGTAAAATTGTTACAACAAAGTGTACTGTAACTAATTCAACCAATTACATCAGTGTGCACTGCTGGGATCCAGTACAGGAAGCTGAACCTTAGATAGCTGTGTACTTCCTTGTGTAATCTGGTGTAGAATGGATTTACTTTGATCTTTTGATCTTTACTGTATTTTATCCACAGCTGATTTTTTTCTGGAAATATTTTTTTCCAAATGATTTTGGTCTTTTCTTTCATTTTGGAAGAGTTGTATAAAAAAAGCAAATGCTTCTTCCCCTTCTCAGTGGACTAATTCAGTTTTTTAAGTGCCATTCCAGTTCTGCCTCTAATCTTAGACATTTCCATTTGTGGGTCTCTTTTTTTCATACTTAGAAATGATGAAAATTCATTTTTTGTATTCCGGGATAGCATGGGAATCAGAGGCGTGGCTGACGCTCAGGAGGGAGGGGTCAACGTTGGGACAGAGACACCTTAGTCGCCATCCCGAGTCACAGCAGTTCCCTCTTCCCTGCTGCAGACATACCCTTTGGAAGCGGGTCCAAGGCGTGGTCACCCCCCTCCTGGCGAGCATGATATCCGTCATCGACAGGGACGGCAACTTGGAGCTGCTGACCAGGCCAGATTCACCAGCCTGGGCACGGGATCTTTGGATGTTCATTTTCAGTGACACTAAGCTTCTGCATATCCCTCTTGAGGTGAACAGCATAAGGTAGGTGGAAGACTTCCTTTTTACAGGAAAGGAGCAGCCCCCTCCATGTCTCCAAGCTTCAGTGGACTGTAGATGTCGCTTTTAGAGTGATTTACAACAGCTCAGACGTAGCCTAGAGGATCCTGGTAGCATAGCAGCAAAAGGCTGACTGAGGTCCTGATGGATCTGCATCCCGCCTTCAGAGCCCCCTTACAGCTCACGTTGCCTGGTTCAACTTCACGTGCCTTGGAGACACCCAGTGCTGTGTTCCCTCGTGCTGTTCCCCATTGCGTGCTGGGAGCTGTGCAGGAGGTGTGATTGTGTGGTGTTCAGGCTCAGCTGGACTTCCAAACTCTTGCTCATAGGGGACTTTGGTTCTGGGATGTGGACTAACAAGGATGCCTAAGAAAAAGTGATTCCAAATTGCCAGTGGAAACACTCATTTAGAAGACAGGGCACTTTCTCTCAGGAAAGCCTCACTCTGACAGTGGACAGGTCACCTTCTAGTGCGAGGGCTGGGGAGGGGAATGGGAGGGGTAGGAAAGATACAGAGGAGGAGCAGGGCAGGGACAGGTGCATACACCAAAAGACCTCTCTGCCAGGCTTTGGGCTACTTGCTTGGCCCCCTTGCTTGGTTTGGTTTTGTTGTTTTGTCCATGAACGAAGGGTTACAAGAGCTAGGCCTCCATTGCCTTTACAGCAGAACCCCAACCAGGACCTCTTGTAGTTCTCCATGTGGTCTGCAACACCAGTCTTTCTTTTCCTTTTTTGTTTGTTTGTGGTGCTGGGGATGGAACCCAGGGACTTGCGTGTGCTAGACAAGCTCTACCACTCAACCGTACCCCAGCCCCTGGTGCCTTCTTGCAGACCGAAGGAGCTGTGTCAGTGGTGCATGCATGCTGTCTGTGCATCCAGTGACAGCATTTTAACCACAGTCTCGTTCTCCTTTCCTTGCTGCAGACCTAAAGGAGAGATGTCCTCTATTGTGGTGCAGAGCTACATGAACCTTCCCAAACACACTTCCAATGACGTCCCATTTAGCTGGAGAATCAAGGACTACCTGGAAGAGGTCTGGATCCAGGCTCAGTACATCACTGATGCAGAAGGTGAGGCCACCCAAGATGAGTTGGTTTGGATGCAGAGAGGGGAATTGGCCTTTTTTCTCAGAGAGCCACCTTGACAGCCAGCAGGCAGGCAGTTGCTGGCACCAGGTGAAGCTTGCACTTTGCACGGCAGGGGATTTGGGGGGAGCCTCATGCTTATATGGTTTCAGCAGGGGGTCCAAAGCCTTTTTGTCACACAGCAAAGGGAGCCTGGGAGGTGATTTTCATTCACCCACTGGCCCGGGGTCTGGCAAAATGGAATGTGTTCCAGCAGGGAGAGGGCTCGTCACCTGCCGCTGGTTGGTCATTCAGATCTGAGTCTCCTGGACCACTTGGGCACTGGCCTCAGGAGACATCCCCACTGCAAGAGGAGAACCTCCTCTTCTTCCACGCACATCTGCCCCGCGGCTCTTCCGAGTCACACAGCCCGCCAGCACTCTGCTCTGCTGTCTCATACTGAGGGCTTGGCCGTAGACCAGAATTTTTAGAAAAGTCACCTATCATGTAGGAAGTCATCTTTGCAACAAACGACCCCAAGGAGACATCGTTCTGGGTCATTGTCCTGCCAAGTCTTTCAGGACAGCATGACGTGGGCTGCCTCCAGATGACACACAGTTCCTTTTTTCAGGGCAATGTCATACCTCACCGTGCCTGTTAGGACTTTTACGTGCCACAGAGCTCCCTATCCACTAGAAGGCAGACTCTCTGGCTCGCGTGCTGTCCAACTCCAGCCCCTGCAAAGCGGCCACTCAGTCCTGATGCACTTGGAACCCTGGGTGTACAACACAACTCTTGGGCTAACTGAGATGTTTTTCCTGTTGGGGCTCACTTGGCAGCTTGCAACGCAAATTTAACATGGGTTCTGCCTCTTGTTCTTTTGTCCTGTTGTCCAGACAATGACCATTCCCTTCCTTCCCTCCAAGGTCAGGCAGGTACTTTGTCACTGAGCTCCTGTTCAGCATAGGCACACACTGTTCCTCCCCATGGAGCAGCACTTCCTACACTCACAGTTTTGTCTCACTCAAGCTGCTCTTGGGTTTCCTTCCTGCAGGACTGTCTAGGAAGTTAGTGGAAATCTTCCAAAAGACTCCCCTGGGAAAATTCCTTGCCCAGCTCCCCACAGAACAACAGCAAGAACTCCTGCACTGCTACTTGAAGGACTTCCTGCTCTTGACCAGAAGAGTGTCCACCTGGGACGAGCTAAAGGTTTGTACGGACTCGGGGTCACATGTGGGGTTCATACCTTGTGGACTGGAGTCAAACACAGGACCACTCACTCAACCTCCAAAACCGGGTGCTGTTGTATGTGCGTGGGACAACTGGGGTGACGGTGCCCCTCGAGCTGCTCAAAGCACACAGGACCAGACCCTCGGCTGCCCCTCAGGATCTTTTAGATCAGAGCTTTTTGTCTCCACGAGAAGCCCTTTCGATTTAAATCTTTAGTTTCTCATGAAGAAAATAGCAACTATTTAACTGACCCATTAAGGTAAGAATAAGTGAAATTTGGTGGAAAGATTGATACTTTTGACTGGCTGAAAAATTCATACATAAGAAGATGAAAGTGACAAGTTTGAGGTGAACATGCTAAGACCCGTGCAAAGAATACCTCCTCTTGAATAAGAATGGGCCCAAATTTTTAAAAATGGGTAAAAGTGGTGGAGCAACCATTAACAGAATAATCGTGCAGATGTCTGGAAAATCTTCGCACACCTGCTCAGCCCCAGCAGGCTGCTTGCCAAATATACACAGTTCCACCTGTGAACTTGGCAAAACTGATTTTTAAAAAGGACAGCAGTCAATGGTGCAAAGGAAGGGACAGACCACCTGCTAAGGATGGCGTGAACAGTGACGTCACAACACAATCTGAGTAATAATCTGAACACAATCTGATAATAGCTGTCCCACAGCTATTATCGGAGGTGGGGACAAGTCTTCACGGGAATGTTCTTTTCAGCTTTGTTTTTCAAAATGAAGAGTTTTGAATAACTTAAATGCCCAACGAAATAAAGGGAGGTACACATGAAAGTGTGGCCATTTGTAATATAGTTGTTGCTCGGCAACCACTAAAAACAGTGTCTTCCAGGTACAGTGGTAGAGCGCTTGCTTATGAGCAAGTATGAGACCCTAAGTTCAAACCCCAGTACTGCAAAAAAAAAAAAAAAAACCAAGTATCCTTAGTGGTAGAGGAGTGCTTGTGTAATTTTGAGTGAAAAAAATCAGGAATCAGTGACCATGATTTGGAGACAGTATTGAGAACGAGGTACAGATATAAAAATGACTAGCAGACTCCACCAACTGAAAGGTAGTAAGCCTATTTTTTATTTTCTTCTTTGTAGTTTTTGAATAGTTCTGATTTTCCACAGCAAAGCATTTCTTCATAATTTCCAGCTCCATCCTAAAAGTCTTTTGCAACCTCAGTTTCTGCAGATGGCCCTGTGGTCCTGCATCCGTGAGCTACAGGCAGCGGCAGGAAGGCCAGAGGAAGAGCTGTCCTTGCCATGGGTGCACCTCGCCTATCAGCGTTTCAGAACCCGGCTGCAGAACTTCTCTCGAATCCTGACCATCCACCCCCAGGTTCTGCAGAGCCTCACTGAAGCCGCACAGAAGCACAACTTGGCTGGGAGTGAGATGGTAAGGACCCTCTTGGGAAAGTCCCTGGCCTGGCCTGCCCTGAGCGGTGTTCGGGTGCTTCTGCTTCCAGCCTGGGACCAGAAGGCTTGTATCCCAAGTGGGAGACTTTACAGGCACCCACGTCGGCATCACTCAGAGGTGTTGAGAGCACGTGTTACTGAGGCTTCCTCTCCCAGGATGATGAAGGAGTTGGGTTACAGGCCTAGGATCCACTGATGGCAGTGGAGCTGGGGACCATGCAGGGTCACGAGCTGTCTCTCCTCTTCCAGACACTGGATGCGTTTGCAGCAATGGCCTGTGTGGAAATGCTGACAAGAGACACCCTGAAGCCGAGTCCCCAGGCCTGGTTACAGTTGGTGAAGAGCCTGTCCATGCCGCTCGAGCTTCTTTGCTCTGACACATACCTGCAGGACACCGGGAACATCACTAAAGCTGTCACCAAGGAGGTCAGGTAAGACCTAGGCACCTGTCCACCGTGGCACCCAGCCTGTGCTCACCCAGGAGGTCTGCTGGGTCCCAGCACATCAGCGAGCAGGACCAGTGGGGCCACCCCTCCCGCCACAGAACACTTCTCTCCTGGATCATCCGTGGTGCATTCGCTGAGCCCTGCCCATGTGCCAGGTGTCTCACTAGATCCAGGGGCACAAGGAGAAAACCACCTGCAGGGTCCCAGGGTCCATGGGAAGCAGGCAGCTTGTTAGGATGCCTTTGAGGATTACATGACAGCAGTTAGGACAGCAGGGGCAGGCCAGGCCAGCAGAGAGAAGACAGACAATCAGGGAAGGGGGTCGTTCCCACACTGAGCTGCAAAGACACCGGAGACTTAACAGGTGCAGGACTGTGGGCAGGTGGGCAGTGGGACAGTCCATGTCGAGTCATTGAATGTCCCTGAGCTGAGCATGGGGGAGAGGACTCATGGTGGTTCAGGAACCTGGTGCAGGACTGTGGGCATTTCCTCCTGTGGACCTCCTCTTCCTGTGCCCGGCCTTGAGCCTGCTCCCGCCCCCCTCCTCCTTGTGTCACAGCACTGAGTGATTGACACCCCTCCCTTGACAGAACCCAGTGGAATCGCATTTTCTCTATTGCACTCTTTGTGGAGCATGTACTCCTGGGGACCGAGACCCAGGTTCCTGAGCTGAGCCAGCTGGTGACCGAGTACGTCTTCCTATTAGACAAGGTGAGTGCTGGGCTGGGCTTAGCCTTCAGTGCTGGATGAAGAGTCAGGTGCAGTGGTACATGCCTGTAATCCCAGCTACTCAGGAGACGGGGGTAGGAGGTTCACAGTCTGAGGCTAGCCTGGGCAAAAGCATCAGACTCTTTCTGAAAAATAAACTAAAAGCAAAGGACTGGGGTGTGACTCAAGTAGTGGAGCTCCTGCTTAGCCAGTGTGAGGCGCTGAGCTCAATCCCCAGAACCACAAAAAAAAAAAGAGTGGCTGAGACCTCCCCAGCATTACCTGAGGGTCTGATAGTACAGAGGAAAGTCATGTCATTCATCAGCCATCACACTTTTAGTGTGTAATCATTGAGCTATTCACTCTCTCCTGGTTGCTAAGTCAGGGTACGTCGCTTAGGGTTCTGTGGCAAGACAAGAACAACTCTGATAACTGTGTACCGAATGGGATTCGTGCAGGGGCGTGCCTGTGAATCCGTCAGGAGAGGGGAAGGAGTGAGCTCCTCTGGCCTCTGGGGTGACTGGGACCGACCCACAGCCCAGAGTTAACCGTTACCATGGTCTGGGCGACATGCCTCTTCTCCTCAACACTTTTGATAGCACTGATGGCTGCACAGCACAGAGCCCTGCAGAAAAAGTCACCATCTCTGTGACCGTGCTGTCCAGAAACAACGGGCACTCAGCACATCTCAGGTTCTGCCTCCCTCTCCCCGTGACCTCACTGCTGTGATAACCATGAGGACTCCAGTGGGTGGAAGGACCGTCATTGGCCTCCAGAGTGCTGACCCAAGAAAGGCAGCTGTAGGCGTGTGCAGGAGGGAGCAGTGGAAGGGACATTGCCAGGGAAGCAAGTTGCTGGTCCACTTGGACATGTTGGTGTCTTTAGCCAGGTAGAACTCATCTCTTGCTCCTACAGCAGGATGGGCTGAGCCAGGTGCCCGGGCTCCTCTGCTCACTCCTTTGTCATTCTTAATTGACACCAGCCATTTAGTGGTCTTCGAAGGCTATTCCTGGTGTCACAGCCCATGCTATAAAAAGAAAGGGTAGTGGTGCACACAGTATCTTTTAAGAGCACAACTGTCCTACTGCTTCACCCTGAACTAGGCCTGCAGCCTTATCTAGTTGCAAGGAGGCTGAGAAACCTGTTGCACAGTGGTCATATGCCCAGGTGGAACTTCCCAGTTCTTTTTTAAGGAAAAAGTAGGGAAAGGAAAGTGGATGCCACCATTTGGCCCCACAGATGTCCTCGACCAACCTCTTCCCACACAGCCCACGTGGAGACCCACTTCACGTCTCTATCTCTGTCCAGGGCTCCTGGACCTCTGGGAATGCATGGGCCTCTCATCCAGGACCACTGTGGTTCCCAGTGGCCAGGTAACCCACCTGGGAGATGGGTTACCCGGCCCTGACGTTCTGGCCTGCACACACTCTGGGGGTTTGGAGGCCAGGAGTGTGAGTTACTTTTTTGGCCAGTATATGACCTCATAACTGAACAGGTTTCAGATTTATTTCCCTGTAGCCAGATCCATGTGTGATACCCAGTTTTCATGTTTGAGGCCTTTCTTATATCTGCTGACCTCATGTTTTGTCCTTTGCATTCCCTCTACCTATGGGGCAGTCCCTCGGGGCCACATGAAGTAGGAGCCATGGGGCAGGGAGCCTGTCCTCAGTCTGATCTTTGCTCTAAGGCTGGCTCCTGTGGTCCAGCTGGAACTCTTAGATGGAAGTCCTTGGGAAACATGGGGCCTCAAATGTCACCTCCCATTGAGGCTGCCTTCACAGAAGTCACTTCTTAGCATTGGCCTGACCAGGGGTCAGTGGTTCTGTTTCCTCACCCTCCAAATGTTGCTAAAAGTTACAAGAAGTAAACAACACATTATAGATATTGGAGTTTTCTCAGTTTCAGTAGGAAGGGTAGGTAGGTAGATAATGGGAAAATAGATAGATAGATAGATAGATAGATAGATAGATAGATGGATGATAGGTGGGTAGATAGGTAGGCAAGTAGAGAGAGAGATTCCCACAGCTTGTGATCTACCTTCTGAGGTGTCAGAGACAAGTCTTTCTAGATATTTGCCACAGATCCTAAGGCATCAGCTTTCTAGTTTGTCATACCCGTGTCCTCACCATCTTCCACCCAACCCCTGGGCACTTTTTTAGACTGCACTAAATATACATAACCATTTTAACCATTTCCAATGTACAGTTCAGTAACATCAAACACATCCATCCATCCATCCCCACCATCCATCCCCAGAACTTCCTCATCTTCCCACACCAACACTGTCCCCATCACACACCTCCCTGTGCCTTCCTCCCTCAGCTCCTGGCAGCCCCCATTCTACTTTCTGACTATGAGTTTGGCTATCATAGGGACCTCATGTTTGTGGAATTGAACAACATTTATCACTTTGGTTTGGCTTATTTCACTTAGCATAATGTTTTCAAGGTCCATCTATGTTGTAGCGTGTACCGGAATTTCATCCCTCTGAAGGTTGAGTTGCATGGAATGGATGGACCCCACTGGCTCTGTCTGTTTATCTAGTGGTGCCTGGTTAGCTTGTTTCCACACGAGCTTGGGTATGAAAGTCTTTGCTTCAGTCCCTGCTTTTAATTCTTTTGGATATATACCTGGAAGTGTAAGCGGCCTTGCTGGGTCCCATGACAATTCCATGTGCGGCTTTTTGAGGAACTGACAGCGCACGGGATTCCACTGCTCCACTTCCAGGCCAACAGTTGTTTTCTGGAGTTTTAGGAAAGCATTTACCGCGTTTGAAGTGTTCTCACGCTGTGGCTCCAATTTGCCTTTTCCTGATGACTACTGATGCTAAGCACCGTTTCACATGCTTCTTAGGCATTTTTATGTCCTCTTTGGACAAATGTCTAAGTCCTTTGCCCATTTTTTGATTGTATCGCTGATTAACAAATGAAATTTATAGGCTGTTCACGCATTTCCACTATGACGAATCCTCTGAAATCAAGGATGGGCTCACAATTTTAGAATCTGTAGTCACGAGTTCGTAAACTAAGAGAGAAACTCATTTCGAAAGGTTGAGAGAAGCATCTGACAGAATTAATATTTGGCTAAAAAAAAAATTACTCTTGGCAAATGAGTCCTAGGAAATTCTTTTTAATCGGGTAATGCCCAACAGAATGCCTAATATAAAAACATCTGTACGAACACTGTGCCTGACCACAAGCTTCCAGAAAGAGAGCCACTCAACTCACTATCTTGTGTTGTTGAAGATGTGCATTTGTAAAAAACCAGTGGGGGTGGCAGAGTGGCTCAAATGGTAGAGCGCCTGCCTAGAAAGCACAAGGCTCTGAGTTCAAACCCCAGTACAACAAAAACAAGACAAAACAAACACAAAATCAGTGTTTCCACTTCTAAATGTATGTTCCTAGAGAAATTTCTTAGGTCTGGGAGTAGCTCAAGTGGTAGAACACCTGCCTAGCAAACACAAGGCCATGAGTTCAAACCCGAGTGCTGCTATAAAAAAGAGAAAGAAAAAGAGCCAAGAAATTTCTTATTTTTCCTGGAGCAGACACAGGCACTTTATAGTACAGGACTGTTCAGAACTGCAAAAAAGAGGGGGTATAGCTCAGTGGTACAGCATTTGACTGCAGAACTGCACAAAATCCAGAATACAAGATAGTCATGAACTGGAAAGCAGGCCACTGGTTTTCAGGCTCTCACCAGCGTCTACCTACCATATAGCAGTTGAGGAGAATGACCTTGACCTGCCAGTATCCATGAGAAAAGCAAGTCCCAGAAGCCCACTTGCAGGGGACATCGCTGGCAGAAAGTTTTAAAGCATGTGTGTGTTTACCCATGTGTGCACCTGTCCTGAGGTAGAAAACAGGAATGTAGAATTCTCGGGGTAAGGGGGAGTGGGAAGGAAAAGTGATCAGAAAGGGAAGTCATCGCTAAGTGTGCTGGTTCACACCTGTAATCCCAGCTACTTGGAGGCAAAGATCAGGATTTGAGACCAGCCCAGGCAAAAAGTTGGCAAGACCTCATCTCAACCAATAGCTGGGAGAGGTGGTATGTGTGTGTCATCCCGAGCAAAAAAGTTTGCAAGACCCTTCTAAACTGAAAAAACCTGGACATGGTGGTGTGGCACCTGTCATTCCAGTGACCATGAGAATCGGCGTTCAAGCCAGCCTGGGCAAAAAGCAAGACCCTATCTCCTAAATAAGCAGAGTAAAAAGGGCTGGATGTGTGGTTCAAGCAATCAAGTGCCTTCTAGTAAATGCAAAGCCCTAAGTTCAGTACCCAGGTACTGCCCAAAAAGAAAGAAGGAAAAGGAAGAAGGGAGGAAGGGAAGGAGGGAGGGAGGAAGGAAGGAAGATAGATCTGTTATATTTTGTTTCCCTGAAATAGGAGCTAAAGCAAATATTCCCAGAATGCTGAGACTTTGTAAACGGTGGTCGCGATGTTATCATTACTTAAAATTTGAAATATCTCATAACGGGGAGGGGTAGACCTTAAAAGAAAATTGAGAAAGTTAGGGATTTATTCCATCTCCTGACAAGCAGTAAAGTAACAAAAGTATGGGAAACTAGGCTAGGAACATGGCCCAAGTGGTAGAGTGCCTATCTGGCAAGCTCGAGGCCCTGAGTTCAAGCACCGCCACTATGAAAAAAAAAAAAAAAGTATGGGAGACTGCAAAGCAAAGAATCCAAAGTGCCTTGCACCACAGACACACCGCATGGCCTGACTGCAGTCTCCAGCCAGCCAAGCACAGGGTGGGTTGCTGTTCCCTCTGTCATGTTGGGATGCCCGCCTGGCCTGGCTGACCACCCTGCCTTGCATGCTCTTCCTCTCTGCCTCTCTCCCCAGTGTCTTCAAGAGGACTCTGACATGAAGTCCCAGAAGCCTTTTATGGCTGTGATAACCACTCTTTGTGAATGCAAGGACAAAGCCAGCAAGTCCTTCTTCAGGTGAGACACGTGAAGGAGAGCACTCCACACGTGACGGGCAGCTTCGATCTCCGGAGCTGACCCTCTTCTGGGTTGCAGGTTTGGTGTCCAGCCGTGCCGCATCTGCCTGGGAGACGCGCAGGACCCCGTGTGCCTGCCCTGTGATCATGTGTACTGCCTGCCTTGCATCAGAAAGTGGCTGGTTCCGGGGCAGATGTCATGCCCCTTCTGTTTAACTGATTTGCCAGACACATTCTCTCCCGTCGCCTCCCAAGAGCACAGGTAAAACAGCTCCTCTCTGGAAGCTTCCTCTTTTTCCTCCTTTCTTAAAAATCAAGTCTTCAGCAGTGCCTCTCTATTCACCTTCATTGGGTAGAAAGCTGGCTTCAGAGATCCCACACATTCTTCTCTCTCCAAGACAGACATTTGTATAGATGGGGAGACTGCAGAAACCAGGAAGTTGTGGATTAAAGAAAGCCCTTGAAGGAGAGCCAAGAGATGTAGCTGCAAATTGTCTTTATTTTATTTTCCTCTTTGTGTGTGGGGGGGATTGAACCCAGGACCTCATGCATGCTAGACATGCATCCTACCACTGCACCACATCCTAACCCACTGTCTGCCCTCTTCATGCATGGGTGCCATTCCTGCTGTCTGGCCCAAGGATGAAGGCAGCTCTCGTCCATTTTTTTGGAGGTGGGGAGGAGGACCCCCCCAGCACTGTGGGCTCCGCAGGCTCCATCAGTGGCTATCTTTCCTTCCCTTCCTTCCCAGAAGCTGGGAGGGATTCCTTGGCATGCTTGGGGACACCTAAGAGTATGCTGGCTGGTCCAAACAATCAAGATATTCCAGAAAGAGATGGATCTAGACACTGTCTACTTCAGTGAACATCTTTAATCACCACAAGGAGCTAATTACATTTGTCGATTTAAAATGCAATTCTCTTCAAAGGTCCCATCATGCTACATGCAGGGATGGGGACATTTACAAGTCTCTTGACTGAGTTTTCTGCCCTTCCTAAGGAGAGCCATCGAGAAACACGCCCAATTCCGGCAGCTGTGCAACAGTTTCTTCGTGGACCTGGTTTCCACCATGTGCTTCAAGGACAACACCCCTCCTCACAAGAGTGTGGTCCACAGCCTGCTCTCCCTGCTCTTCGTACAGAAGGAGCTCCTGCGAGATGCTCCCCAAAGTGAGTTGCTTTTTCCCTACACCTGGAATCCCAGGGCTTCGGCTCAGCTTTGTGCCGTGACGCTCCATAGCACCTGTCTCCTCCTGGTTTCAGGACACCGTGAACACACCAAGTGCCTCTCTCCGTTTGACGATGTTGTGGATAAAACTCCTGTCATCCGCTCCGTGGTGCTGAAACTGCTTTTGAAGTACAGGTGAGGGCAACAATCAGGCCATTCGCTTCTAGAGAACCTGGACTTCTCATTGCTTCCTGGCAGCTGTTTGCTGCCATGTGTCCCCTGCATGGCTAGGAGCTGGTTGGTGGTCTGGACACTTTTACAGTGAGAAGGAAGCTGGCTTATCTGTGTGGGTATTATTGCGTGTTTAGACACTCTCCCCTGTGGCATGTGAGTTTGGCTCAGTCACAGGTACATTTTTAGCAAGAAAAAGACATGATGCGTGAGGGCTTTGTGGTTCTGGCCCAGGCCCCCTGCTACCCAGTATCACAGGTAGGGTGGTGACTCAGGCTCACCAGATTGTCCCAGATTGTCTTGACTCCTTTTCCGTGGAACAAGGGCTCTGGGGGGGTCTCCTTGGTTAGAGAGCAGGTGGATGACACCTGAGGGAGGGGACCCATGCCGTAGAGGCGGCGGTCCAGAGCTGCCGGCCTCTGGTGTGGGGAGGGCGTCCTGACCGCACGTTCGTCCCTTCCCACATGTTGGTGCTTGCGGTAGCATTCCCAGAGCAGCGGGGCAGGGGGGCTGGAGTGTGAGCTTGAAGGAACAGCAGGGCGGCCGTGGTTCTTCACTGTGACCCGGAGTTTCCAGTGTTTGTGGGATTGGGAGGCACTCACAGAGCACAGCAGCCACACACCAAAGGGGGACAGTCACCCCTGACAGCCCAGCGCTAAGGAGCTGGATGCTGTTTCTACGTGCGTCCGACCCCAGCGGGCAGAGGTGGGCATTTCTTGAGAAGAAGCCACAGGACCTTGTCACACCCACACAAGTACCGAAGTGCACCATTCCACCTATGCACAATGCTCGCCTTTGTGTGAAAACGAAGATGCTCTGAAACCTGTATCGTCCACCATGAGCTGTTTCTACGTGCGTCCGACCCCAGCGGGCAGAGGTGGGCATTTCTTGAGAAGAAGCCACAGGACCTTGTCACACCCACACAAGTACCGAAGTGCACCATTCCACCTATGCACAATGCTCGCCTTTGTGTGAAAACGAAGATGCTCTGAAACCTGTATCGTCCACCATGAGCTGCTCACCTTTCTCACACTCAGAGACCTTTTTCCCCAGCACACTGTAGAATAAAAACATGTCAACAGTACAAGAACTGCTCGGCTTGGCTACCAAGATTATCCACGCGACCAGTGTCTAATGTCACAAAATCGTGTGTGTAAAAAAAAAAAAAAAAAAGATCAAGGGGCTAGAGGCGTAGGTCAGTGGGTAGAGCACTTGTCCAGCAGGCACAAAGGCTCTGGGTTTGATCTCCAGCACAATCAGGAAGTTCATTTAAAGTGAAGGAAGACCAAGATTTTAACACAATTGACTTCGAGCAGTGCACTGATACCATGTCAGGCTGCACCCGTCCTTAGAAATGATCACTTATCCAGTGTTGTTCAGTCTCGAAGAACAAAGGCGTTAAAAAATGTCTCCCTTTTCAAGCACGCCACATGTGAGGCCACAGGCTTCATTTCTTCCTGTGCTTCAAAATAATCCGGCCGACTGCAATCACGCAGAAGTCAGCTGGCTTCTGTGATGTGGGGCAGGAAGATATTTGAGGAAATATGAAGCAGAACCAGTCTTCTAACCTGCTGTTATTTCAACAGGCAGTGTGCCTATTCTGTTGTCTTAAATGAACTAATACATGTTTTGAAACTTTTCAGCCTTAATTTCTCATTCCATAACTGATAGATGCAACCCATGTAAACAAAAGCACTCTGTGATTCTCAGTAATCTTTAAGCCTGTGTTTTTTTAAAAGGTCTGGAAGGCAAAAGGTGTGGGAACAACTGTTCTAAAATATGGAATTTCATATCCCTCTAATATGGTAATTGTTTTTTCCTTTGGCAGTACTAGGGTTTGAACTCAGGGCCTACACCTTGAGCCACTCCACCAGCCCTTTTTTGTGATGAATTTTTTCAAGATAGGGTCTCGAGAACTATTTCCCCAGACGGGCTTCAAACCATGAGCCTCCTGAGTAGCTGGGATTACAGTTGTGAGCACCCAGCCTATCATACTAAAATGTTTAATGAAAACATGTTACAAACACAGAGAGAAATGGTAGATTATGGACTGACAGATTCTTTGGTAAATTGAGCCTCCAGATCTAACCTAACCAGGACGAAATTTCTTTCCACAGCTTCGGCGAGGTACAGGATTACATCCAGGACTACTTGTCCCTGCTGGAGAAGAAGGCGTTTGTGGGTGAAGATAAGACAGAGTTATACTTGCTGTTTATCAACTGTCTGGAGGTGCGTGGCCGGCTGTCTTCCCAGACTGTCTGACCCTCCTGTCCCTGAGGTGAAAAGCGTTTCGGAAACGCTTTTAGTCAGTCCAGCTAACAGAAGCTCTGTTCCATGTGGGAGAAAAGGAAAGGTTCAAAGATGCAGCTCTGCCTCAGTTGTATACACGGGCCTGAGCCGCTGGTGACGTTTCTCTCGCCACAGATCCACAGGTGGTTCCAGGAGTTTGTGAGTGCACAGTGTGTGCAACGATCTCGCCTGGCAGTGCATTTCTCAGAAGGTGTCCCTATGAAGTGACATGTGTCTCGACTGACATTTATATTTTATGTTTTGGTGGGACCTGGGTTTGAACTCAAGACTTTGCACTTGCAAAGCAGGCGCTCAACCACTGGAGTCACATCTCCAGCCCATTTTGCTCTGGTTATTTTTGAGATAGGGTCTCAAGAACTGTTTGCCCAGGCTGATCTTGAACCATGATTCTCCCAAATTCAGCCTTTCAAGTAGCTAGGATTGCAGGCATGAGCCACTGGCACCCAGCTCTACCATATTCATTGCATGTTAAGTAAAGAAAAAAAAGCCACAGCCTAAAATCCACCACAAAATAAGCAGTGGTTATCAGCAAGTGGTGAAATTATGAATACTTTTAATTTTATTGTCTTCATATTTTTATTTCCAAAATTTTTTACAATACATATGAAAAATATTTTTCCTCATAATTTTGCCTTTTCCCTTCCTTCTTGCCCCTAACATAAAATAAGATACTAGTTTTCCATGATTCAAAAAATTTACATTCAAGCCAGGTGCTGGTGGCTCAGGCCTGAAATCCTAGCTACTCAGAAGGCACAGAGATCAGGGAGATCACAGTTCAAAGCCAGCCTGGTCAAATAGTCCATGAGACCCTATTTTGAAAATACCCATCACACAAAAAATGGGCTGGTGGAGTGGCTCAAGGTGTAAGAGTACCTATCTAGCAAGCGTGAGGCCCTGAGTTCAAACTCTAGCACCACCAAAAAAAAAAAAAAATCTATAATATACTCTTTATTTTTCCCTTAATTCCCCAGAGGCACACTGGAAATTCTACAAGGTTGAGGACTTGCCTGTTAAAAAGAATTCTATTTTTGAACCAGGCATCATGGCTCATGCTTGTCAGCCTAGCTTCTTGGGAGACCTAGATGGGAGGATCGTGGTTTGAGGCCCACCAGGCAGAAAAGTTAAGACCCTCCTATCTTTAACAAGCTGGTTGTGGGGTGTGCATCTATAATCCCAGCTACTTGGGAGAGAAAGGTAGTATCGTGGCCCCAGGCTGACCTATTCAAAAAGCAAGGCCCTTTCTGAAAAATAATGCAAAAAAGATTGGGGTGTAAGTCAAGTGGTAGAGCGCCTGCTTAGCAACTGTAAGGCCCTGAGTTCAAAACCCAGTGCCACAAAACAAACAAAAAATCTATGCTCTTCTTTCTTGCTCTGTGTTCCGTAGGATTCTGTGCACGAGAAGACAAGTGCTTTCTCCAGAAGCACCGAGCCAAAGCACCTGAATGAGGAATTCCGTTTCCTCATGAAGTACTCCCCGGAAAGACAAGGCCAGGAGCCTGCCTCCATAGCTTCAGTGGGATACCTGCAGGAGGTAGCCACCATCCGCCTGTGCCTCGACAAGGCTGCTGACTTCCTCTCGGAGCTGCAGGAAGGCTCAGGCAGGTCTCCTCCTCCTTAAGACCCAGTTCCTTACAAGTCCAGGAGCTCTGGACACCTGTTCTCGGGGCCACTGGCCCTTCCTGCCTTTTCTTCCGGTGTCCTTTTTGCTCTGAGTTCCCAATGCCCTTTGGCCAGCTTTGCATCCTAAAGGACGTGTTCTGTCACCAGTTGCTCACTGCTTTCTCCTGAACTCTCAGAGCTGGCTGAGGACAAGAGACGCTTCCTGTGGCACGTCCAGCAGTTCTGCACCCGGGCCGGGAACGACTGGTACCGTGTGTACCTGGTGAGGAAGCTCTCAAGCCTACGTGGCATGGAGTTCGTGCAGAGCCTCTCCAGGCAGGGCCACCCCTGCCAGTGGGTGTTTCCCAAGGATGTCATTGCACAGCAGGTGAGGAGCAGAGGGCTGCTGTGAGCCTGCCATCCACCCACCCTCCCCTATCCAGCAGAGGCGGACATGTGTCTGTCTGGGCCTTTACCTCCGAGCTTCACAGGTGTACACCACCTGCCATAGGGCAGGGGTAGACCTGTGAACACAGGAGCAGGGCTGGTTCCCGGTTGTCTGTCACCTCAGAGTTTATGTGGGCATGATTGCTAATCCATTGGATGCAGGGAAAGTAAAGGAATGTTTCTGTGGCCTTTACGTCCAGCGAATTGGAAGTGGCAGCTTGCAGGAAATGTCCTTTTTACTTCTGACAGGCAGAGATGGGGGGACAGGAATTAGGACGAATGGAAGGCTGTAGGAAGTGTGGCTTTAGAAACTCTCTTCAGCACCTTTCTTGGTGCTCAGATATTACCAAATTCTTATTGTCCTGGGGTCACAAAATACCACCAAAACCCTTTTTTTTTTTTTTTAAATTACCAAGTGGGGCTCAGAGGTGACCCATTTTACATTGCCTTGGGCTTGGCGTGGTTCTGTCAGTGGAGGAAATGAGCTGCTACAAGGTCAGCACAGCCTCCTCCCCGGCTCTTCGTCCACCCAGGAGGCCATTCTTCTCTATGATGGCCCTGGGGCCAGCCAGGGAGTCCCTGCCTCCTGGCCTATGGTGATAACCTGGCACCTCTGCCTACTGAGGCAGTTCTTTACTGAGTATTCCTCCGATTGTCCCTCCGTGATTAACCCCCTTACTCCTGGGTTTCAGAAGAACCTCCTGGGCCAGATGGATGGGTACCTGGTACACGGTGAGGAGTACAAAGCTGTTCGTGACGCAATGGGCAAAGCCGTGCTCGAGTGCAAGACCCCAGGCATTGGCAACGCTCTGATGGTAGGACGGGCTTGGGGCTGTCTGGTACCAGGCAACCTCCTTGTGGCCTGTATTTTCCCTTGTTTATGTCAAATGACTCAGGGGCTGAGCGGTCCCGAGTCATGCCACATACACAGGTCACATGCCCAGGGCCTCTGTGTCCTGGCTCAGGGATGGAAATTCCATCCCTTGAGACCCTGCTGAAAAGTCACTTCCTGGAAGATTACTCTGACGTCATGGAAACCAGTCTACTGGCAACGTTCCCGTCTGTGTGATGCAGGGCCTTTAGATTCTCACCTGTAAATTGTCCCGGTCTTCTTTCTTTCGGGAGTCCCGCTCGCCCTGCATTGTGCTGGGAAAGAGGGGGCGGAGGTGAGCCTGCTCAGGAAGCGTTTGTAAGACCAGTGAGGTGGACGGCGGGAGAACAGGTGTTGCCTTCTGTCCTGACTGTCATCTCGTGTGTGTGGTCAGTGCACACTGAGTTTGATCTGAGCATAGTTCATTAACCTCACGGCCCGAGTCACACGGCCCCACTGTCCAGGGCCTGGGAAGGTGGCCCCTTCCCCTCACGTTCTGATATGCATTCCTTGTTCTCTCGCAGGTCCCGCCAGGCCCTGGCCCTAAGGTGGAGCCCAATAATTTGATACCCTTGTCTTTGCAGGCCTGCAGGAGCCCCAAACTGCAACAGGCTGCGTACTTGCTGTTGGCACTGTACAGAGAGATGGTCACTCTGTGCCACTCCGACAACACTAACCTCCATCCCAAGCCAGAGGTGAGCCACCGCCTTTAGGGACTATGTTTGGAGCCTCATTGTTCAAAGGGGACTATTTTGAATAAAAGAGGTTTTCAACCTCATTATGTAGAGGAACTTTTTGTGTAGCCCAAAGCTTGCAAAATTACTAAACTGAGCTCAGGAACATAGCAGAATGTTTGCCAAAACAATGTTGAAATTTGTGCTTGGGTATTTTGTATCTGTGTTCCTATATGAAAATTTTCTTCTCTAAGGAAATTTTTCCTCAATTGGTGATAATTTAGCCACATTTACCTTGATATTTGGTACCAAAATGTGTGATTAACAGACAGCAGAAGTGGAATTCACATAGGATTTTTTTTTTTTTTTTTGATTGAGATAGCGTCTCACTATGTAGTCCAGGCCAGCTTGGAACTCAAGATCCTCCTGCCTCTGCCTCTGAGTGCTGGGATTACAGGTGTGCACCAGCATATAATACTCTTTTCTTTTTTTTTTTTGGTGGTTCTGGGTTTGAACTCAGGGTCTTATGATTGCTAGGCAGGCACTCTAGCACTTGGGCCACACCTCCAGTCCATTTTGCTCTGGTTATTTTGGAGACAGGATCTCATGAACTGTTTACCCTGGCTGGACTTGAACTGTGATCCTCTTGATCTCAATTTTGGCTATTTGGTACCAAGTAGCTAGGATTGCAGGCATGTGAGCCACCGTGCCCGGCACGATGTTCTTTCAGTACATGTTTATTCTAAAACGTGTTCTTGGCAGCAATGCGCGGCTGTGAACCAGTTCATTGAGGGAAGCAAGGTCCTCTCCCCTCCGGATATCAGATTGTTTGCGACATCCCTCGTGGACAACACGCTGCCCTTGCTGAGGTCAGGCTCTGGTAACGGCGGCCTTGAAGGAACAGTGACAGAAATGGCCATTCATGCCACAGTCGTCCTTTTGTGTGGACAGAACAAAGTGTTGGAACCCTTGAGAAATTTGGCCTTCTACCCAGCCAACATGGAGGTAAGTTCACATCGGCTTTCTCAGTGAAACCTTGGGTGGGTTGTCCCTGTGTAGACTGAGCCTGTGGCCTTGGGATCAGTTGAGCCTGTCTCCTTTCTCTTCGCCCCACTTGATCCGTCAGTCTGCCGTGGTGTTGGAAACTTGCTCTGCTCTTTGCTCCTCCCCACAGAGCTATGTGCCCTTCATAAATAGCTTTCAAGGTCGAAAAGTGGGGAGTCCCCTCCTTGCTTGAGGCCTCTTGCAGTGTGGCAGCCACCAGGCATTGTGCTCGCTTACCTGGAACCACCTTTGCTTTTGGTCTTTCAGAATGCTTTTCTTCCAACGATGCCGGAAGACCTGCTGGCTCAAGCGAAGAGATGGGAGGGTCTGGAAGGCGTCAAGTGGTACAGTAAGTGTTGGCATCTCAGCTGGAGGCACGCTCCTCTGAGCTGTGTAGCTCAGTCAGTGGCCACACCAGGCCTTGGGCTGGACTTGAGGTCACATGGTTCTGTGTATAGGAGGCAGACGATGGTGAACCTCCAGGCAGAGGTATTCCATTTGGTTGAAGCAGGGATTGGGAACCACACTGAGGCTCTTTCAGAGGCCAATGGTTTTTGAACCAAAGATAGCTCTTTTGAAGTATAGAACTGTATGGCAGGAGACATAACCCATGACTTCATGTGAATTTTGCTGTTGCGTTGCGTAGATGATCTTTGAAGACCAGTTTTTTGGTTTTGGTTTATTTGGCAGTATTGGGGTTTGAACTCAGGGCCTCATGCTTGCTAGGCAGGCGCTCTACACTTGAGCCATGCACCAAGTTCTTGAAAACTAGTTTTAAAGTTCTTAGAACTTGCTCATGGCAAAAAAAAAAAGACTTGCCCCTGGTGCAAGTCTGCCTTCTAATTTCTCTCTGATTTTTGAAATTAAATTCAGACCTGGGAATTTTTCGCTATCAGCACGCATTTTCTAAGTCCCATGTAGATGTCAGGTAACTGACAACATACTTCAAGACTTTGATAAGGCACTCGGGTGTGTCGTATTTGGTCAGGACCAGAGAAGAGAGTACGGGCTCATACGGGTCACTTGCTGGACTCAGCAGCCAACATGTGTCCTCTTATTCTTTTAACAGACTGTCCCAATGGTCACCCATGCTCTGTAGGAGAGGTAAGTGTTGGTATTGGGGATAGGGCTTGGAGAGCGGCTCACAGCTGCATTCCTCCAGGTCTGAGGAGAGAGGACCTGAGGAGGGAGGACAGTGAGAGTCCCGACCTTGTCGTTCTAAGGGCTGCCCAGGGGTTCCGATGCTTCTCTAGTGGTGCTAATGGCTTCTAGGCCAGGTTTTTCCCCCTCAGCCCTGTGGACTGCTCTCCCTACCTGTGCATGGGAAATTTAGAGCAGGCCTGACCTCACCTCACTAATGCCAGTAGAGCCCTCCTCCTCACCCCATTCCCCGTGTGACCACCAAGAATGACCCCAGACACTGCTGAAGGCCCACAGGGACGGGACAGTGCTGCTGCATCCTCTCTTTTCCCTGCAACAGGGGTCAGCATCTTGCAGAATGGCCACATGTTGGCAAGGCTGCCGGCTGGATTACCAGCCAGAGGACAGGAGAGAGGCTCACAGGCAGGGAGCCATGGGGTAAAAATGTGTGTGACTCGTCTCTGGACTCCAGGCAATCTCGGGGGCCCTGCACACAGCGCAGCTGCCCTACCGAGCCATAGGCTATAGGATGCAAGTGACACATGTCACTTAATAAACAAGAGACAGGAGGGATAATCCTGATGTAACCACTTTATGTTTTTGAGCTTCACTCACTTCTTTACCTATGAAATGAGACAGAAATAGCTTCTTCCCAGATTTCCCAGCTCTGAGATTTTGTGGACTGGGAGCCTGTGACTGGATTGGTCTGCAGTCTGACTTTGGGAGAGGAAAATATTACGGTTGGGTTTAAAACAAACAATGCCAGTGGATGTGAGGAAGTCAGTTTGGAAGCATATTTCCTGGTGTTAGATTAGGAAGAACTAGGAACTGCTGTGGTTCACAGCAATGTCAAGACGGATGAACACGAGAAAGCAGAACTTTCTGTTTGTCTGTGAAGTGTCACTCAGGAGTCAAGCTTAATAGTCAGGCCTTGGTTTTTAAGAAATGAAAGTCTACATTTGCCCATGGACAGGATGTTTGCAGTAACTGTCCACCTGTTCCCGCGATTCCTCTTCCTCCAGCAAAATACACCCACCCCAGGGAAGCAGTGCTGGTGGTACTCACTGCCTCCTGCAGCAGGGAGGTCCCCTGCGAGGCAGCATTTGTGCTTAAAACGATGCTGTCTGTCTTCCTCCTAGTGTGGCAGGCCAATGGAACAGAGCAGGTGTGTTGACTGTGGAGCTCAGATCGGAGGCTTGAATCACAAAGCGGACGCTGGCTTTAACCCTATCACGTACGTAAGCTCCCTTCTCCTTCCTCGTGTCCCAGCTCTGGGCTTTGGGCTGGGTCTTTTCCAGTTGCTAAACTGATACCCCTAGACTGTCACTAATGCTTTGTACACTTGCACCTGTCAGGTTGGGTAGTGATGCCAAGGTCTCTGTGGTCATAGAGCCTCGAGGTGTTTTATCTGTCATTTGCTCTTAAATGCAAAGCGGCCTGCACATTAATACATATTAACACTGGTGTCTTCCATTTGGGCCCTGGGTGCGTTCCCTATAGAAATAATGTTTGATATGAACAGGCGGCCTGATTTAGAGGGACATTTAAGACTTGTGCACTGTCTTAGCTTCCTCCTTTGTTTTCTTTTTACATCTGAGAAAAGTGAAGAGCACATAGTCAACCTTATCAAATACTGACCTCCCTCAGTCTGTGTGAGAGTTGGGGTCCAGGATAATCCCCCACACACCCAAATCCGCACGTCTCTTATATAAAACAGCACAGTGTTTGCATTCAGCCTGAGCACATCTTAAACTCTAGCTGACTCGTAATATGTTACAGTGTAAATGCTATGTAGATACTGGATCTCTTATCCTTTAGGGAACCAGGACAAGAAAGAAAACCTATACATGTTGAATAAAAATGCAGTTTTTAAAAATATTTTTGATTTGCAATTGGTTGAATCTGCAGTTATGGAGAGCCCATTGTACCAGACTTCAAAATCCAGATAAAAATCTGTCTTGGCGGGCACCAGTGGCTCATGCCTGTAATCCTAGCTACTCAGGAGGCAGAGACCAGAAGGATCATGGTTCAAAGCCAGCCCGGGCAAACAGTTTTAGAGACCCTATCTCAAAAAAACCCACCACAGAAAAGGGCTGGTGTAGTGGCTCAAGGTGAAGACCCTGAGTTCAAACCCCAGTAGTACAAAAAAAAAAAAAAAAAAATCTGATCTCTTAGCTCCACACTTACTCCTAGGATGAAGGCAGTCATCAGTGTTCCCTTAAGATAGCTGGTGGGTAGCTGGGGACATAGTTCAAGTGATAGAGCACCTGCCTTGTACGCACAAGGCACTGAGTTCAAATCTAGTCCCTTACCCCTCTCCCCACAAAAAAAGATGGTTGGTGGAACCCATCTGCAGTTACCGTACATTCTGGTTTCTCTGGTGTAGTCAAAGCTTAAAATATTCTAATCTGCTTTCTCCATGAACTCTCAGAATGTTTTTGAATCTCTAATATGTTTGCAATTACATTGAAGCTCTCATCTGAATGTAATACAAATTTTTTGGCAACCCTGATTTTTTACCAGTTTTTGACCCCCATGGGAATCCAACTATCCCCAACTCTAGCTGCCCTGAGACAGGTGCAGGCCTCTGACCTGACACCTGCCCAGAGATGAGACCCAAGACCCAATAACCACCTACTGCAGCCACTCGACATGGGTAGCATTGGGTGTTGGTCATCCAGAAAGGGTCTCTGTAAAGAAAGGTTCATAGGCAAGTGGCCTAGGCTTACTTGAGTAAGAAGTAGTTTTAAAATTGTTTTCTTCAAAGCAGGGACCTCGTCTCCAAGTCCTCAGACTGTGAGGTGTGTCCGTGGAGCTGAGGTGAAACAGCCATCTTCCGACTTCACCTTGTCTTCTTTTGTCCTTTCCAGGAACTGCACAGACAGAACCCAGACTGGCCATGTGTTGGGCAACCCACACTCCAGGGCCGTGGCAGTGGCATCTGACAGACAGCTGTCTCCCGTGGTCTTCATTCTCATCCGGTTACTCACTCATTTGACTATGCTCTCGGGAGCTGCCCAAAATCGCCAGGTGTGTGACATGCCACTGCCGAGCTCGGTATTTAGTTGCTATAGGAAGAACCTGCTATGGTTTTTCACTCTGTCCTTTTCGTCTGTAAGTCCTAGCCACATTGATTGTGGGGGATCTATGATGTCACTGGTGCTCTAACCTGCAAAGTAATACTAGATGTGTATGTCTTAACTTTTCCCATCGTGGCATTTGATGGGATTGGGGGAGCCACTCTTCAGATTGTGTAAAATCTACTTTGTTTTTTAAATGTTTTAATTTATTTATTTTGGTGCCTCATGAATGCTAGGAAAGAACTCTACCACTGAGCTACACTCCCAGCACATGTTTTTATTTTTAACTGACCCCATATGTATTTAGGGGTGTAGTGTGACATCTCAGTACCTATAACATAAGGTGTAATGGTCAGAGGTACAGCTCAAGGTACAGCTGCATGTATCCTTGGTCCACACTGGGTGTGGAGAGGTGGGTGGGATCCCTCCTGGCTCTAGGCAAGCGGGCAAGCAAGCACGCTGCTTTTCCTCCCAAGTTTACACTAGCCAAGAGGGCAGAAAGTGCCAGGTGGGGACATTCTTTGCTCCCCCTGAATAACTCCAGAGCTGTCAGCTGCTTGTTTCCCTCACCCATCTCCTTGTCACCTCTGCTGTGTCACACATAGATCTGTGGCTTCACCTTAGAAACTGTCTTCTGACTCCGAAATGCACACAGACGTCACTTTACGTTTTATTCCATTGCCTCACAGGCCTTAATAAACATCATTAAGCCTCGGGTGATAGAGCCAAAAGACTTCCTGCAGCAGCACATCCAGAGAGACCTGGAGCAGTTGACCAAGGTTCTGGGCAAGAGCGCCGATGAGACCACCCACACAGTGCACCTCGCCCTGCGCAGCCTTCTCAACGCAGGCCACCCCGTCGCCAGCCAGCGTAAGCAAGGGGGTGAAGGCCGGCCGGCTGGGTCCGGGGATCTTGGGCACAACTGCCAGGAAACAGGCTTGCTCCTCTGGCTCTTGAATGAGTGAAAACCACAGGCACAGGGGATCTGAGAGAACTCTCCTCTCCTTGCTGGAGGGTAGAGGGCTTTCCTGTTCCTCCATTCACCCCACACCTGGCAAGGACCTGTGATCTTCACTACTGGGGAGCATTTGCACACAAGTGCCAACCTACTGTAGTGGCCAAGTCATGCAAAGCAGGTGATGCATATCTGAGAACCAGTCCATACTCCAGCTTCTGCTTTCCTGGAAGTGCTGATGTGTTCCCAGGTCCACAATTTCTTGAATGAAAACAGCAGGCTAAAAAACATTGTATTTGCTGAGCTAGTTCTTGTATTCTAAACATTTAAAATTACGTGCAAGATAATTTAGTAAACATCATTTCTGAGTGGCGGTATTAGAGTGGGTTTGCTTTCTTTTTGCTTTAACTATAAAAACTTGGTTTGTTTGTTTGTTTGTTTGCAGTGCTGGGCATCAAACAGAGGTCCTTGCACATGCTAGGCAAGCTTGCTACCTCTTAGTTACATTCCCAGCCCTGCAAAAGTCTCCTAAAATTACCCTGGTGAGAACAGTGTTACCATTCGGTGGTCCTGAGGTTTGAACTCAGGGCCTTGCAATTGCTAAGCAAGCACTCTACCACTTGAGCCACGCCTCCAGCAACAATGTTACTTTAAACCATAGCCATGGTAGTAATAGCAAGAAGAATCCTGCCCTTGACAGCCCGCAGTCTGAGCCACCCAGAGGCTTCTTCCTCCACAGGTTCTGCCTCTGCCATAAGCCCGTGACAGCAGCTGAGAGAGCTGATGGTGGCACTGGTCACTTGTCACTGTGTTCCTGGGCTTCAGAGATGGAGTTCTATCTTTAGTGACTTTGCTCAGAAGGGCTTGTTGTAGGTCAGAAGGATTTTCAGAGGTTGAGGTCTCTACAGAAATCAGTAGGTTGAGCCGGGAACCGGTGGTTCACACTTGTAATTCTAGCTGCTCAGGAGGCAGAGCTCACGAGGCCCTATCTTGAAAGAAATGCATCACAAAAGAGAGCTGGCAGGGTGGCTCAAATGGTAAGAGCTCCTGCCTAGCAAGCGTGAGGCCCAGAGTTCAAACTCCAGTACCACCAAAATAAATAAATCAGTAAGTTGGTGATGGCAGGAGGAACTGATTAAAAAATACTTAGGTTAACTTACAGCTGGGCATGGTGGTTCATGCCTATAATCCTAGCCACAGGGGGCAGGGTGTGGCAGGGGGAGATCAGGAGGATTGCTGTTTGAGGCCAGCCCAGGCAAAAAGTTTGTGAGACCTCATCTTAAGCAACAAAAAGCAAGACATAGTGGCACATCCCTGTCATCCCAGCTACAAGGCTAAAATTAGAGGATCGTGGTCCAGGCCGGTCCAGGTATAAACACAAGACCCTGTCTCAAGAGCAACCAATGCAAAAAGTATTGGGAGCATGGCTCAGGTGGTAGAGCGCTACCCTAGCAAGCACAAGGCCCTGAGTTCAAAGCCCAATGCCACCAAAAAGAACAAAAAGTACATAGGTTACCGTAGGAAGACCAGCCAGTGAGCTGTCTCTTTCCTACCACCATTACTTAGTGTTTGCTGCTGGGATCTTTTGTGTTTTGTTCCCTAGGCAGCCTACACACTTTGGTTTTCTTTTTAGGGCCGTTAAATTTTGATGCACGATTGTCAACCAAAGAATACAGGAACAATTGGGAAAAAGACATGGAAGCTCTTCTTTTACCTGAACTAAGGGTAGGTGATGAGTGATGACCACTGCTTAGCTCCACTGTGTAGGATGGGGCTGGGGGGGGGGGGCTCCCAAGTGTCCTTGCAGAAGGGCTATAGGAGGCCTGTGGCTGGGCCTCAGGTTTTGGTGTGACAGCTTGCTCCCCATTATTTGTTACTTTGGGATGTGAAGGTAAGAGGTAGAGAAAGAAACTGTCATGTAGCAACTCACCAGAAATGCACTGACAGTCATAAATTAATTATGCTCTCCCGGACAAGAACATCACCGAGCGTAACTAAGCATTCCGGAAGTAAACAAAGAGCAATCAAACATTGCTGTGAAATATCATTATTTGGGGAAGGCAAAAAACCTACATCAAGGAACGCTTAAATTATAACAAAAGCGACACAGAAGGCAGACTCCCTGATAAAGTCACTAGATGTCTCCATCTGCCTGTAGCAATGTCTCACTTCCAGAATTCTGGATCATTTTCTTTTTCCAGCATCTTGATAAAACCCTGCTGACCGTGAGTGCTCTCATCAGCCAAGATGAGCGTATCAGCTCCAACCCTGTGGCCAAAATCATATACGGGGACCCAGCAACCTTCCTGCCCCACCTGCCCCGGAAAAGTGCAGTTCATTGCTCGAAGATTTGGAGCTGCAGGAAAAAGGTGACAGTTGAATATCTCCAGCACGTCGTGGAGCAGAAAAACGGCAAAGAAACGGTGCCAGTCCTCTGGCAGTTCCTCCAGAAGGTACGTCTGCGTCATGGTCTGCCTCTTTTTCTGGGTAGATTCTCCCGGGGACTGGGAGGCCCTGAGCTCAGCCCATCGGTGCTGTGGTGCTGAATAGGTCAGTAGCAGGAGCTCCAGGAAGAATGTAGAGGTCTTTGGACACATCCAACTCACGGGAAGTCTGAAGTGTAAAGTAGTCACAAGTGAAATACACAAGTTGGGGTTACTGGTAATCTGTAAAGAATTTGAAGGCCAGGAGAGGACCCCCCTGGTCACTCAGCAGTAAAAGAAAGTCTCTTGAGTCGTGTCTGTTCATCTTCATTCTCAGATCTGGAGCAGTTGGTCATCAACAAGTATCTGCTGAAGGCAAAACTGTTCAAGAATGCATAGCCAGTTCAGGATGTCGTGGGGCATTACTGTAATCCCAGCACTTGAGGCAGGAGGATCTCAAGTTCAAGGCTAGCCTCAGCTACATAGCGAGTTCCAGGCCAGCCTGGCCTTTGAGACCCTTTACGGTCTACATAGGCTAAATAAAACTCCCTTGGGTAGCCATACCACATTTTCTTCATCCGTGCATCTGTTGATGGACCCTGGGCTATGCACAGTGCTGTCGTAAACATGGTCGTGTGGGTGTTTTTTTGGTACAGTGATTTCATTTCCTTTGATAGAGACCCAGATTGCTGGATCGTATGTGCATCTGGTTTTAATTTTTTGAGGAAATTCCATAGTGTTCCTATACTTATTAATCGCACTGACAGCACGAGAGTTCCTTTTTCTCTGCGTCCTTCCAGGTGGTTACGTGTGTTTTTAGTGGCCGTTCTCACTGTGTGAGATTGCATCTCACTGTGGCTTTGGCTTTATCTCCTTCTTAGCTGATGGCATGGAGCCCTTTCCCGACACTTGTTGGCTATTTGTATTTCTTTGTTGGCTAGGTGGCTATTCAGATCATTTCCCCATTTTTAATTGGATCACTGGGTCTTTCGTTAAGTTTTTGTGTTCCTTATATATTTTGGACAATAACCTTCTGTCGCATGAGTAACTAGCCATCTCTTCTCCAGTCTGTAAGCTGTCTTCCTTCGCTTGATTGTTTCCTTTGGTGTGCAGAAGCTTTTCAGTTTGGTGCAATCTCATTTGTTAATATTTGCTCGATAACTGTGCTTTTTGAGTCCTAGCCAGAAAATCAGTGCCTCCACTGATGTCTTCAAGTGTTTCCCATGTGTTTTCTTCTAGTGGTCTCAGCATTCACGCTTAGGTTTTTGGTCCACCTTGAGTTGATTTTTGTACAGGGTCAGAGATGAGGGTTAACTTTCGGTCCTCACGGCAGATCTCTTTCATTGGATTTTGCCACATACCTGTGACCATGGCTACTTTGTCCCTTTGTCCTCCGTCCCAGGCATGTGGAACCATGTCTGACACACTGCAAGACATCCATAGGTACTTGAAGAAAGAACAGGGTGACCCTCCTCCCATTTTTAAGCTCCAAAGTGTACCATCATGTAAAATGGCACATCACCCAGATTAAACTATGAGTACAAGTCTCCACACCAGTCCCAACGTTTCTAGCCCCATGGTGTTTCTTAGGTCAATAAAGGCAGTTGGCTGATCCATCTTCCCTCCTAGGAAGCGGAGCTGAGGCTGGTGAAATTCTTGCCTGAGATTTTGGCCCTGCAAAGAGATCTAGTGAAACAATTCCAGAATATTTCCGAAGTGGAATACAATTCCATCAGAAGTTTTATTGCCAGTCATAGATCAGGTATGACCTCTGCCTCCAGCTCCAACAAGAGACGGGACCATCCATGTTTCCCAGGTGGTTCCAAAGGGTCCCACCAGTGTGTGTGGGGGCGGGGGCATTGGGGCTCAGGGTAACGGTGCTCAGTATCGTAAGCATTCAGCATGAGGTAAAGGGGCCCCGAATCTCAGACACACACAAAGTCCTGCAGCTGGAGAGCCTCTCCCTCTAGTGCTCAGACTCCGCGTGAGTTTGAAACAGCATTGAGAACATGCTGGGAAGCACAGGAAGGTGAGGAGCTGGGTGCCATCCAGAATCCACTGTGAGGTTGGACCTTGGCCATGTGGTTATTTCTGTGGTCTCTGACCAAGAGTTTTATTCAACAGATGGGCTGAGGAAATTGTTCCATGACAGGATCACCACCTTTCTGTCCACATGGAATGCACTGAGGCAGTCCCTAGAGACCAACGGTACGTGTCCTTGTCCCTGTCAGTGCGGAGTGTCACAGGGCCTGTTCTAGGTACACTACTGTGCAGCCCTGCACCTGCCACGTACAGCACCCTGTTCTGTGCACGCTCATGCCGAGTCTCTAAATCTCTTGCTGGAAGCTGGGAAGTGACATCGAAAAACCAAACAAAAACCCAGTCCTCTTGAGGTCATAGACGCAGAATCAAAGAGGGGTTGGGATCACCGGAAACCTGCCGGCATGGGAGAGGTCAGAGGCAGGGCCTTAAGATGGGGCTCCTGGCTCGGTTTTGCGGGGATGACCGTGCCTGCCTTCTCCTCCTTCCCTCACCTTCATGCTGTGGCTGAAACGCCATGGAGCAGAATACCTCTCTGCTTAGGAGCAACCCTGTCATTTCCAGGTGAAATCAAGCTACCTAAAGAGTACTGCCGCTCTGATTTGGATCTGGACACCGACTTTGAGGTCATCCTGCCACGCCGACGGGGTCTGGGCCTCTGTTCCACGGCCTTAGTCAGCTACTTGATTAGCTTACACAACCAAATTGTCTACACGGTGGAAAAGTTCTCCAAGGAAGACAACAGGTACGTGCACAGGCCAGCTGGGCTAGGGCCTGCCCAGCCTCGGCCCTGGGCCCTGGTGGCAGGCACCAGCCAGCCCCAGCTCCTTCCCTGGCACATTCTCCTTCAGCCAGCCTCTTCAGAGCCCCACAACTGCATATGGTTTTCACCCGCATACCCTACAGCCTGACCCCATGTGCCTGCTTGTGCTCTTCAGCTATTCCGTGGATGCCTCTGAGGTCACCGACCTGCATGTCATCAGTTACGAAGTAGAGCGTGACCTGAGTCCGCTGATCCTCTCCAACTGCCAGTACCAAGTGGAGCAGGGCAGGGAGACCTCACAGGAGTTTGACCTGGAGAAAATCCAGCGGCAGATCAGTGGCCGCTTCCTCCAGGGCAAGCCCAGGTTGACGCTCAAGGTAAGCTAAGCCTGCACCAAGCATGTACTTGGTGTGGTTGTGGGGAACAAGTAGCCCTTCCTGTGTTTCGAGTGAGCTGCCGTCTGCATCATTTCCTACCCACCCATAGCGTGCACAAACACTCCTCCGTCCGTGTCCGGGCTGAGTGGCACTCCCAGTCCCTCTTCCGTACCTCCATCTGTGCCTCAGGCCCCACAGGCAGCCTGGAGTCCCAATGAACTTGTCATCTGAGTTCACCATCGTCAATGGCACCACCAAGGAGACCTCAGTTATCACCGCCCATCCCTTCAGCCTGCATATGCAGCCTATGCCCAGGCATGCATGCCCTCCATGTGTCCTTCCACTGCCACAGCTGCTGTTCAGTTCACAGCACCCACCCTAAAATCCAAGTGTTACAGTGTTCCCTGGTCCCCTTGCTCTGTTGGACACCTGCGTAACACCCCGCCTCACTCTTTTGACTAGTACTGAAGGCCCTATTGCCTGGCCCCATCCTAACCTGCCAGCCCTCTCCAGACCCCACCTCACTTACTTGCCTTGAGTCCTGCGACCTCACACACAGGACTCCTCCCCTTCCCCAAACAGTGGCACCTCCACATCTCTGTCCTTTCACCTGAGCTACCCTCCATTCTTCCAAGCCAGCCAGATATGGCACACTTAGGTATATTTATTGTCCTCAATTGGGGTGAGTATTGATTGACCCAGACCGTTTTTTATTTGCTCGGACAGCCTAGCAGGGACTGCCTTGCCTGTAGTCTGGCCTCCAGTTGTCAAATTGATGCTGTGCTTACCCCCCAGCACTACTGTGGTTTCTGGAGTACAGTATTCTGCGTGGCATAATCGCCATGTGGCCGCTGTGGCTTGTTTCCACAGGTTGTGGCTTGAACAGAGATATCATGAGTCAAGAGAGAGTTGCCTGCTCTGCCCAGGAATGCCCAGCCAGCTTGGCACTGCCTCTGAGTCTCTGCTGACAGATGTATTTGTTGTCGATGGATAGCTCCACTACGGATTTAATTTCTCAAAACCTTTTTCTTTCTCAATTTAGGGAATACCCACACTGGTATACAGACATGACTGGAACTATGAATATCTCTTTGAGGACATCAAGAACAAAATGAAACAGGTGCTTATAATAATGCTTGTCACTTGCAGGATGGCTCCATCCAGTTAGGACAGGTCCAGCTTCCTGCCTGATGTCTGCCGTGAGCATTGGGGTCGCAGTGGCTCCGAGGCCCCCAGTGCTCTCTGCAGAACAGCAGGTCACAGGTTTTCTTACTGAGTATACAGACTGGCTTCTTGTGGAGCTGCTTTCTTCGTAATGGTGTCACAAACAGGTATATGCTGAGGCAAAGGTCCAGAGAGCTTACTTATTCTGCTCATTCGATGTTGTGTTGAGGAGGAGATGGGTGGCTGTGGCTCTCTGTGTCCTCATAGGTTGAGGAGTCTGGTGGAAGTAGATCATCAAAGGTCTGGAATGCTGCCTGATCTTAGTGAACACATTTGGCAGCTGTTATGACTATGGGAGAGCTGGTTCCTCTGTGGCTTTGGCAGTGACAAAGCTAAGCTCCTCCCAGGTAGTAAGAAACAAGAAGCCCAACCATAGCCTGTCCTGGTTTTGGTTTCCCAGAGCCCCCTCCCCAACTCAGCCATAAGTGCCATCAGTGGACAGCTACAGTCCTACAGTGATGCCTGTGAAGCCCTGTCTGTCATAGAAGTTACTTTGGGCTTCCTGAGCACAGCCGGTGGGGATCCCAGCATGCACCTCAACGTGTATATCCAAGATGTCCTGCAGATGGGCGATCAGATGACTCTGATTCTGAAGGTGAGTCCTGTCTAAGGCTTTTGGGAAATCAGCACTGCCCTCACCTGAGTCTCCTGCTTCCTACTGAAACACCACTGTGCACAGTGCAGGGTACAGGTGTCCCTGCAGGGGGGCGTGCAGAGTACACAACT